GTCCTCTTTATATTATTATCTGTGTACTTCAGATTGTGTAACCATGAAGCAGTATTTATGGTGGTGGTGGTCAAAGTCAAACTCTGACCACCACCACCATAAATACTGCTTCATGTGATCTCATTTTAACATGTAAAAGTTAAATGGTACCACATTTAAAGGTCTCACATTACGCTATTTTCTGATCAATGTTATAACGTTGTTTCCTCATCAAAACCATAATCTTCTCTTCTCTCAAATGGAAAACACTAGTACAGGAACTGCTCCACTGTTGTTTTTAAACTCCTTACACCTGCACTAGAATTATTTGGATAATTTCAACCTGGCAAATGACAATGTCTAGTGAATTAAAGGTAAAAGGTAGCTGTTATTTTGACTACCACTCCATGACATCACAAGGTGGAACAGAGCATTTTGAACTTTCGAGATGTAGACAGACTAATTACTAATTACCAGGGTTACTCACATATGTACGAATGAAACAAAACACAACTCTATGTATGTTTTTGAGGAAGCAACAGCATTCTAACTATACTATGACTATAACCTTACAAGAGTCAATTTGTTTGTGTAATATAGGACCTTTAAGTAATATAAAGTATAGTTATTATAAAGTGTTACCAGTTAAAAGTATTGTATGTAAGGACACACTGGCTGAAGCCATAGGATCTGGCAACCTACAGTGATAAATACTAATAGTTGTAGTTAGTACCACCTATCTCTTTGCTCGTGCTCTTTAACTGATGTATTCCACCAAAGATCGTTATTTACTGAAATAGAATCAATGAGCACACAAGCAAATTTTACAATTGCTGTTAAAATTCAGGTTTTGTTGTAATATGGCAAGTTCTAGGGTAGTGTCAATAATCACAAATATAAATAGCCATTCAACATTTGTGAATTACCTTTTAAATGTTATGAAAAATACATGTATAGGGAATAAAGAATAGAGAATATGGCATCATCACATTTTAGAAAACACCAATATTGAACAGGACCCTCTTTATGTCCAAATCAAACACACAGCTGGTCAAAAAGACAATTTCGTTTGACATTTTTTGTGATATGACATAATCATTGTCTGCTGACTCATCTTACCAAGGAAATAAATCTTTTTGGATGAATAACCACCATTAAAAACATACATTCTTCCTGTGAGTGCACTTCACAGATCTCAGTTGTAAATTGGCTTGCTGACTCCTGCTTGTCTCTATGGAGACTGACAAGTTTAATGCTATGTTTAACACTTTGAAACATTGCAGGCAAAGATGTGTGTACTTTTGCTAATGCAGGCAAAGCAGTAATATTTCCATGGAAACAAGCAAGTGGCGGACCCTCTAAACAGGCCTGCTGACTAAAATTTGGGGACCTGGGGCAAAAAGACACATGCGTCCCCCTCTAATATTAATTAATATGCAGAGGTTCCAAATCTGGGCCCCTAAGACCCTGGGGCCTGAGACATTCGAGCTCTTTGTCCGCCCCTGTCGACTCCCCTGCCTTTACCAAAAAAAAATTAATTGTGCACCTTTAAACAATTGCAACATAGTGAGCTCTTCCGTTACTGCAGTTTGACGTAAAAGCTCTATAATTTTGTTCCTGTTGATTTGACCCCAAAGACCCAGCCTGGCCTCGACATCTGTATTTACCAAAAGTTTGGGTTAAATGCTCAAATCCTTCCCTCCTCCTCTCCTCCCTCACTCTCCTCCATGACAGCTGTCCCAAACCAGGGTCGAGTACTCTGCCAGAAAAACACATAGACAGCAAATTCTCACACCCGTGCCCCTTCCTGATGCTTTCCTATAGACTTCTTCAGATCAGATAATGCCTTCATCTTTATCTGGATACAACCGCCCCCTCTTAGTCCCCTCTGCCCCCCTCTGCCCTCTCTCCTGTCCTGTTGAATCCTATTCCATTTACTTTGCGAGCTCTATTATCTGCACACCCATCTGTCGCTCGGATTTAGATAAATAATGATACCGCTCAATGTCATTGTTATGACTTTAAAGCCTTAATACTCAGAGACGCACTGTTCAGCCCATATTGTTTGTTTAACAGGTTTTGATTTTTCCATATTACATATCCGCTTCATGATTAATCTGGCGTACTAATCTCTGGCATTGATATCAAAGCTTGTGTTATTCAGATTGAATTCTCAATTCTTGTGACCCAAAATGACGGAAAACTACTTTGATTAATAGTTTTATGTAGACAAGTTGTAAATTACATCTTCTGTGGACTTATTTGGGCCAGCCTCTTGCATCTGCCAATCCTTTAGCTAAAAAAAACTCAGAACAGATGATGGGTCTTGGACTTTGGCTCTATGTAACATCTGTAACTTAGAGTCTGTGCAGTCATTAAGCCCCGAAGCTTTATGGAGGATGGAGACAGATATGAAGGCATGTCCCACAGAGCTAGAAGAGGCAAAACAAAGGCAGAAAATACTGGAAAAAGTATTGGATCTCCACTGGTTTGTACTTTGTCGTCACAGGCGTAACCTTGAACTTATGGGAGGAGCTTAAGGGCGCTGTTAATGGACTGATTCTGTTGGATCACAGAGAGACTGACATTGGAGTTTAATGTTTGTTATTTTTGTGCCGTAGGCTTGGACAATTATTTCCATTATTTGTGATCATTTTTTGGGGAAATTTTAAAAAAGGATTTGACTTGGAGCATCTCCGTGAGACAGATGTGACCTTCGTGACCACTGGAGGACTGAGCGAAGATTTGAACTGGGATTTTTGGATTATAACGTTTATGTGATTTGGTTTCAAACTGGATATTTGAGCAAAAAGGGTATGAATTAAACTCTTTTGATTGCATTTATATATATGAAGTGTAAATATAGTCTCAACTTTAGTTTGGGAATTAGGCTAGCTGCTTTAGGACCAAAAATAAAACCGCAAATTTTGAGGAAAATTTGGCCTTAAAAGTGGACTACGTTTTTGGTTGGGGGTCCGTCATCTGCTTGTTTTTATATCTGTCTGGAATGTTCCACGGTACGACATTAAACAGCAATATTAAATTTCAGGTGGCTTTATATCTTAAAAAGACCTAAAAAAAACAACAAAAAAACAGGCATTCTGACTGTGAGCGGGGCTGCCTCTTTGACTTGTAACTTGGTCTGGTTTGGTCTCCATGAAGATAGAAATGTTTAAAGCAGTTGATGGACCCTCCACCAAAAAAATTACACAATGCACCAGTGGAAATGGGGAGGGGGGATGTTGAGAGTCTAGACAAGAAGTACCACCTTGATCATGAAATTAATCTTATGTCCAGGGTCCAAGTATTGTTACATTGTGTCTCTAGTGGACTTTTTTTTTTTTTTTTTTTTTTTTAAATAACCTTCTGAAAGTTTTGATTCAGAAATGGAAAATAAAATATACAGTAGTTTGCTGAAGCTGCCAGTTTTACCAATAGTGGTATTAAACACATGTGCATATAAACACATAAAAAATGAGGCATAGGGAAATAGGAGGTATGAGTATTGCTACAAAAATATTATTAAAGTATGTTTGTAGTTTCGCAAATGTTTGTAGTTTAGCAAAAAATGTGATAAGAAAACCTTTGCTACTGGAATCCTGCAGATCTCATTCATTCACGTTTTCATTATGGGATTAGAGATAAGCTATTTCTGTATCTGGATCTATCTGGAAACCTCTGTGGGAAAAAATCAATAAAGTCCAGGAGTCTCAAGATCTTCTCTTTGTACTAGTCCCAAGCCTACATAAATGGATAGAGTTTCATTAACGGCATACACCCTAGTTTTATTTTTAGTTCTGCTTAGGTTAAAGATGCTCCATGTAACTTACCTGGAGGAATGTCTGGTCAGTTACCTGCGTTTGTTCTTGCTTCAACTGTTTCTCAGTATGGCATTAATCGCATCTCCATGGAGACAAGAATATAACACTACCAGGAAAATTTGCGGCTCAGATCTGTGGAGATGCGACCCTGCTCACTGTAACATGGCTGTAATTTTAAGGGGAAAACTGTAATTGAATTAATTCCAGAAATATATGTTTATGCTGCAGTGTGGAACATTCCAGGCAAAGCAGTTACTTAAAAGTTACTTAATGCTTGTTTATAAATAATTTGATGATGGGACACATGAACAGGCATATAGTGTAAATTGAAAGAAATGTGATGTGTGTATCTGTTCATTTTCTTTGGTACGAGTGAAGACACTTAATGGTACATTGTGTAACTTTTCTGGTGGAGCGTCCTTCATACTAGGGATGTAACGATATCCAAATCTCTCTGTACGACATTTTCACGATATGCATCTCACGGTACGATATTTATTGTGATATTTTGTGAAGGCTACCAAAACTGTCAAGACGCTACTTTTTCCTCTCAAAATGCCTTGACAAGACTTAACCTAGAGAAGTAAGTTATTTCTTCATGAGCAAAGGATCATGGTCTATGTAGTTTCTTCTTTTTTTTTTTTTTTTAGCTATTGCTGCACCATCAACCACCATCACCAACAATGAATTTAAGCAGATAAACTTGTAATTCAATATATTGTGATGGTTAACGATATTATTGTGAGACTTCTAACGATACAATATCACGATATTTCGGTTATTGTTACATCCCTACTTCATACGCTTTTCTCCATGGAGATATCATTGCTTTGTCTGGAATGTTTCACAGTGTGGTATTAAACCTTTCTATCTTCGTAGAGACCAAACCAGACCATGTTATAGGTCAGATCTGTGGAGAGGCGACCGCGCTCACAGTCAGAATGTCAGAAGTGATTGTTTTCAATGCAAAGTCAATTGGAGTCAGAGTCAATGGAGCCGAACGTTCCCTCATGCTCACTTTCTATTTGAAACACAGCAGTGAGCAGGTCAGCTATGTCCATTTACAGTCTATGCCCCCGCCTGAAAACCACCAAAATATATGAGATATTTACAACCCTGGCGCTGTCTTATACTTTTTATTAAGTTCTTGATCTAAGGTCTTCTTTTTCCCATAGTTCCACAGGTGAATAGTCTGTTGCCATGGAGCACTCTCCCTCTCTGAACCTGTCTGGCCCGGACGGTGAGGAGGCAGAGGACCCACTGCGCCCCCTACTGCCCCCGAGAATAATACTACAACCTCAGGCCTGCTCTTCCCAATGTGGCATCCACCATACAGTTCAACCTCCACCTGATCCTACCGTGTGGATGGACCGCACCCAAGCTATGGCCACGACACCCCTTTACAATGGACATCTGTATTTAACAACATCCCCACGACCAAGTAAGAAAACAAAAGGCAAAGAGAAGAAAAGTGAGAGGAGATCGAAGAGTTCTAGTCACAAAGGTAAAAGTAAAAATACAAGTAGTGGACATAGGCTACAAGAAAGGGTGACCTCCTTCACAGATGTGCCACTATCACAGACTGGGTCACCGTACATGGGACACTGCAGACCAATCATGGACCCTAAAGATAGCGAGAGTCGAATCTGTAGCATCTCTGAAAACGTGGAAATGCAAGAACGCCAGGCGCTACCAGAAATCATCATCACAAGCAAAGACGATGAACTGCAACAGGAGGTACCACATCAGCCCAAGGAAGTGAAGACCCCACTGCATATAGGCCAAAGACCCAAACCAAACCCGCTCAATATCAGTCCAAAATCGAAAGCTGACGACGATCCGTACTGGAGGACCCATAACATCGGCTGGAGGTTGGTGCGGAGGAGGAGCCTGTTTCTGAGGAGACAGAGGCTGAATGACTGTGCCCTTGCCGTGGGGATCTTTGGGGTGGTGCTGATGGTGATGGAGACTGAGCTGTCCTGGAGCGTTTACAGCAAGGTTAGTCCAAGATCTGGCATTTCTGCAGCCTGGCAATCTAGATTAGAAAGATTGTAGCACAACTGAGTCACTGTATTACTTATTTTTATATATATGATGGGAAAGTCCATATTATGACTAGGACTGGGTATCATTAAGAAGTTGTCGATACGATACATACCTCCATACATAGGCCACAACTCAGTGCACTTTCGATTCAATACAATATATTTCAAATTGATTCAATATAGTTCAATAAAAAAGGCTAAATCATGGCTGTGATACTAAAAGTCTTTGTTAAACCACTTCTTGTGCAAAGTGAATATGAAACACACCCATTTTAATCATAAAAACAGTGAATATGTCAAATGTGTCGCATAAACGAGCTTCTGTACTGTAAACAAGCAACAAAACTGCAGCCCTGTAACAAAATAATTCAGTAAAATATACCAAAAAATACTCTTGGCGATATATCGATACAGCAGCCTACAATATTGATACTGTATCATCACATTAAGCGATACAATATATCGATATTTTGATATTTTTGCACACTCCTAATTATGACCATGTGTAATTACAGTGTAAACGTGCCAAATTATGACAAAAGTGCCCATTTCCATCTAGACAACCATGAGGTAATTCTAATAAAAAACAAGGGGAAACTTGAAAAAACACAAATTACTTCACTCCCAGTTTCAATTATGTATGTATTTATTTATTTATTTAATGGGGAAAATGCATAATGTTGGTCACCCTTTGCTGGTAACAGTGAGGAGAGAAGCAATTTCTACAGACATGGTTATTATTATTGATGTGTTCAATAGAACACATCACCCCCCCCCCACGCTTCCTCTAATATAAATGAATTGAAAGAGGGTCCAATTCTGGGCACCTAAGACCCTGGCGCCCAGACAACAGACCCAGATACATGCTTCATAGGAGTAAATGTGAGCGTATCATTTTCATTTTCCCATGATAGTATTGGTTTTGAATAGGGGTTTAAACAGATAAACTAAAGTGTTATAGTTTTAAGTAGTTTACAGTATATTTGAAAGTTTGACCTGCTGTCTTTGTCCTGACATTTAAATAAAATAAATACGCTTGTTATGAATAGAAAAACACACTTGAATTATTACAGTTTTCTTCTCATTGCTGCTTAAGTTTTTAGTTTTACTCTCTCAAGTGGTGTCAGTGTGTTGTTAATGGCTGCTATAATTTACCATAAAACATCTGTTCTCTCATCTGCCAGCTGTTTTCTCTGAAGAGGGCGATGATTTGGGGATAATTGCTTCTTTTTAGTGAGACAAATATGGATACACAAGAGAGTATGGAGATGATGGGGCTTTTTGTGTTATTTTTATAGCAAGCCTATTCAGGGCTTTCAGCTTCCTGCTATATGCAACATTTTGAGAACTTTTCCCATTTAAATTCATATTTTGTGTTATATTATTAATTGCTATGCTATGGTCGTAATTTTGCACCATTCTGAAACCCATAGATAACTGTCACAATCCCCAGATAATGCCCAGATAACTGAAGCTGGTTATATCTGGAAGGAGATCTGGGCTAGAATTTATGTCCAACCAATAAATGCTTTGCCAGACTTGGAAAGGAAAAGCCAAAAGGAAAAAAAAAATCTACAAGTTGTCTCGAATTTCCACCTTATATGTAGAAAATCACCAAGGCATATTAAAGAAAAGTGCAATTCCAATTTTGTATACAAGTTAAAAATCTATAAATGATTTTGGCCTTTCAGTGTGAATTTCTTGGACATAAACTATACAGCCTTTTAACTGGTGCTGTTCAAAAAATCTATCTTCAGAGTTAAAATGGCCTACTAAAAGGCCATTGATGCAATATTCTACCATTACATGCGGACCTATAATTTTCTATACAAAGATTAAACCATAATCTTAATTCCTCCTACTGCATTTCTATATATCACAATAGTTATGTCATTTCCTTAAACAAATTATTTTTCCATTAAAAATATGTTGAGTCACTGACCTTTTAAGTCTTATAGACCAGTGTTTCTCAACCTTTTTTGAGCCACGGCACGTTTTTTACATTGGAAAAATCTTGCGGCACACCACTAACCAAAATGTTACAAAAATGACACTATACAGTATATTTAATTACAATATAATTTCTACATTAATTTCTACTTACTCAGTGTGTTTTTATAGCAGTTAAGCTTGAAAAGCTCTTCTTCTGGGTCAGAATCTTGTCCAGGGCCCATTTCGGAGTTTGCATTCGTCCATTTTAAAAACTTTTCCATGACTGTCACCACGCACATGCGTTACTAATTCTTTTAAAGCAGGGGTGCTCACACTTTTTCAGCATGCGATCTACTTACAAAATGACCAAGTCATAAAGACCTACCTAATACAAAACCAAGCAAACTGCACTGAAACACTCTGTGCCCCTTTTTTGGACCCTCACCCACAGTTTGAGAACCCCTTCTTTAAGAGAACTTCCTCTTTACACAAAACTGTGAAAAAAGTGAAGGCAGATTTTTAAACCTGTTTTTTAAAGTTCCAAACTGGAGTTTCATTCTTTTCTGGTTTTGCAGTGATATTCACCAGCCTCTGCACGTTTACCAAATCAAACGCACATCGTGACAAACACAGATGCATTTGTGCACTTTTGTTAGACAAACTTCAGCCAAATGTGGCAGTAGGTCTGTTCTGTAGATCTGCTCTATGCTGTAGACCTGCTTTGTGCCAACACTGGTAACACAAATTTAGACTCGTTTTTGCTTCACGTTTTGGTCTTGCTCTTCTAATCAGCGCGCACTGTGGAAGGGGCTTGTGTTCGCTGTACGCAGGAAGGAGCGAGAGCGTGAAAAGGTGAGGGGCGGCGTGCTGACGTGAGGCAGATGGACAGGTAGGATGTTTAGGAAGTTTGAACCTGCCCTGTGATGCACGCTGGTACACGAGGGCACACGCTGTCGCAGACAAGCCGTGCGTAGGGAGCGTGTGTGTTTGTGATGTGCCGTAGAGTCTCCGCGGGCTGCACTGAGACGCCCCACACGCTCTGGCACACCTGTACAAGTTTATTGCCAACAGCAGCGGCCGTAATGAAATATGATCGCACTTGTTGAGTGTCAGACCTTGAGTGACAGACAAAACCGAGTCCAAACGCGAGTCCGAGACGAGACACGGCGATCTACCCACACGACCTTGGCGATCGACTGGTAGATCGGGATCGACGTATTGAGCACCTCTGATTTAAAGGAACGAGGCAATTAGCTGCCTGTCGCCACCCGGACGAATATTAGATCACTCTGCCAGTTATATTATATTGTATTATATACTACACTGTACTACAGCACGGACACTCGACAATGACATAATATTTGCAGGTAATAATTAATACATTTTTATTTTAAAAAAGTGATATTGGATAATTTCTCACGGCACACCTGACGATCTCAGTGGTTGAGAATCACTGTTGTAGACTATAGATTATGGTGTTAATCTTTGTACTAATGTATCTGTGCTTTGTTTGGCAGAGCTCTCTGTACTCTCTGGCCCTGAAGTCCGTCATCAGCGTCACCACTGTTATTCTGGTGGGACTTATCATCGCGTACCACTGCTGTGAGATACAGGTAAAAGTGCAGTTTTTATAATAATTAAAGGTCCTATGTTGTGAAAAATGTACTCTTGTGAACTTTAAGCCATGTTATAATGCTGTTAAAATATCAAAAACATACCTGGAGCTGAGTTTTGTTTCATTCACATGTTTTGAGTAACTCTTTATTATAAGTCTGTCAACATCTCCAAAGTTCAAAATGCTCTGTTCCACCTTGTGATGTCATGAAGTGGTAGCGGAAGTTAACAACTACGTTTTTACCTTTAGTGTAGTAGAGGTTGAAGCAGTGGTGGAGTTAGCAATTTGGGGGCCCTAGGTGAACTTGAGCTTGGGGCCCTCACCATAATGCACCTTTTTTTTTTTTTTAAATATGTATTTATTGTCTGTTTTCCCCCATTGTTCTTCAGACATGCACATCTCTATTTATATGAATTATGGTGGATTGGAAACTTGTCTTATTAGTTCGGTAGCCTAGTAGATAGCCAGAATTGGAAGTGGTTTTATTTTTTCCTGGTACAATTACATTTTTGTTTACATCCATTACATACGATTATTATTATTTTTCTTATGATTATTGTTTAAAAGTAAAGTACGCTCATTTAATGTCATATGTCTTAATGTCAAATTGCTCTGAGGCCTCGGTCATTAGTGGCACTGAGGGCAATTGGTTGGGGCCCCTCCAGGTTAAGGGGCCCTAAGTGGCTGCCTACTCTTGCCTAATGGTAGTGCCACCTCTGGTTGGCAGTTCGAGGGCTGCAATCATCCAAATGATTCAAGTGAAGGGGTATGTAGTTTAAAAACACAGTGGAGCACTTCCTGTATTACCACATGGCATCACAAAGTGTTTCTTAGTCTGAGAGAAGATCACAGCCTAAATATGCAGGTGGGTTTGTGTGTTAAACATGTGTGAATGAAACAAAACACAACTCCAGGTATATTTGCGGTGAGGAAACAACATTTTAACATACTGTATCAGAAAACAGTGTAATATGGGCTCTGTAAAGCATCAAATGGTGGATTAGGATGGCATATGTAGCGAAGCGGTTCCCAAACTGTTTCCAGACTTTTAATGAGCAATTATCCTGATACTGATACTTCCAGTTAAATTTTGAAAAGGCTCTACTGGCCTTATTCTGCACTTGTCTGCACTAATAAATACTACTAAACTCCATTTTCTTTGTAGTGGCTCCTCTGGTTAATCAGGAATCATGCTTATTTCAAAGGTGATTTTGAGAAAAGTTTTGCAGCTAAAATATAATATACAGTAGATCCATTTGTGTAAAATCTTCGATGTTCATATTCACCGACGAGTCAACACTGCACCGATTCTCCGAGAGGCTTTAAAACAGCTTTGTAGTCTGTATAGAATGTATTTTCTGTCAAGATCAGCAGCCTCATACAAAACAATACAACAAAATGACCATAGCAGCGCCCACAGCAACTGCATTGTGAAACTTCTCTAGTGGAGAAATGCAAATGCTTTTCTTCAAGGAGATGTCACTTTGTCTGGAATATTTCACAGCGTGGCATTACACTTTTCTACCTTCATAGAGATCAAACCAGACCAAGTTACAGGTAAGATATGTGGAGAGGCGACCCCACTCACAGTCAGAAATGTAACTGGATAAATGTAAGGTAGATTTGTAATGTCATATTGTGAAACATTCCAGGCAGAGTATTGACATCTCCATAGAAACGCAGGTGATGGACCCTCAACCAAAAAGTTACATAGTGCACCTTTAATAAAGACTAGGAATGGGACAAGATTCGGCAAAATAAAGTTGTACCACACACTTGGAAAATTAACTTAACCAGATTTTTTCCCATATGTGATGACAAGAAGTAATTACAAAAAGGCAGTACTACAATGACAGCAAAAATGTGAAAGAACATAAAATTTAAAAATAGTGAGGTTAAATTGTAAATTGAATCGAACAATTTATTTATTATAGTTCATATCAAAATGTTTTCTTGTCTCATTCTTGTGAACCCAGTCGTGTTATTGTTTTGTGAGACCAATGATGATACCACAATACCAAATCTGTTACCAGAGTTTGGAAATCAATGCTTTGGGAAAACATAGACTTAATAAATATAGTAATATAAATATAAAGAGGCTTGTTTAAAATTTCAGAATTTTTGGACTATTTGAATTTTTGTAAAGGCTAAGCAATCAACTCAAAGTAATTATCTTGAAAACACAGAGCTTTGATTGAGTCTGTTGATCAGCGGAAGATAGAGGAAAAGCTACTTAAAATACGGAATTTATCAAGATCAAGATTAATTATCTTTTGCAAGGCTTGTCCGAGTTGTCCTTGTCTAGTCAATTCTTTACAATGTCATTCAGTTGTAATGTGGTGACTGTTTGCTGTTTTGTGATGATTTGTGCAAATGAAAGTACAAATTAGAACCAGCACCACTACCCCAGGTTTTACACTGGTTTTCCTCAAATTGATCTATTTTTACATTTAGATTTTATTCTGGAAGTTGCCGTGGGCGCTGCCATCATTATTTGGGATGTCTTAATTTGCATGAGGCTGCTGATTTTAACAGTAAATAAGTTATATACAGACTGCAAAGGCTCTCAGCGAATTGGTGGTTTGTGCATATGATCTTAGAACATTTTACACAAATAAACCAACTTTAAATGACAAATTCTCCACTGAAATGAATGGAATTCCCTTTTAACCAGAAATGCCACCAAAACAAAAGTGAGGTTTAGTATCATTTAGAGGCAAAAGTTGGCGTATTAAAACAAATGCAAATTTCTTTCAACTTTGATTTAAATAAACAAAACAATAAACAATACAAACTTAAAGAGCCCATATTAGCCCATTTTTTTATTGTCTCCTCTTCACAAACATACCTGAAGGTATGTTTAGTTTCATACACACGTTTAACACACAAACCCTGCGTATTTAGTCTGAGTTCTTCTCTCAAACAGAAAACACTCTGTTCTACTTTGTGATGTCATGTGGTAATACAGGAAGTACTCCACTGTGTTTTTAAACTCTATACGCCTTCACTAGAAATATTTGGATAATTTCAAATCTAGAATTGGCAATCTCAACTGAACTGAAGGCAAAAGGAGCTGTTAAGTTGAAAACTACCACTTCATGACATCACAAGGTGGAACAGTGCATTTTCATCTTTGGAGATGTAGACAGACTAATAAATTAGTATTACTCAAACATGTGTGAATGAAAGAAAACACAACTCCAGGTATGTTTTTAGGTAACGACATTATAATATGACTTCAAGAATGTCAATTTGCGTAATATAGGAACAAAATCTCCTATAAATTCTGACAAAGTCTGAACTTTACTTCAAACCACATGCATTTAATGACAAAGGATCAGCTGTGGACTGTAAATGCACAGTCTACTTTTTACTGTCAAATTATGGCATATAAAATAAATATATATATATAAAATAAATTGTATGAAATTGTATTGTGAGCAGCTCTGTCTCAGTTTGATTGATGGTATTTAAGTGCCCATTAAAGAGGCTTTTGGGTGGATTTTTATCATGACAAAGCAAATGTCTAAGGAGCATTTAGGAGCTACATTGTAATTCTCATTAATCATCCCACCGCTCCCTCAGTGTCCATTATAAAACACATATCTCATGTCTATTACATTACATCCACGCCATCGGGCTCCAGGCTATAGATTAAAACACATTGCAGTATTTCTCTTAAAAGATTGGAAGCTGGTGATTCAATTCCCACAAACGATAACCCTATTGCCCCCTGTTGTTATGTCCTTGAGCAGGACTCTTTACCCACTTTGCCTGTAGTAGTTGTCTGTGATTTTCTTGTGGCATTCACACTTGCACACACCATATCAAAACTGAGATTAAACCAGGACAATAACTGAAACGAAACTTGGACTAGAACAGGACTAAAATGACAGGCACATCCCTGTTAGTTTGCCCCAAGGCAGGTGCTTTGTCATAAATCTATCATCATAAATCTTTTAAGTAATTTGGCGAATGTAAAATTAATTGTCTTCAAAAATAGTTTCAGATTATGGCTAGGCGACATCTTTTTAACCCCTTAACGCCTGAATATATATAGATGTACAACATATATTTTGTGTGTGTTTTTCCTGAAGTAGATGGTAAATTAAGTTGGGATTATTCATTTGACTATAGCAAAAAATAAATAAATAGAAATTTGGGTATGTTGCAAATTTATGACAACTAGAAACAAGTGCTTGCCTAGGAAGGTACAGCATTTGCATTAACTGGCACTGGGGGAAGGCAGTCGCTATCTCATCTTAGATCTTGATCCGAACGGTTTGTGGCATATTTGTGACAGTTGGCATTAAAAGGTTAAAGGTCTTATATTAGACAAAATGGTTTCATTAGAGCTCATGTTACAATGCTGTTACCTCATCAAAAACATGCCTGGAGTTGTGTTTTGTTTCTTTCTTTATTATTATGTCTACATCTATGTCTACATCTGCAAACATCTACAAAACTCAAAATGCCCTGTTCTACATTGTGACGTCATGTAGTGGACTTTATTTCTGCTGTTTGATTACTTTTTTCGGCTGAATATTTCATTACTTACAGCAGGACAGCGGCTTTTTCTGGAGGAGACAAGCGCAGTAGAGCCAAGTGACAGTGGTACCAGAGTAATAGGGGAAACAGATACTGGCACACAAGCCTAGAGCGCCCTCTTGTGGCTGTCAGTGTGAACATTTTAATATATAAGTCGCATCAGAGAAAAAATTGCAGGACCACCCAAACCATGAAAAAAAGTGCGACTTATAGTCTGAAAAATACAGTATTATGGGTCCTTTAATGCTGATGTTTACTCAAACATAGACACTTTTTCCCACTCACTTCTCGAATTAGTTAACCTCTGTCCTGTATTGAGTGAGTAGCAGGTGGATTTAACCAATTAGAGTGAAGTGGGAACTTTCAGAAGAAATCTACTCCAAGACAACTGTGAAATACATTTTTAACCATCCCCTATACATCAATTTTAAATCATACCTGCTCTGTGTGCAGTTATACGTCCATGATATCGGTGCAGAGGATTGGCGTATCGCTATGACAACTGAGCGTGTGACCCTCATTGTGCTGGAGCTGGTTGCCGTGGCGATCCACCCGTACCCCGTTGGTCTGTCATCGTACTTCCAGCCGAACAAGACCCGTCCGTCGCTGTCGGAGACGGAGCTGGAGATCGTGCTGGCGCTCCCCATGTTCCTGCGTCTGTACCTTCTGGGGCGCGCCATGATGCTCCACAGTCGTCTCTTCACGGACACGGCGTCTCGAAGCATCGGGGCCCTCAACAAGGTGAAGAATGAAACATACACACAGACTCAAGAGGCAACTTGCAATAATAATATACAAATAAATAATAATAATCTGAATATTATTTTGTGTTGCACCTTTCAAAAACATGGTTACAAAATGCTTCACATCATCAGTGTAAATTCACTTATAATCTGACTAGTGCTGCAAAAGACCAAGAAATAAAAGAAGTTTACAGTATGTGCAAGGACAACTGTGAAATACAGAAATAAATGAACATTGTAAATAACCCATTAACAAAGCTCCAAATACAAATGGAACCCATTAACTAACTAGAAGCCAATTAGATCAGGGGTCTCCCACCTTTTTCCTCCAAAGAACTACTTTTCCAGACAACACTACTAGAGAGCTGCTCACTTTAGCGCTCACAAGAAATTGCGTAAATATGAGAGCCACAGTTTTTAACCATTGCCCATTTATAGTACACAAATATTTGCAATGGTAATAGGTATTTAATTAATCAGATTTTAGTTATTCAGCACAATGCGTACGATTCAGAAATCCCTTGGCGAGTTACTAGAACGGGGCTGGAGAGCTCCAGAGCTACAAGTTGGAGACCCCAGAATCAGATTAATTGACAAAATCACCAGCAAACTGTACATACAGTGTGCAGTACAGTAATCTGTAACTAAGTACATTTTTAAAGTATTTTTCCTAACACTGTTTGCATATAAGATAACTAATCTTTGATAGAAATTGAATGTTGGAGAAGAATTTGAAGAAAGAATCTCAAGTGATTTCAGTACAGAAGTTGATTTGATTCTTGTCCACATTTTGGAAATTCAAAGTTGGTTAAGTTGAAACTTGAATTTAAGCGTCACGGACATGTCAGTAATGCATTTCATATCTATGACATGGTATTTGAAACGTAATATTTTTAACATAAAATCTTATGTATTTACATGTTCTAGACTTGCTGACAAAAAAAATATTTTAAAGTTTTTCTTTTTAAAATTTTGTCCTGTTTATACTTAAAGGTGCATTTTGTAAATTATCTGGTGAAGTGTCCGTCAGATTCTTTTCTCCAAGGAGTTAATTTAATCTTTCTTTCTTCATGGAGACTAAAAAAAGACCAAGTTACTGCTCAGATCTGTTGAGAGGCAACCTAGCTGTATTTTTGACCTACAAAACCATCTATAATTTAATAAATGTAAGGTAGAGCTGTATAATTTCATATTATGGAACATTCCAGGCAGAACAATGACATATCCATAGAAACAGGTGAGTCTGTCCTGATAATATTCATTGTAGCTTAATAAATAGTTTAATTAGAGCATATTATTATACATATTATATATATTATAAGACTTGATTTCAAACTAGTCTGAGTTTCGCACACTGAAAACACATTAAAAGTCATTAAAGTCATTTCCATTGAAGATCTTGTTGCTCTTTAAACAGCAGCTTCCTGTGTTTGTGTGCCTTTAGGTGGGCCGAGAGGTCTGTAGACAAGTGACTATTGAGGTGTGCCCATGATCCTCACTGCTGCTGTCGCCTCCTTCGCTTCTGCGCTTTGCCCTGATAATGCCCCCCCTCACTCTAATCCCCCTATCCCCCCACCTCAAAACGCCATTCAAAAGTGACAAAAAACGACCTCCATGTGTCCTGCCAACGCAAAACCCGCTGCCCGTGTTTTGAGCTAGATTAGGAACATCCTTTATCTGCTTTTTGTTATATAATTGTAATAAGATTGGTGCTTTCCTAAATAGTCCCTCTGTGTTGAAAGAATAAAATATTAAATGGAAGTTTGTCCTTTCAGATTCACTTTAACACGAGGTTTGTGGGAAAAACACTGATGACGAACTACCCCGGGACCGTGCTCATGATCTTCAGTGTGTCTCTGTGGATAGTGGCAGCCTGGGGGCTACACGTCTGTGAGAGGTATGAGACTCTAATGGGCTATAATGTGAGCTGTAATGTATATGTAATATGATACAGGGACGCATCACTGCACCTTTCGTAATAAACACAGCAGATATAATGTGTGGTGGCATCAGATATCGACTTCCAAGATATCAGTTCAGCCGATATCCCATTTTGGTCGACAAATTGGTATAACATTGTGATTTACTGGCCATGTTGACTCAAAACGTATTTTTCATTTTCGTATACGAAATGGAGCAAAGGGTCATGGTTTGTGGTCTTTTTTTTAGTTATTGCTGCACCATAACTCTTAATTTAAGCAAAGAGACACATTTGGATAATTTTTTACCTTATGCTGTTTGTATTTAAAGGAAATTAAGAATATTTTCAGTCCCTACATGAGTATCGGCAGATACTTAAAGACAAAGTATCAACATCGGTATTGAAACAGAAAAACCTGATCATGCATCCCTAGTCTAACCTTCAGCATAACTGTGTATTGTAATTATTAAGACCCTGTGGAGACTTATACATTGTTATTTGAAGAGGACTGTTTGTATAATATCTCCTCACTTAACAATATCAGACTTTATGCTGATTGCAGCTACTTAAACAAACTATTTAGATTAAATTGCTGCTCTGCTTGAACTCCTGCTGCATTAGTCAGAGTACATAAACCTGACTTAAACCTGACAGAGTTGTATCTTCTTTCAGACATCATAACTACAGGGATCTGAGCAGTAACTACATGGAGGCGCTGTGGATGGTGTCAGTCACTTTTTTGTCGATCGGATATGGAGACGTGGTGCCGCACACGTACTGCGGCCGGAGCATCTGTCTGCTCACGGGGATCATGGTAAAAAATACAAATACTGTTAAAGGTCCTATACTAAACAAAATGGATTCTTGTGAGCTTTAAGACGTTTAATGATGTTACCTCCTCAAAAACATAGTTGTGTTTTGTTTCATTCACACATGTCTGAGTAATCGTCTATTCTTAGTCTGTCTTCATCTCTGTTAAACCTTTTGATGCTCTGCTCGTCATTGTGATGTCATGAGGTGATAGTTTTATAGTTAACAGCTCCTTTTACTTTTAGTTCAATTCAGATTGACATTTCCAGGGCTGAAATTATCCAAATGATTCTAGTGAAGGTGTATGGAGTTAAAAAACACAGTGGAGCGCATCCTGTATTATTACATGACATCACAAGGTGGAACAGAGGGTTTTCCAGAGAAGAGCAGTCAAAATATGCAAAGTTTGTGTGTTAAACATGAATGAAACAAAACACAACTGCAGGTGTTTGTGATGAGGAAGCAACATTATAACATAGATCAGAAAATAGTAATATGGGTTTGTTAATAGTCTTAGTGAATATTATGTTTCAATTGTTTTAACACTGTTTTACCATTATTTCTTTCACTAAATCTGCTTGACGTAATTCTGCATTTTAGGCTGTCTCCTCCTCATTTCTGTTTTCAAAAATGTTCATAGTAAAATGTTTCAAGAGGCTCATTGTGAACATTTCTCAAATTACCCTAAATTACATATTAACTTCGGAGCTAGCAGCTATTATGTTTAGCTTCATTCCAAATCCTTTTCTCCTTAGTGCAATGAAAGAGGCCATAGTCTTACACCCTCTGCTGGCAACTCTGACTTAAGCTGTGAAACATTCATTTTCAAGGCTAAGGTGTAGTTCATTAATAATAAAGGATCAAATTTAAATAGCTCTTTTTTGACACTCAGAGATGATTTACAGAGCATTATTCATTCACTAAGCCACTACTGTAGCCACAGCTGCCCTGGGGCAGACTGATGGAATTAAGCCTGGATAATAGAACTTAAAGATGCACTATGCAACTTTTCTGCCACCATGGAGATGTTACTGTTTGGCATATTATGGAATGCGCCATAGTATTTCATTAAAATAGTCTATCTTGCATTTATCCAATTACACACAGGGCTAGGTGACATGGCCAAAAAATAAAATCTAAATTTTTTTGCACACCTTGGACACTTACGATCCATCATTTGATTAATTGATTTTAATCAAAGTCACAGCAGAGACTGCTCATCTTTCAAACACAGACGGATCTTTACATTTTCATTCTAATCATATGCTGTTATTTAAGATTTTGTGAAATGTCTTCAGTTATATTTGTATAGAATTAATTAATTGTCGTTCCACAATATCTCTTTGCAAGATTTCGATTTCGTGATTTTGTATTTTTCAAAATCTCAATTATTAAAAACCCAAATTAATCCATTGGGGATGAGTGGGGGTTGCCTTTCCACATGACCTGCGACTTGACCTGGTGGTGTCACTTGTTTGTCTCCATGGAGATAGATAAGTTTAATACCATACTGTGGAATATTTAATAACATCAAGAGAAGAAAAGATGATTACACAGTGCACCTTTAAAACTCACCATCAAGTAATACATCAGGAGAAGAAAAGACTAAACTAGGACAAGACCAGGGCTAACCTGGGGTCTCTAATGTCTCTGTGTGGGTCCCTGTAATGTAGACGATGTAAGTGCATTTGTTCCGTGTGCACAGGGGGCGGGCTGCACGGTGCTGGTGGTCGCGGTGGTTGCCAGGAAACTGGAGTTGACTCGAGCTGAAAAACACGTCCACAACTTCATGATGGACTCACACATCACCAAAAGGGTAAAGGTCACCACGGGTCACACAGGACACCGCAATCTACTTAAGTTTAATTAGAGTAATTCATACGAGAAGTGGATTAAGGAAGTGTGACGTCACCCATAGCGCTTGGCTCCAGTCAAATGAAGCTCACTGAGGCTCGCAGTTACTGGAGCAAACTTGGAGCTGAGTTTCATATCAGGAATAGGAATTTATTTACGGACAAAATAGTGAAATAAAAACAACAAGATCATGTGGAGTGAGTTACGAATATGAATATTTTAAGACCAAAATGACTCACTGCAGCAGTTAAGGAGGAACATTTTTTCAATATCAAGAAAACTGGTGGAGCTGAAAGTACGCCCATTTTCACTTCCTATTTGGTCAAACATTCAAATTTTAACCACTTGGGATCAGTAAAGAAACAAATTGTCCATATTTTTAAATGAAATTATAGCTAATATCGTCTGATTAATGCAAAATGGGCTCTTTGAATGACGTTATAATGTTGTTACCTCCTCAATAACATACACGAGTTGTGTTTTCTATCAATCACACGTTTGAGTAATCACTTATTATTAGTCTGTCTGTATCTCCAAAGCTGAAAATGCTCTGTTCCACCTTGTGATGTCATGGAGTGGTAGTTTTACAATTTAACAGCTACCTTTTACTTTAGGTTCAGCAGAGATTGGCAGTTCCAGGGCTGAAATTATCCAAATGATTGTAGTGAAGGTGTGTGGAGTTTAAAAATAACAGTAGACCACTTCTTCTACAGTAGTTTTTGTTTGAGAGAATAACTAAATATGCAGGGTTACTCCAGGTATGTTTGTGATGAGGAAACAAAATTATAACATAAATCAGAAAATATAAAGAATAATACATCTAAGTTAAATGCTAAATGGTTTAATCAAATGTATGGACAAAACTAATCCTCAAAAAGTAAATAAAAGTCAAAGTTTATTTAAATTCATGAAGATGAGTTTGATTATCTGTTGGCTACCGGCGGCTAACTTGCTTCCATCTCCACAATTAGACATAAAATCACTTAAGCATCACCACTGCATCTTAGACTCGATGCATTGACTAATATTAATGCTCGATCGATGAAGTGGTCCTGTAAATAACTGCTGGCTCTTGAACTTAGACATAAAATAACTTCTCATGTGTTGAACTGTGTGTCTGTCGTAGATAAAAATTGCAGCAGCGAATGTGCTGAGAGAGACTTGGCTGATCTACAAACACGCAAAACTCAAGAGTCAAAAAGACCAGACACGAGTGAGAGACCACCAGAGGAAACTACTGCTCGCCATCCACCAGTAAGACCCCATTTCTGTTCAATCTTTGGTAAAGTCGCTCAGAAACAGGCCCGTCGACAGAAATTTGGGGACCCAGAAGTCACAGCAAAATATTACAGCTAAATAAGTCTCAAAAATACAAATGTAAAGGCTAATTCAGTCTGTTTAAAGGTGCATTCTGTAACTTTTCTGTTGAAAGGTCCAGCTGCATGTCTTAATGGAGCTTTATCAGGAATATTCCACAGTATTGCATTAAACTTATCTGCTTTCATGAAGAAATGTAAGTGACGCTACAAGTCAGGTCTGTGGAAAGCAGAGGCTACTCACAAATAGATAAGTTTAATGCCATACTGTGGAATATTGAAGGCAAAGCAATAACATCTCCATGGAGGCAGCTCAGTGGAGGACCAATCACCAGCAAAGTTGCAGAGTGCATAAATAAATGTAAATTTGTAAATAAATATTACAAACACTTCAATTACAATAAAATGTTCCAGGGTTTTAACAGATCCAATTATGTGTTTTTGGCTCTGAATACTGAATACACTATGTAGAGTTTCCCAGACCTCTGAGAAGAATAATTTAACACTTGTGAAGGTTAGACTGGAAAAAGTATACATTTTTCAATAGAGACCTAAAGACCTAAGGATTTATAATGCCCTTTATAAACTGGACTACTTTAACAAAACATGTTACAGCGGTCCAGCTTGAATTTACTTCTGTAGCCAGAGCTGTCCTGGGGCTGACTGATGGAAATGGGCCTGTGTTTACTTAATTAATAATTTAATTTGTCTTGTTATTTCATAAATCTGGTTAAATACCCTTCAAATGACTAGTCACCTCTATTTTTTGTGTATGCAGTTTGATTTAAAGGTACTAGGTAACATTTCTTGTAGAGGGACAATCACCTGCTTGTCTCTTATTACATTTCCTGGAATGCTCCACAGTAGTGCATCTATCATCAAGTAGATGATGCTACAAAGCCAAATTACTGGTCAAATCTGTGGAGAGGAGACCCCTTCAAAATGAGAATGTATGTTTTTCAGGGTATTTTTGATCAATAAAACAGTTGTAAATCAATATGCACAAGATAAAGATAAGATAATGCCACACTGTGGAGCATTTCAGGCAAGGCAATAGCATCTCAGTGACCACAAACAGGTGGCAGACCCTCCATCAGAGAAGTTACATAGTGCACCTTTAACACAGTATTTGTTATTGTTATGTAGTATATTATTATTACTATTATTATAATATTACCTATATTTGAATATACTACATATTCCTGTGAAATTTATGTCCTGTTATAATGTTGTTACTTCATCAAAAACATATCTGGAGTTCTATTTTATGTCATTCCCACATGTTTGTGTAACCATTAGTCTGTCTGCATCTCCAAAGCTCAAAATGCTCTGTTTCACCTTGTGATGTCATGAAACTGTACCATTTGTTCCATAGAGATGGGTAATTCCAGGGCTGAAATCATCCAAATTATTTTAGTGAAGGTTTATGGAGTTTAAAAACACAGTGGAACTCTGTAGTACCACTTGACATCACAAGGTGGAACAGGGTGTTTTCTGTTTGAGAGAAGAACTCAGCATAAATATTTAGGGTTTGTGTGTTAAACATGTGTGAATGAAACAAAACACAACTCCAGGTATGTTTCTAGTGGTATAAATGTCTATCAGAAAATAGTGTAATATCTTTAACACTGCTATTCTTAATTTTTAAAAAGTAAAACATTTTGTGCAGACTCCGCAAGGTGAAAATGGAGAAGAGGTGTCTGGCCGACCAGGGGAACTCTCTGGTGGATATAATGAAGGTAAGAGAGGCAAGTGTATCCACAATCTTTTCTGACATTAGAAAACACAGCAGCATCTAACATTCATGATCTGACCTTCCCTTTTACACTGCATTCACCACACGCAGATGCAGACACTGATGTACGACGTGCTAGCGGAGGTCCAAGGCTGTCGAGATGAGATGGACAACCACATCCTGAGTTTGGAGAAGAACGTAGAGGAGCTCCGAGAGGGCTTTAGGATTCTCATGCCTCTCCTCTCCAGCACGCTGTCCACGCAAAACTCATCCATCAGACATTTGCTCAGAGAGAGAGAGGGCAAAGCCGAGGAGGCAGGGGGAGGAGAAGGGGACAGGTAGAAGAGGAGAGGGGCAAATAGACTGGAATAAGTGCTGTGGGGAGGGGGAAAAGCGCAAGTGTTTAAAGGGCCCATATTACGCTAGTTTCTGATTTCTGTTGTAATGTTGTTACCTCATCACAAACTTACCTGGAGTAGTTTTCTTTCAATCACACAAGTTAAACACACAAACCCTGCATACTGAATTAGATCATTTTAGCTGTGAAATTGCCAGTCTCTATTGAACAAATATTAAAGGTAGACGTTAACTTGAAAACTACCACTACATGACATCACAAGGTGAAGCATTTTGCGCTTTGGAGATAAAGACAGATTAATAATAATACACGTGTGAATGAAACAAAACACAACTCCAGGTATGTTTCTGATGAGGTAACATTATAAAATGGCTAAAGGGTCACAAGATTTAATTCTGCGTAATATAGGACCTTTAAAGGAGAGACTGTACCCAAATCTTTATTAAAGTAGCAATAATACTAGGGTTTATTTTATTTTATAACCTACAGAAAAGAACCAAAGCTTTTTTTTCTGAATTGTTTCACACATATACAAAGTGAGTTTCATTGATGTAGTTAAAACCTTACATGAGGCATCAAGTTTAAACTAGCCACTGTACTGCAGCGTAGTGGAGTCAGTTTGACTCTGAGTAGCTTTACAGTTGGAAACTTCATGCATGCTTTTGAGTTTGTCTTTTATTAGTACACATATGATGCTTTCAGTTAAGCCTTTCAGTTGAACATTGCATAGAGTATTAAGTAAGACTGATTGATTGGAGATTGTAAAGTTGATGTATCGTCACTTCACATTTTTATATATTATAATCCGGAGAACACTTTTACTTTATCATAGTTTTTCCATAAAACATGCTCGATCTATAAATACAATTGTTCCCATTTAGCATTTGCTTTTTGTAGAATGTATTTGTTAAATCATTACACACCCATTTTTTTCTAATAAAGATCTTTTTGTACATGAGACATGTGATCAATAAAACAAATTATAAAAGTATTTCCTCAGATTGCATTTGCCCTGCCAGAGCAAACTGAAACCACTCACTAGGTAAGACAAGGCAAACTAAGAGTTTTATAAGTTAAATGTATTTAACCTCTGAAGAAGCTAAGATGGGAAAAATGTCAGAAGCCTAAATCTAAATTTAATTGCAATAAAACAACTGCCGATAATCGAGTAATGTTTCTAAGATGTGTTCATAGCCAGTTTTACGCCGTTATGTATTATGATGAGATGCATCACATGGGGCCCCCTCTAATATAAATTATCCAATTCTGGGCCCCTAAGCCCCTGGTGCCAGGGACAACAGACTCTTTTTTTTGCCTCTGACCACGCTTATACCTACTATAATGTAAGGACACAGTAACTCTTAAAAAGGAGGCCAAGCAAATGTTATTTAGCGAAAACAACATTTTATTAGAGAGAAAGGGTAGGAGAGTGGAGTTACAGTCGACATTTTGCATAAACTGTTTAAATCCACACAGTCTTCAGATCTGTCTCTGGATGCTTTCGGCGATATCCACCGGTCCATCCCTCTCTCTCGGCCACTGGGGGGAGGGAAACTAGTGCTGCTTCCTCCTGAATGAGCACCCTGTTAAGAGAAACAGACCCAACATGAGAGCTGACAAAGGGGGGCTTACTGTACAGAAATACTGCAACACTGCACATTGTCCCTGCTGATGGTGAAGTCATTACATGTGACAAATGAGGCTACATCTCTTCCTCTTTAAATCACATGACACGGCAGCCTTGAGAGCAGACAGAGCAGCTTGTCCAGCACATAAAACTACAACTTTAACTGTCAGGGTTTTGAGTTAGGTTTGTTCTCAGCCTTCGAAAGGGGGGAGCCAGTGATATAGCTCAACCCTTCTGCAAACTGAGGTCAATCTGGCACTGAGATGAGATTGGAAACCCACAAACAAGGAAGTCCAGCCAATTTTCAGTGCACTGAGAAAAGTGACATTTGACCTACAGATCTTGCCCAACTTGCATAGCTTGTATTTAATCAGATGCTGTTGAAATTTACACCATGATCTTAAGATAATACAATTCAACTTCCTGGAACTGATTCATGAAGTTGTGTCTTTGTTTAGGTAACCATTAAGTAACCATAAAATGCCAAGGCAAACCAAAGCATAGTCACCATTATTGTGACATTTAGCTAGAAGTCCAATAATGCTGTGAATTAGAACCACACATGGCAGGACAAAATTCTGATTTACAAATGAGTCAACACAAACCTGATAAAAATAAAAAGGACCTCAATAGACCTTGAAATGCTTTACATGAATAATGCAAATATGTATGCGAGTGCAACAACAATGATCCATGCGTGTATAAACAGCACACATCTAATATCGCTTGCACTTAATAGTTGCATGAGTGTCAGTCGTTATTCACAATTTTAAGGTAAAATGGCCTCGTTAAAAGAATTTCGCTTGATATTGTGTAATACTCTGTGCCACACTCCAGACCAGTAGGAGGCAAAAATGCACATGAAATGTTGGTTGTCACCCACCATAAAACAAAATGATGAATAATGAGGAGTGGAGATTTGCTCAAACATACTGACCCTCTGTGAGACGGGCCTTGCCTCCAGTTGGCTGACACAGGACGGTGGAGCAGCCCACACAAAGCACGACTGTCTGAGCGTGGCTGAACACCGTTGTGATCTTGTAGCATCCTAGAAAACAGAAAAATGCAAGTCAGTTTAGGCTGTCCATGAATTAAAGAAATTAACTTTTGATGCTATAGAGTCCTTTATTAGTTTTTGGAATATTACATTAATAGACCTGCTTTGGATCTCTTCTTGACTGCCGTTTTTGGTAACATTAGCAACAAAAATCACAGTTCGTTATAAATCCCTTTGACCACATCACAGCACGGTAGATTACCCTCTTGAAACATTAATGCCTTCATTTTTTCCCCCCAGTACAGGTACCACAGATAACTGCACCATTATTTGAAAGTAATAGTTTCAGCGATCCTTTAAGTGACACTGGTACCAGATGGATTGAAACATGTACCTGGGCATTTAACATCCATAAAATAAGAGTTAGGACTCTGGACAAGACGCTTCTTCTTGTGCCTCCTCTTCTCCTCCTCAGGGGATGGGTGCAACAAGTCTTTTGCGAGCTGCGCAACAAAGGAAATGCCAAAATTAGTAATGGGACAAAAAGACAGTTACCAGGTAAATTTAAACACGATCACACATTTGCAAGATCATCAAATATGACCTTAATAACCCCGTAACTTGTATATTTAAAATGTTATAGCTTTGGTTTTGGTGGACGTACTGGTCTGCTGCGTGGCCTACTTCTCTGGCTTAGATAACTAGCCCCATCACGTTATTTAACTTTGCACAAACTATTAGGCAACTATGGAAATGCAAACAGTCAGAATATGATAGGAATAACTGTCCAAATTAAATGTGATGAGGATATCATAATCATTGTTTCGTGAAGTGATTAGCCTCGTCGAACTAGCTCCATGTTTGCGGTGTGCGCGCAGCCATCTTGTCTCACAATGCGCCCAAACGTGGTGCGCATTTCAGGACAAAATCTGACACGAGGACGAATTTAAACCGCTTAAAACACACACCAGCCGGGTCGCTAACTTTTAATGCAACTATTGAGCCGCTTATAGCACCGTGAATATTTTATTTAATAGTGAAAATAACAGGATGAGGCGGCCTCCCGATACTCACTGGCATGTTGGCGAGGAAATAGCCGCTGCCGAAAAGGAGGCATCACCGGAAGCGCGGGGCTGATATCGGGCGACGCTTTGAGCAGGGACCGGACGTGACGAAATAAGTTTGAGAGAATAAAACTCCGCCCATAAAGTCAGGATAATGTTCAATAAATATTTATACATGTACGAAGCATGGATCTATAATTATGTTACGAACTTTGCAGGTTCATAGTAAAACATCAGAAACACAGACTCATTAAACACCTTCAAAAAAACTGCTCAAAAAAACTTTTCCACGCAGTCTACAGCCCCATATCCTGTGAAGCGTCTTTATGTTACCTTGAAAAGCGCTATATAAAACTCATGTATTATTATTATTATTATTATTATTATTATTATTATTATTAAAAAGCAGATATATAGTAAGCAGAGTTGGAGACTTGCAAGTCGTGACTTGGACTCGAGTCAGACTTGAGTCACTATTTTTAGGACTTGAGGCTTGACTTGATAAAATAGACAAAGACTTGGGATTCGAGTTGGACTTGAAGGTAGTGACTTGGGACTTGACTTGGACTTGAGGCCTGAGACTTGAGAAGACTTGATGCTTAGACTAGCTGACAAATTAGGCTCTCTTAAATCTTAATTCTTACAGTTCTGACGATAATAACTCACACTCTTGCCAAGACATTTACCAAAGGAAAATTTTGTATTTCTACTTTTATATAAATACTCATGTACTATGACGTTTAAAGTACAATTTAGTTAAAAATTATATAAATTGCAAAAATCTAAGCTATATTTGGCACTTTGGTTTAAAGACTTGAAATGACTTGAAGCTCAAAGCAGACGACTTGGACTTGACTTGGACTTGAGCCTTATTTGTGATTTGAAAAAACAAAGACTTGGTCCCACCTCTGATAGTACCTACAGACTTATTATTTAGACATGCTCATTTTGGGGGACACTCCTGGTTTGTGGTGGTTGGTAATAATAAAATTGTGAAACAAGCTTTGCTCTCGGTCCATTCACGACTAACATGTGAGTCAGTATAGTCACATTTAATTTGTGTTTTGATCATTTTTAAGCAGCTTTTCTGTCTTTTACCTAAACAGATGACAATGTATGCCTACCTTATTGGTATCGGATTGGTCAAAAATAGGGACACCTGAGACTTTTCTTGTATAAAACTGGGACAAATCAAAGGTTTTGGATAAATCTGCTGGGAGATTGGACATAGTGCTCAAAACTGGGACTGTCACGGTTAAATACGGGCGTCTGATCACCCTCAGCAGGAATCAATGTCTACTGCTTTTCAACAGCAGATGGCAGCACAAGCTTAAGGATCTTACGCATAATAAATTTACTATTTACAGTTTAAATATGCATTGCGCAACTTTTCTGGTGCAGTCCGTCTGCTTGCCTTTGTGGTGATGTTATTGCTTTGTCTAGAGTGTTCCCTGGTATAGCTTAAACCTGTTTCAAGGAAGACAACAATAGGGTACATTACAGGTCAGATCTGTGGAGAGTCACCCCGTTCATAAAGTGAAAGATTGTATTTTTGAGCAACAGAAACACCCATGAATAAATGTGTTTAATGTCATACCATGAACATTCTGGGCAAAGCAATAACATCTCCATGGAGACAAGTGAGAGACCCTCCACCTGAAAAGTTGCAAAATGCACCTTAGATTCATGATCAAATATTCAGTTGAACATGCAACAATAAGCAGAATCAGACATCAGGAATTAAAGAGGAGGGTTATTGTCCCACGAATTTCAGCTGTGCAGCCTGCTGATGCGTAACAGAAAGTGGATGACAAGACATCATCAAAGAATTTATTAAAAATCAAAATATAGCATCAGTGCAAATAAATAACCTTCAGTATCAACATTCTCATATTAGGTAGTTATTTGTGCTCCTCCTCTTTGTCTGCCTCAGTCACAGGTTTGGTGTTTGGGTCTCTGAGCTGCAGGAGTTGGTTTATTTTGTTTAGGCCTTCACAGTTGGGAGAAAACTGGTTTCTCTAAAGAAGTGAGATAAGGAGACAGTTATTTTCATTTTGGCTTGTGACATGTAGTTTTTTTTTAAGATATAAAAGTGTAATAATCAAACAGACATTCAAATGCAGACACAGCAGTCCTCCTTCTCTCTGCTCCTCCAGAGAGGCGAGAAAGAGAGGCAACGATTTCTCTGTTATTGCATTGCCTATAAACAGACACAAACAGACACAAATGTGTTTATAACAGTTTGTAAATCATTGTAAACAAAGGAATAAACTACATTTGTTTTGCTTTATATTCAAATCTTATTCAAGCACATTACAACAGCATTAAGAGTCATTCAATCAGTCAGTTATAATTATTTAAAAGTGCACTCTGTAGTTTTTATGGTGAAGTCCATACTTCTGCCTGCTTATCTCCATGGAGATGTTAATGCATTGCCTGGAAAGTTCCACTGTGTGTCATTAAATTTATATAGCTTGCATTTATTCAGCAGATGTTTTTATTGCTCAACAATACATCTCCATGAAGACAAGCACTTAGCAGGCCCTACACCAGAAAAGTTACGTAGCGCAGCTGTAAGAGAACTTTTAAGAATTGGTAATAAATAGGCTTTTTCTATGTGGCATTTCAAATTCACACTAGATATAGTGACCTTAACAGGCAGAACATAAAAAAATATATTGTTTGTCTATTGAAGTGAATGTGTCTTAATCATAGATTGTACATACGTATGCATCTATGGTCTTAAACGGCCCTTATTACACTATTTTCTGATCCATGTTATAATGTTGTTTCCTCATCACAAACATACCCAGAGTTGTGTTTTGTGCATTCACACATGTTTAACACACAAACTCTGCATACTTAATCGCAGTTCCTCTCTCAAACTGAACACACCTTGTGATGTCACGTGGTTATACAGGAAAAGCTCCCCTGTATTTTTAAGCTCCATACATCTTCACTATAATCATTTAGATGATTTCAGTCTGTCTCAACTGAACTAAAGGTAAAAGGTAGCTGTCAACTTGAAAACTTCATGACATCACTAAGTGGAACAGAGTATTCTGAGCTTTGGAGATGTAGACAGGCTAATAATAAAGGATTACTCAAACGTGTGAACGAAACAAACTACAATTAGTCTCTGGGGTTTTTTTTGAAAATTTTGCATAATATAGGACCTAAAAATAATGAGAAGGGTACTTCCCAGGACCAACACAAACTAACATAACAGCCCTGAGGCATGTTGGGTATCTTTAAATATATTTCTAACCTGCCAAACTGAGGTAGACCAGAGTGGAGTTTCCAGGCAGAAACACCTGTCCGTTCTTGCGTTGTGCCAAAGGGTCCAGCAGGGGGTTCACCATCTCCACTTCAGGCTTTCAAATAAGAAAGGTAGTGTAACATTACATTACCAGACCTGAAAACTGTATTTAAAGGTAAATTTTTGTCACACACGAACCTCAGCCAATTTAACCAAAGATAACTTCTCCTGTACAAATAAAGATACAGTCAATGCAATATTTCCAATTATAATCATATATTTAAATGCTACACAGACAAACCTCGACAGGGGGAGATTTCTTTTTGCCTGCTGCTTTTCCTCCTCTGGTTGGAGGTGCCTTATCAGGAGCTACAAAGATTTAAGCAAGATTTTAAATTACTAGAACCTACAATTATTATGTTATTACGTTTTTGTGCACATTTTGTGTAGTTTACTTCAATATAAATTTGATTACTTTTTGGCTTTTGGGCACCCTTCTTCAGGTTTTCTTTGTTGGCAGGTCCTTTTTCTGTTTTTTCCTCTTTCTTAGCAACCTCCTGTGAAAGAAAAATAGCATCATAATTGGAAAGAAAGGTCAAGACTGTGCTATAACAGTTATATGGCGGTTACTTTTTTCTTGGCGTTGCCTTTAGGCTCTGGTTTGGGTGGTGGGATGGCCACTGCAGGAGTCACAACTTCTTCATCGAGATCTGACCAAAAATTCTGATACAATACAACATCAAAGACATGCTGTTAAATATTATATAATGTGCATAAATGTATGTGTGATACTACTAATAAACTAAATACTAAATATACTAATAATAAACACTGCTGTATGAGGGCACATGCTGCTGAGCTGTCAAAATAATTATTTTTCAAAACTTTTACCAGTAGCATCATTCAGTCATGGAAAATAATGATTAAAGGGCCCATATTACACAAAGCTGACTCTTCTGAGCTTTAAGCCATGTTATAATGTTGTTGTTACCTCATCCATGTTGTTACCTCATCAAAAAAATACCCAGGGTTGTGTTTTGTTTCATTCACACATTTTTAAGTAACCCTTTATTAGCCTATCTACATCTCCAAAACCCATGCAGTGGTAGTTTTCAAGTTAACAAGTTAACCTTTTACCTTTTGTTCTGTAGAGATGAGAAATTCCAGGTCTTAAATTATCAAAAAGATTTTAGTGAAGGTGTATGGAGTTATATGGAGACAACATGAATATATATGGAAACAATATTATAACATACATCATAAAATAGTGTCATATGGGCCCTTTAAAAACATGATTATTTTAAGCTATTTAAAAGTTCAAAAGTTAACCTAGGAGAATACACTTATAGAGTAGTTAAATGTGATGTTACTTCTGGATCCAAGGCGGGCAGCACTGTGACAAAAAATCAACACCCTAAAAGACTATGTAGATTAAATGAGTCCTATATTTAAAAACAGATTACTAATTTTTGTTTTGTGATTGGACATAAGCGTACCACAATAAATACTATATTGACTTATCGTTCAATACCTGAAAGATGGGATGATATTTTGGAGGGGGGGTCAGTATTTATTATGGGGACTTTTTCTTTGTACTAATGGGAAAATTGTGGTTATTTTTCTGCACTATGATAAGATTTGAGCTCTAACAGGTTGGATTATGAACATCTACGACTACCAAAGCGTTGTATTCTGTTATGTATTTATTGCACTTTATATTTTTTCATAAAAATTGTGCATTTAGAGTACTTTTTGTGGATAATTCTGCTGGCTGCATATCATGCTTTAACATTTTGTCCCATTACTTTGTTTTTTTAAATATGTACTTTTTAAATTGTATTCTGTGTACAGCATATTTGCCTGTTTAGAAAAGCGCTGTATTGTTATTAAAATGTGTTATTGTGACAGGCCTAATTGGAGTAATATATGTAATACCATTTTATATTTGATTGATTGGACTGCCCGTTTAACCAGTGTAATAATGCTATACTATACAATTTGCCGTACACCTACCAGTTCCATCTTTTCTATGAGCAGCTTCCTTCTCTCCACAACTTCTTCATGAGTCAGAGGAAACTCCCCCAGAACCTGAAACAATGTTCACCTCGTTTCACCTCATAAAGTTGAACTGTTATAACACAATAAGATTAATGGGGTCTAAAACAGCTTAACTGCAGTTACAATGGCATTTGTACAAGTTAAAAGCCCTAATGTAATTTGATACCTTGGACAAATGAGCAGCCCCTGAGTCTCCGATCTGATTGTTGGCCAATGAGAGGTAGATTAAGGAACGGTTAAGACGCAGGCCCTGCACAAGAACGCTACATTACAACATTATATGGTAAATGCAAAGGAGTGGCTGTAGTAAAAGAGCAAAGTAATAAGAGCATCAAACAAATCTAAAAACATTGCTTCTATTTTTCTCCAGCATTAATAATCTCTCAACTCTTTTACTACTACTTTAAACTTTACCTGAGCAAGATACACAGCACCTGCATCCCCAATGTGGTTGAAGGCGAGGTTGAGAAAGAGGAGGTTTTTATTGGCTGTTTTGACTGTTGATAACGCAGAGCCAATCAGACGTGCCCCTTCATCCTTCATTTGGTTATTTCTCAGGAACAGGTGACTGAGACTGAACATTGCAAACAAGAATTAGAGAAACGTGTGGTACTTTAAAGGTGCAATGTGTAACTTTTCTAGTGGAGGGTCTGACACTTATTTGTCTCATGAAGATGTTATAGCTTTGCCAAGTATGTTCCACAGTGCATTAATGACATTTATCTCTTGCATTGATTCATAGGTGTTTTTACGGATGACGGACCTTCCACCAGAAAACCTGCACAGTGTACCTTTAAAGTGTTGCGAAGTGAGTAAAAAGAAGTGAAGAAACTGTAACTTACGCACTGTCCTCAGAGAGAAGCAGGTGGTAGCTATGATTTGGGAGTGGGTTGCCCTCCAAATATACAACTCTAACACAAGTAAGGTAAGGTTAAAGTACAGATTGGCGAGTAAAGCAATGTCATTTTGTTGGGAACAGACTAAAGGATGGATAAATAAAAATGTTTTTTATTTAACTGGATATGCCTATAAACTATTATTGATGTCTAGTAATATACAATATTTTTTAACAATAAAAGAAGGTATACAAAATATCATTGCAGAAACTCATGCTGTAGAATAACGTAAGCAGATGTTTGACCTAACTCTTGTCAATCATCACTGGAAAGGTTTTTCTTCATGAAAAAGTTGCAAAATATTTGAAAATATAAGATATCTTACCTTAGACTGGAGCCCTGTGAGAGTGTGTTTGAAAGTGACTTTACCATTTCATCAGTCAGTCCGGCTTGCCAAAAACTACAAAACAAGATTGACAAAAGAGATCAAAACACAAAGCAAATGTACAGTACAATAATGCCTCTCACTGACTAGATGCTCTGAATTTGACTCAGATCTGGAAGCATCTTGTTCAGAACTTGGCAAATCTGTTCATCTACTTTCCATCCTGTATGTATCATAAAACATTTGTAGTTTTTGTTTTGAATGAAACAAATTAGAAGTCCTTTTAACATCTCTTACCATTTATCCTAAGGCTCTTGCAGCTGAGTGGGCTTTTGTTCTCCAGATCAGCATGGAGATACGGTTTCCACCACTGAGCTGCTGTTTGAGGCTCACTTTCCTCTGTGAACGGGCAATGGTCTTCAATTAGATACTATTTTGACCAACTCTGATAGAACAAACGGCAGTGGATTCACTCTGCCACTGCATCCGACAGATCAGTGTGTGGATGCAAAACAACTTTCTCCAGCTAAACTCAGACAAGACAGACGTCATAGTGTTTGGTCCACAGAAACTAAAAGATAGTGTCAGCAGTCTCTCTCTCTAAAACCTTCAAATCAGGCAAGAAATCTAGGCGTAATAATGGACTCAGACTTGAACTTCAACAGCCACATCAAATCAATAACATCTGCAGCCTTTTACCATCTAAAAATAGCAAAAATCAAAGCTATACTGTCTAAAGCAGATTTGGAGAGACTGATCCATGGTTTGTCTCCAGTAGGTTAGACTACTGTATCGGCCTGCACACTGGACTTTCCAAACAAGCTGTGAGATGCTGCAGTACATCCAGAATGCTGCAGTTCGGATCCTGACTCCAACCAGGAAGTATGAGCACATAAGTCCTGTGCTCAGCTCTCTGCACTGGCTCCTGTGGCTCAGAGAATAGACTTTAAAGCGTCTCTGATTGCATACAAGTACAAGCACCAAAGTACATCTGTGACATGTTAGTGTCCTCGTACTCTAAGGACCTCAGGGACTGGCCTCCCCCAGTGCACAGAGTCAGGACTAAACATGGGGAGTCAGCATTACAGATTCATGCAGCTAAAACCTGGAACAGTTTTCCTGAAGATGTGAGACAGGCGTCTACTTTGAGCCTGTTTAAATCCAGGCTCAAAACGGTTCTGTTCAGCTGTGCATATGACTGAAGGGTTTTCATTCAACATTCTTCTCTCTCATTTAATGTCTCTCTCTCTTTTTTAATTTTATGATTTGTTTTGATTTGTTTGTAGTGTGATTTTAATGTATTTCTTATTCCATAAAGCACTCTGAATTGCTTTGTGTACAAATTGTGCTATACAAGTAAACTTGTCTTGCCTAAATCTAAACATATCTCCTTTATATTTGTTCAATTACAGGGGTTTTATAGCCCAAAAATACATTAAAAACATGAATTCTTACAATGTGCTGGCTTGCTTCTCCACAGATCTGACCATTAACCTGTCTACATTGTAGTTACCAAGTTTATTTCCATACTGTGGAACAATCAAAACAAAATGTACCACACAGTGACATATGCGCGGCACAGAGTCTTAAGATATAGGTCGCTATATCTTCATAGCTTCTCGGCACATTCAGATAATCACAAATAAGAAGAACTCACACAGTAGCACAGTGCTTTATCGCTACTCTCCCTTGTAGACAATTAAAGGTCCAATATTACACAAAATTGACTTTTGAGATCTTTGAGCTGTGTTATTAAGTTATTACGTCATCAAAAACATACCTGGAGTTGTGTTTTGTTTCATTCACACATCTTTGAGTAATGCTTTATTAGTCTGTCTACTTCTCCAAAGCTCAAAATGCTTCGTTCCACATTGTGATGTCATGACAGCTACTTGAGAAGAACTCAGCCTAAATATGCAGTTTTTTTGTGTTAAACATGTGTGAATTATACAAAATGCACCAATATGTTTTTAATGAGAAGACAACATTATAACATAGATCATGTAATGTTTGAGTTTAGGTAGGTTTTGGGTTTTACCTGCTGCCTCTCCCCCTTCTGTTTCTGAGATTTTGCAATAGACAGGTGGTATGTCCTTTATATCCAGGAGAGCACAGAGTTTGGGGAAGTCCACCTGGACATTACCTGTGCACTGATAGTCATCTGTAACATAAAAGCTTGAGTTTTAACTGAACACATAATACACCACCTGCCCCATAGACCAAACATCATGATCCTGTTACTTACCAAAGGTCAGGCTGGTTACTGATCCAGTGGGTGACTGTTCTGGAAAGAAGAAAGCATCCCATAGTAATTGTAGCCAACACCATGAATAAAATGTAATATAATGACATAATAAGTGACAACAATGGCATAAAGCTAAGCATTTTTACCGTGGTCTATATTTACTGAAGAATGTAGATCACATAAAATCATCTGAACAATATCTAAGAAATCATGTTTTCTGTTTAGTCTCTGTTAACATTAATGGTAGAACTGTTACAAAGTAAAAGTAGTAAAGCACTGTACTTAAGCATATTTTAGGTGAATACTTTTTACTTTGACTTCACTACGTTTGAGAACAAATATCTGTACTTTCTAATCAACACAAATCTTTATTATTATTTTTTTCATGTGATACTGTTACTTTTACTTGAGTATTTGTTTGCTCTCGTATCTATATTTTTACTTAAGTAACAAAACTGAGTACTTTTTTCCACCACAGCAAGATAAGCTAATAATTGTTGACTAATTCGCCAAATTGCTAGCCTACATGTTAGTGACGTCCAAATACCTGTTAATATTATGCTTCTTTGTTTTGCGACGTCCTCATCTGCAGCATGCGCCTTATTATCTTTTCCTTTTTTCTTCATCATACTTATTTCGATTTTAAATGTTTATTTTAGCACAGTTTAGCCAAAGTGACGCTAGCTTTGACCCCGCTACAGTCTTTACGTGTCACCATGGCAACCGCTCACGCCGTAGAATGGTGTTTGTTGTGGTTAGCAACCGGAGTCAAGTTCTCACGTTCTGGGTTTTTGCTGCTTTTTATGAAGTTATTTTGTTATTTTTGACTATTTGCAGACATGCCAAGGCAAAAAAAGGCAGACCTCAAAACACTAGGATTCACAATGAAGGCCCAAATGAAGAACTCCGTGGTGATAGGACCCCCCGCGGCCGGAGCTTTCCAGGAGAGACCGTCCAAACCGACCCTTTTTCGGAAATTCTACGAGCGAGGCGAGTTCCCCATGGCGCTGAAACACGACACCAAAGGCAATCACATCGCCTGGAAAGTAGAAATAGAAAAGCTGGACTACCACCACTACCTGCCACTGTTTTTCGACGGGCTATGCGAGACGGTGCACCCATACGAGTTCTTCGCTCGACAGGGGATCCATGATATGTTGGAACATGGAGGTCCCAAGATTCAACCAGTCATCCCGCAGCTCATCATCCCAATCCGGAATGCCTTGAACACGAGGAACCGCCAGGTCATCTGCACCACCCTTAAAGTCATTCAACACCTGGTCATGTCCGGAGAGATGGTAGGAGAGTCTCTAGTGCCATATTACCGACAAATCTTGCCCATTTTAAACATCTTCAAGACTATGAACATAAACTCCGGAGATGGGATCGACTACAGCCAGCAGAAGAGGCAGAACGTAGGAGACCTCATCCAGGAAACTCTGGAGGTCCTGGAGCGCTACGGAGGAATGGAGGCCTTCATCAACATCAAGTACATGGTGCCCACCTACGAGTCCTGCATGATCAACTGAAGGCTACACCAAAGCAAAAATGATATAAAATCTCTTATGGATTGCATGTGAGTTTTATCTAAACATAAAAAATAACTTTATTCTGAAATGGGCTAAAACCAAATAAAGATATATATGACCTGAATAAAATAGTAACTTGTATTTTGTAAAGACTAAATTTACAATCGGCACCAAGTCGGATCACAATTATGTAGTGCTTTTATTAAAAAACAAACAAACAAAAACAAATATAAAACAAAAAGTAAAAACCAACAGCATTTGCATGACTTAAGAATCATAATTACAAACGAGTGGAAGAAGATTCTGACAAACTGTACACATCACAAAATCTGCCAGTCTGCCATTTACAATGCTTGCATCTTATTTTGTGATTGTCTAAAAATAACTAAACAAATCACACAAAACGCACAAATACAAGTACAAGCATTATACAATGACTGCTATCACAAAACCGTTTCCTATTTGAAAGAAAAACAAATAAACATGATATCAGGCTGACAGCTTCACTTTTGTTTCTGTCAGCGTTCAAAAATATTATAACATTTTTATGTTGTTTGTTTTTTTAGTGTTCAACACTTTGCAGCAAAAACAAGGAGTAAATTTCTCCTTAAAGTTATATTATTAACAATATTCAGTGACAAAGGTGTCTTTGTGGAGCCACTGTCCAATGCCTTCTGCCAGACATTCGATCATGCACTACATAGAGAAATTTCATTTATAGGCAACAAAAGCTTCAGTTTGTGTCTTAACGACAGTAAGAGATTTAAGGACATTAAAAAAGTAATTTCCTCCGAGCTTAAGTGTCTTCATGAGAGTAATACAAACGGAAGAAATAATATTATCATTATTATAATAGTCATAATACATTTAGGGCCTGTACAGTACAATAATAAACAAATCCATTTGGAGATATTGCTTTTGGAGACACAATGTAAAGTGTTATTTACAAACATTGGCACTGTACAGCTTCCTGTTTCGGTCTGTCTCCTTCTGTCAGTTTAATGGGACTCTCAGGACGTCCCTTTTAGAAGAGGCATTTTGGGGAACGATGAAATCTCATCAAATATCACAATTTAAAACATTCTCCATGGCAACCAGGACATAGTTCAAAGACAAAGAAGGAAAATCCACCCCCCCTCCCAATATACAGTATATCCCCTCCCTATCAGAGTATAAGAAAATATGACCATCACGATACATTTCATGTTAACTATTGTTCTCATAATTTTCTTAAAACTGTTAATTGCCATCGAGCCCTTAATTTTTTTCTTTTTTTAAAAAGGTATAGTTTGAATAAAGAAGCACAGTCAGTGTGCGCACTCACAGAAGGCAGTGGGCTGGGCGCTAAGGCGTAGTCGAGGTCCCCTGCTTTATTTGAGCTGGTGAAAGTGTTACTGAAGCAGAGGCGGACTCACGGCCTTAAAGGTTTTACAAAATTAAACCTAAACAAGACACTTTGACAAAAAGCGCAAAAAGCTTCAAAAGGTCCCTCCCTTCTTTACTAAACAAACCCACCCCAGTTTCAGATCCCCAATGAGTTACAGTAAAAGAGAAAAAGATAATAGACTTTAACTTGTTTTCAGACTGCATCATCCAATACTGAGAGTTAGTGTGTTCCATTATAGATACATTACACAGAGCTCCTCAACTTCCTCTGTACCAAAAGTGCAGTTCTCCAACTTCCTGTTAATTCCACGTGTGAGCAGCGCCTTAACGCCTCCACTTGCATTTGTCCTATGCCTGTCCTCCTGGCCCCCACCCTTTATCACATGTGGTCATTGCAGCAAAATCCCACAAGGGGGAGTTATTCTCTAGCCTTCTCATTAACAGAGACAACCTCCCCCACCCCATTCTTTTACTCGGTAATAATTTCTATCCAACCCAAGTTTGTGATGTCCAAAACAGGATGTAAGTGCATGGGTTATGTTTCCTATGGTCGTTATACAGTTTTGCATCATAAATAAGCAATAAGTCTTGGTCAGCTTTGTCAGCAATTGCCATGAAGTCAGCATTTCCACACCCTTTTAGAGTCAAGATGGCGGCGTAAGAGGTAAGCTCAGAAGAGGTCCCCAGTGACACATTGTGGTTGCTAATGGTTAGTCAGCTAACAAGTCTCTCCACTACATTTGCTGCCCTTTGCTCAAAAAGTGTAGGTAGGTAGCAAATTATCTTCTGCCCCCAAGCCCCCCTAGTCCAAGTGCCCATGGTAAACTCAAAAGCGGGCAACCGTAAGACCTCTTTACAAATCTACCATTAATAACTAGACAATCTTCTCCCATCTTGCCATTTTTATCAATAAACTTAGCAGCTGCGCTAGCCATACATATATGTGTTTTAGGTTGTGCTAAAAGGTGAAAGAGTTAAGTGTTAAAATGTACTGCATAGGTTCAGTAAAAGTTTGGGTAATATTGTTTCTAGTAAAAATGCCTAAAGAATAAAATACAGCTGTCTATGTATGTATACTTATTAGAAGCCTTAGCAGCAGGACTGTAAATGACACAGTTCAAACAAAGCATGGAGAGATCAGAAAACAAAAGACTTAAAAAAAGAAACAATCAAAACATCTTTCCCTGCCTTTTGACGTAACAATGATTCATAGACCCTCATTCGTCAGCGGGTCGACCTTGCCTGGCCCCCTCGCCGCTTTTGTTTGGTGTCCTGTGAAGCAGATCTAGCAAAATCTTATTGAGTCTCTCCCTCTGTGCCTCCCGGCGTCCCAGAGCGGGATGGGGCAACGGCGAGGACGTGGACGACAACGGCAGTTCCAACATTTCGCCCAAACGTCCCGCCAAACTCTCCTCCGTGTCCCGCCTCTTCTCAAGGTCCGCCCCTTCCACTTCCTCCTCGCCAGTGTGGTCGCTCTTCTTCTGTTTCCGCGGTTTGCTGGCAGACAGGAGCGGAGGGGCGTGGTCCGGAGGGGGCGTGTCTATATCCAGGTCCTCCGCGCCTCTGCTGTCCTCGTTCAGGAATTCCCGCTCGCACGAAGAGGAAGCGTCGTCCTCACATCCCTCGCCTTTTGGACGCTCACTCTTCCAGGCGGATCTGCCCCCGTTCCTCTTGTAGTTGTCGGGAACATAGTGTGGCTGCAACAGAGGGGACAGTAATACATCAGAAATACAGCTCAGGGATGTAAACTTTTTGGTAGACTTATACATAGGGAATTTGGCCTCAGTATTTGACCCATTTTTTGTTACCGTTTTGTTGCAACCTGACAAGAGCAGAGGAGTGGAGGGCCTTTTCTAAAAATAGTCGTCAACTTTCCCTGAGGGTTTGAAGCTAACTAAAAGCACTACTCTGTTAAAAGCTCAGTTACTCATGTTAGGCTTTAATCTGAGCTTTGTCTAACGCAATCTGCCCAGAAAGAGCTGACTTAGTTGGAGCTAGGGGTGTGCAAAAATATTGAAATATCGATACATCATAATGTTTAATGTGATGATACAGTATCGATATCATGGGCTGCTGTATCATTATATATCACCAAGAGTATTTTTTGATATATTTTATTTACAAAATTATTTTGTTACAGCGCTACAGTTTTGTTGGTTGTTTAGAGAAAGGAAACTTGTTTAGGCAACACATTTGGCATATTCACTGTTTTGATGATTAAAATGTGTGTGTTTCATATTAACTTTGCACAAGAAGTGGTTTAACAAAGACTTTTAGTATCACAGCCACGATTTGGCCTTTATTGTTTATTGAACCGTATCAGATTGATTTGAAATATCTCATATCGAACCGAGAGTGCACTGTATCGAGATATGTATTGTATCGTGGCGTGTGTATCGAGGTATGTATCATATCGGCTGCTTCTTAATGATACCCAGCCCTAGTTGGAGCAACAACAGGGGAGCTGATTTGGAATGTTAAACAAGTCTCTCACACGTTTTGAGTAAGTCACTCTCACGCTCGTATTGATCACAGAGTCCACACTCATTTGTTCTTGATCTTAAAACTTTTTTGTCTGTGTTTGCTAATCTAATGTGTGCATAGCGTCACCATGGTAACAGCCAAATATTCTGTCAAAAGAGATACCTGTAGAACACCCCTTAAAAGAAGAACTACACAGAGTTACTAAATGGATTGTGTTATGAAAAATCTAGTTTTTGAGTTTTCCAATGGTGTTTCCTCATCAAATAAATATGGCTCACTCCAGAAAGCAATGACCAGTCAACAGGCCCTCTCAATTTAGTTTGCTTTGACTAAATGTTATGTACAAAACAATACAGGAAAATAAACATAGAACTCTATAACCCTATTTTTAAACTGTAAACAAACTACAATAACTACCCTTTAATGTATTTCCTGATTAAAAAGAACAAGTGTTTAAAGTAAAATAAGTTCTTGGATTGAAAAAGTTTGAGTTAAAAAAGATTTTCGAGAATATGTCCCCATACTTCAAGTTTATAACCAATACTATACAAGTCTGACATTAGTTCTCTTGGTTCAAATATGATATCTCTGCAGCTGATCTCACTTCATAGTTACTTGAGTGACTGTACAAAGCCTTTAGTTGTAACACTCTCTTCACTGTCAGTATATCTAGTGTTGAAAAGAAATGCTGCTCTCACCGAGAAGTCTCTCTTGGGCGTGAGTCGCTTGGGGAAGTGGTTGAAGGCGTATGGCTTGGTGCAAACTGGGTAACGGTTGCTGTGAATCTTGTAAAACAGATGAGCAGATTTGTCCAAGCGGTAATCACAGATGTACACGTCCTGCTCCTTCACTCCTTTGGGTCGTCCTGTAGGTACAAACATGGATTTATAAGTTATAAGTTATTCAGTTATCATTTCTTTGTTTTTTGGTATTTTTAGTCTTAAAATGTTCATATTAACCCGCTCTACATGATCTTGGTATTTTTATGTAAGAATAAACATCGTGATACTGTATTGTCAAAAAACAGAGGGAACTACATAGACCATGATCCTGTGGTACTGTCAGTGCAGACTAGATGAAGAAATAGCTGTTATTAAACACTTTTACATCTTAATTCTTCATATTATAACAGTACAGAAGGTTTTTCAAGGTTTTTGAAAGGAAAAAGTAGCAATATCGCAATAAATATCGTAGCATGTTGTGAAAAGTTTGGATATTGTTACATCCCTACTATTTTGTTAGTTAATCAATTCGTATCCTTAATATAGAACTGGCTCCAAATTTGCCCCTATAACTGCTGGCCCTGTGAGCTTCACTTGACTGTCACACTCCCTCAGTCCACTTATTTATACAGTCTATGGTTGCACATAGGCTTCTTCTTAATCACAGTGAAATCGAAATTGCAATTTGAATGGACGAAACTAGAAAATCGCAATGGCTACATTTCTGAAGTACCACAAACAACAAAATACCCCGTCTTAATTGGCATACAAACTGCTAACCCTGGAGTTTTGATCTGTACAAACATGATCTGAAATGTGATTCTTGTATTAGTTTGTCAGTTCATATTTTGCCAATTCTCCAGGGTGTGTTTAAATTGGGAACTTTGAACAGATTCCAATTATTAAAATATAAAGAGCAAATCTGATCTTAATCGCAATGGCTGTAAAAAAAAATAAAAAATTCAGCTGTAGTACTAAGGGGTTCTAAGTCCTGAATTTTTCCTTTCATTATCATGCTCTTTTTGATATTTAAAAATGTTAGACAGCAATTTGTCAAAAAGAAAATCAAGTAATTGAAATCCCCTGCTCAGTACAGTGAAATTTCACTATGAATAGTTGGGGCTAAGGTCACAATAACAGCTTTTGAAGTATGATATATTGCTGAAGAGAACATAAATAATAAACGATAACACTGAAACTAAATTATAGCACTTACACGATAAACCTGAAATACAATTATTCCTAAAAGACTACGACTATTAAATGTAAAATGTAAATGACTAAGACTATTAAATGTAAAATATGGTTAACTTTCAGAAGTGTCCTTTGTGATACTGTAATACTTGTAATACTATTATCTAATATAATAAAATAAACAATGTTGGGAAAAAAATAAATGATACTGAATTCTTATTTGTGTGTTTTAATAATGAGTAAACAGCAGTGGACTGGACCTGACCTTTGCAGTAGGTGTAGAGGTCCAGGACACAGCAGGGTCCTACCACAGCCTCCAGGGGGATGATCTCATACAGAGGCATCCGGAACAACTCGTTCTGATAAAAGCGCCGTGATGGAGAATGGTGCGTCTCATGTGGACGGAAGTAATGATGACCAAAGGCAAAGCGCTCCCCCCTTAAAAAAGATAAGAGCAGGTGTTACTCATTTCTAACGTGAAGCTACAATTTCAATGAAAGGAAACGTATTAACTGTGATTTGGTCCGTGAAAAGGTGAAAAAAGCCTAAAAAAGCCTGAAGCTGAAGTCTTGTGAGGCATTGTTCAAGACAATAAATCTCTCACTGGAGTTGCAGATTTTATTACATCGTAAATTACAGGAAAGTGTCACTAAGTGCAGCTTTGAATGCACAAAAGAAAGTAGCTGAAAAGTTGTCCAAAGACATGCTTTAAAAACATTATTGCTCAGTGAATGCACATGCTTCACAATGTCAAATTATAACTGTGAAAGCATTCTTTACAATTTCATAAATGCCACAAAATATGACTTTCTTTCACTTTTTTTTTTTGGCTGCTCAAACTAAAAACTAATTTACATAAATATCAACTATACAATGTTACATGTCAAAAAATGTGTCATTTTAATGGCAGTGTATCCTAGACAAGTGTACAACATATGATTTAAAGGTGCATTGTGTAACCTTTCTAGCGGAGGGTTCACCACCTGCTTGTCTCTATGGTGATGTTACTGCTTTGCCTGGGATATTTCACATTATGGCATTAAACAAATACATCTTGTCTTTATTCAATTACAGTTAATATGTTTCCTTTCTATGTTTTTCTTTCTCAAAACTATCACCAAAACATGCATTATTACTTTGAGCAGGTCCACTTCTCCACAGATCTGACCTGTAACTTAGCCCTTGTCTCCAAGGAGTTTTAAATTAAATGTCATAGTGTAGACTATTTCAGGAAAAAACAACATGGAGTCAAGAAAGTGGTGGACCTTCTACCAGAAAAGTTACACAGTGCACCTTTAAGATGTTCATGAAATGCCTCAATCATCCTTCAGTTCTGGTCAGATTTAGGCAGATACTGTATAAGGCATTGTCCATTACCAGTCTGACTTGGATGTGAGCTGAGAGACATACTCGATCAAAACACCTTTGTCGAGTTGACAGAATTGAGTTTTTCCTTTGCTACAGTGCACCTTTAACTTTAAGCAGTTGAACCCAGAAAAATTGCAGATCATGGACTCACTTTTCGTTCTTCCAGAGCTTCTCGATCCTGAAGATGTCAAGTTTGTCCCGGTTGACGTGGGTGAGCTGCCGATACGACTGTCGGACAGGCTGGCCTTCAGGACTCCTCCTGCTGTCCCGCATCAGGTACACACAGTCCCCTGACACACACAACACACAACATTTAGACTTGACTTAGACTTAGATTAATTTCTCTTTCCTCACTTCCTTCTCCTTGATTCCTTTCCTCACTTCTGCAAAATGGGTGAGGAAGTCCCACCCACAGAGAAAACACAGGTAAGCGAGGGGATATAAACTCCTCACTGAGACCAATAAAGTTTGATTCTTTTAACTGATGTCTGCCTCCTGAGGCCTCCCTCATGTTTACTCACTCCTTCTGTAGTTTTGTTTGGGACACCACTTAATATGACACATTTGATTGACAGCTGAAAAATCAATGTCAAATCAAAAATTAGCAATGAGAAATTGTCACCCCTCTCTCTGTAACTGCTGCTTTGAGAGTCATCATTTTGGTCTTAAAATGTTTATAATAACCTGCTCTACATGATCCTGTTGTTTTTATTTTGCTTTCCATGAATAAACTTCTCTTCCTAATATTGAACTGGCTCCAAATTCACTCCTATAAGTACTAACATCGTGAGCTTCATTTGACTAGAGCTGAACGCTGTGGGGGTGTCAAACTCCCTTAGTTCACTTTTTTATACAGTTTATGATTAGGCCACGTGTAGAACTAATTATTACTTCCTTGATTTATTACAGACTGATTACAGTAATGCTAACAGAATGACAGAGGTCTTGGTGAAGATGTTTCTTGTACCTTGGTGTAGCAGCAGCTCGTCCCTGAGGAGGCAGATGTAGTAGATTGAGCCGGCCTGAGCGTAACTGGGCTGTGGAATCATGGGAACCTCCTGTAACAATAACACAGCAAACAATTCAATTAGGAAAACAGCATTCAGTAACGCAATAGGCTTCTGTATTGTATTATAGCTGTAAATAATATAAAGTTAAAGTCTTACATTGTCCACAGGCCGAGGGTCACACTGCTCACACAAGTAGTGTTCAACCTCAGTCTCCAGACGCATGCAGTCGAAATGCTGCCAGACCTGACATTACAAGAGAAGAGTTACAGTTAGTCACACCTTATTATTATTATTATCTTATTATGTAATATTGAGCAATTGAAAATGAGCAAGCGAACAATATTACATGGCTGCGAATGAGTAACAGTAAATGTTGCCAGACCTGACATTACAAGAAAGCAGGTTAGTTGCACCTTACTAAATATCTTGCCTGTGTTGCTGATGCCAAACTGTGAATTTTCATCGGAATCAAAAAAGTATCTATCTATATTATCTATTTATCTACATTATTATCTTATTATCCAAGTCCAAATCCACTTCACTTATACAGCACTTTTTTCCAAGGTGCTGCACAAAGATCGTAAAATGAAAACAGCAAAAAATATAATTACTAAAAATGTGCTCATACTAGTCCTAAAACAATAAAAATCAAATAAAAACAAAACAATAAAATATATAATAATATATAATAAATATTAGTATTATTATGATCTTGTAATTATGCTACATCACTATAACCAGTATTACAACACTACCATTACTTATAGCAATACAGTAAGAAACAACACCTTGTATAGTATCAGGAGTCTAATAAGGCTCCATAATGCACTACTCCTACAAACATTTCAACTACTAGGGCAAGGAGACAAAAAAAATGGAGATGATATTCTATTTTGATCAGATTGTTGTAACGTGATTCAGCGTTTTCAGCACAAACACACACTTTAGCAGCAGGACACAGAGGAGGGACACTTTTTTCCTGGGGCTCTTACTCTCCTCAAACTGGGCCGACACATGATCTGCTCCTTTTGAAAGTTCGCAATCAAAAGGTCAGCATTTAGTTATTTCATAATGGTATATAAAACATACTCACTGCATGAATCACGCTAAAACCAAAATCATGATCTAGGCTCTAAAAAATTTGTGCTATATTATTTTTGAGTGTATTGCCATCAGCTACCATTATTACCACTGTCACTACAAGTGTAATAAAAATGTACCTTTGAACCACCTCTTCTGCGTAACCACTCGTCTTCTGTCTAACTACTTTCTCTGTCTAACCCATGGACTGTATGCATAAATGGACAGCCCCAGCTAGACACTACATTCCAAATAGGAAGTTCACATGCGGGCTCTTCCGACTCCTACTGACCCCGGCTCCCACTGACTTACATTAGAATAAAATGTAAATAAGTAAATGTAAATGAGACATTAGAACATCTCTCTGTAACTGCTGCTGTAAGCCTCGTCATTTTGGTCTTATATATGTTTATATTAGCCTGCTCTATATGGTCCTGGTGTTTTTTTCACGCTATTTTGTCCCTTTAAAAATCCCATTCATAATAGAAAGTCTGGATCCAATTTTCGCCCCTGTAACTGTTCACTTAGTCCACTTCTTAATACAGTCTATGATCTAACCACTCGTCTTCTGTCTAACCAATAATCTTTTGTCGATCATGAACAGAAGATTCCTCACCATGCACTTTTCACACTGGATCATCAGGCCCTCATCCTTGTACATGCCACAGATGCAGCGGATCACGTCATCGTCTTTCTCGTGGGCCTCGGGGTTGTGTTCTCGCTCCAGAGAGTCAGAGCTGTCCGCCTCGCTCACCGTCTCGCCTACGATCTCATCGATCTGAACTGCTGCCTCATTTCGAGCGCTGAAATATGCTTTACGCAGTCGGTACACGTCACGCGCAACTGACGACTTCCTGCCGTAGTATTTCTGAAAGAGCACAACAAACAAAACAAAACAAGAAAACTTAAGCAAAGATTTTTTTTTAATATGCAGTAGTGTTTTGTTTCATTTTTAAGATCACAAACTGTTATTTACATCAAAATAATTTTCTTGGAAAAATAGTAGATACAAGAGGATCATGTCTGACAGAAACGTGTTAAATGTCCAAAAACAATTATTCCAAGAAATTGCATCAACAACCAAATGAAACCTGAAAACATTCAGTGTGTAAAAATCGAGAGGCGGCGCCAGAGTCAGTGACACAAAAACCTACTTACACAAAGTGAGAGGCCTCAAATTCAACTTCTCCTTTTCACAAAAGAATTAGGTCTCAAATTACATGAATTTAATTTAAAAACCCACTTCAAACTTGTGGCTGCTGCTTAGAGCTTCTTCAAGAGGTTTCAAGTACCACTTGTTTAAACCCTTCAGCTAAACAGATGTAAATCTATGGGGTTTATGTTGAGGGTGCCAAAGTCTACTCTAGAAACTGGCAGCTTGGCATTTGAAAAAAATACAAACTTTAATCCTAGTTTGAATCTGGTTTAGCTCTGTAGATGTCGGGTGGTCGTAGTTCACATCCACAGTGCATTTATGCACATTTAAAAACTTAAGTTGTGGAACTGCTGACGATCAAGTTGAAATTCAGTACTTTGTAATTATATCTAAGCCTGTCATGATAATTACTATATCAGCTTATTGTTTATATGAAAGTTTATGGGCCTCAATATTTATCATGTGTTCAATTTTTTGCAACTGTGAAAATATTTGAGGTATTTCTGCTTCATTAAAATAAGTTGTAGAAGATTGAATAATCAACATTTACGGCTAATTATTGGTTAACTCTGTTATTTATGTGTTGCAGCTTGGGCCTTTTAATGATACTGTCAATTAAAAATGGTTTATAGGGATTATCCTGCTTTGTGTCAGTGGAGTAAACTAGTTTCACTATTAACGCTTATCACAGTATATCTCTGTAGAAATATATTGTACTTAAAAATTTGTTATCGTGACTGGCCTAATTATATCCCTATTAGTTGACACCAAACTGACTGTTCTTCTTATAAAAAACAATATTCTGTCAGATATCGTTCACTTTTTTTGTAAGAAATGCACAATTACACATTCAAATTACACATTTCCTGCAGTTAACTATAGTCTAACTGGATAATCTCATGTAAAAACATAAAACTATAATGGATTAGTGCAGAAGCTGTACCTCGGCATTGCGGAACACTTTAAGCATGTCCGCGTCAAAGGCCTCCACTGTTTTGTAATGCCCCGTGAGGATCTGCTTCTCAATGGTGCTCAGGTCCAAAGGGTCAGACACCTTTTCATAGTACTGACTGTTCCTGTATTGAGCAAAAAGACAAGGCTCATTAGTAGGAGTTCACAATAAAACAGTATTTAATGGCTCAATTGAATTTGTCTGTAATGTGAGATGTTACAAGTAGCTCTCAAACTATTACTCAAGTTGAAATAGTCAATTAAAGGTCCTATATTATGCAAAAGTGACTCTTGTGAGCTTTAAGTCGTGTTATAATGTTATTACCTCATCAAAAAAGTATCTGGAGTTGCGTTTTGCTTCATTCACACATGTTTAACACAAAAACTGCTTATTTGGAGCTTTTCTCTCAAACACTCCACCTTGTGATGTCATGTGGTAAAACAGGAAGTGCTCCATTGTGTTTTTAAACTCCATACACCTTCACTATAATCATTTGGGTGAGTTTAGCCCTGGAATAGGCTCTATTCACGCTTACGTCACAAACCAGGAAGACGTTTGGAAAGATGCGATTATAACTTCCAGTGTAGCGTGAATAGAGTCTATTGCCAGTCTCTATTGAACTGAAGGTAAAAGTTAGCTGTTAACTTGACAACTACCACGTCATGACATCACAAGGAGGAACAAAGCATTTGAGCTTTGGAGATGTGGACAGACTAATAATAAAGGATTACTCAAACATATGTGAATAAAACAAAACACAACTCCAGGTGTGTTTTTGAGGAGCTCACAAAGCTCACAAGAGTCACTTTAGCAAAATATAGGACCTTTACAAAATTTAAGTGTGTAAAAAGATTGTATAAGGCAGTGTTGTCCCCTCAGCTTGAATCCTCTACCATATTTCTTTGTGTTTAAGGATAATCTAATGTGTGAATGAGTGCGACCACTGTGCTGCTGCTGCTGCCATAGAGACATAATGAGCAGTAATTGTGTTGACTCCAATAGATTAGCACCCAAACTGGAAACAAATCAAAGTGGCACAGACTGTCACGGCTGAATTGTGAGGCTGCAGATAAAGCTGTTACTCTGTGTGGATGTTGTACACTGATGGTTGAGATAGCGCAGCACTGAGCCTGTCTGCAAACACTCAAACATTATAAATGAGCTCTGACCATGTGGGTATAAGGGACCTGTTACCTTTTTCGAGACGGGAGGTTCACCAGTGGAGCGGCGAGTGTCTGGCCAGAAGAATCTAAAAAAAAACAAACAATTCAATCAATATTAGAACAGGGTGCAAAATGTAAAGTGGATGTGCTTATATCCGATACACTTTGTAAGTTTGTTTTATTGAATTGTATTTACTTTTCTTATCAAAAAGAGTTCCATCAGGCCTGATACTTTGACACTTGGGTAATAGGGCAGAGTGAATGTGGTTTGTAAATTTGTTTTAATCTTTGACACTGCAAAATTAAGTTTGATTGATGGAATTACACAAAACCAAAACTAAATAAACTGATTAAAAATGTTTTGCCAAAAGATTTATTGGTCAGTATATCCTCTTTAAATGTATGAATTTAACCTTAGTCCATTCTCTGCTCAGCTCATCTGGTTCTAGTAAACTGTTTTATGGAAAAAATATTTCTATTCATCCATGATCTTATTCACAGGTTTCTCTCAAAGAATGTTGAATATCTGCAACATTCTTAGGAGTTTTTCTTAGAGATATAATATTTAGTTTAAAATTGTTAATCGCTACAGCAACGATTCTGAAACCCATGGATAGAAGTTATTGCATATCTCTACGCCTGTCATTTTTAAGGATAACATATTGGTGAAGAAAATATAGCAGGATTATACCCCAAAACTATTCCAAATGTGCAAGGTAATTACAAAACATGGAGTGCAATAAATTAACGGGTGAATAAACTTTAGTATTTAGTTTGCATCAACATAGTGAGTAATGAAATCATATTGTAGTACATAAAAGTAACAAAAAGTTCCAGACTAGTAAACAGAAAAAGTACTTACATAAACACTGACCTCCTAACTATTGTTCAGGCTTTCATATATTGAACCATGAGACAATTAGTAATTATTGTGACTGCCCAAGGTTTATTGTTTGTCTAAAATACAGTAACTGTGTGGGGACATATTTGAAGACAGTGCTGACCCTTGTAGCTGGTGATCATGTCACAGATCTCCTTAAAGATGTGAGCGAGACGGGCGGTGCGTGTGACCTCTGTGTTCTCCTCAGCCGCCGCAAGTCTTCGTGTCCGAACCGACCGAGACGTCTGCAGCGCTGAAAACTGGGTCAGGAACACGTCTGGACAAAGAGACCAACATAAGAGTAATGCACGAGGTACAAGCTTTTTACAATGAATGTATATTGATAATCAACGGCCCATTGTCCAGAGAATGTCAGGGTTAACCTTTGTTTTGTTTCCCACAGTGAATTGGTATTACTGTAAAATGACAGGAGCTTACATTACTAATCATGACACAAAAATATGATACCTCAGGGGATTATCCTAAAATTGAATTCCTGCATTTGCTCAACAGTGGACAATTCCAATAACAAAAGTTCAAGGATTTACAACTTCAGGAGACAAAAAACATAAAATACTATAAAAAGTGACAGCCATTAAATTCTACTTTGTTCGTAATTCTTAAAGTCTTCAGATTTATTGAACTGTATTCACATTTCTTGTTCCATCAAGCCTGTATTGATAGTATTGCAGTGACATCATGCTAGGGGTGTTCTACATGTATTTCTATGGAGGAATGTTCTGCAGTTACCATGGTAACACAATGCACACATCAGCAAACACTGCCAAAAGAATAAAAACACAAGATGGATTTAAATGACAAATTTTCACAAGCCTGTGATCAATTCGAGTGTTGATGGTCCTGTTTAGGTGTTTGATTTTCAACAAAAAGGTGAGAGTGAGAAACTAAAAAACTGTTGACTGTAATTTTAGGTGTGAGACACTTGTTTGACAGCACAAATCAGCTCACTGGTCAGATTATGTTAAAATAAAACTTAAATTAAAGTCTAACAAGCCTCAGATAGAGCAGTCCATACAGTTAATATCACACCCTCAGGGAATGTAAAGCTGTTAAGTACCAATTGTTTAAAGGGGTCAGAGTATCTTGTGCCCACCTGACTTGATGTTGCCGTCGTCACGAATGACACTGCCCCAGCGTGCGTACATGGACAGGCTGCTGGGGTCCCGCTCCCGCTCGCCCTCGCGCTTCAACAGCTCTTGCTTCTCTCTCATCTTCTCCCAGTTTCTCAGGAGGAAAACTCGATGCTTCAGCACAAAGTTTCTGCAAAATGTTTAAAGGCAAATTATGTAACGTTTCTGTTGGGAGTCCGTCACCTGCTTGTTTCTGTGAAACAACTACTCTGCCTGGAATGTCCCACAGTATGACTTTAAATAGCTCTACCTTACATTTATTCAGTTACAGATGGTTTCACAACTCAAAAGTACCTAGAGAAACAGGCATTCTAACTGTGAGCGGGGCTGGCTCTTCATAGATCTGACCTTTAACTTGGTCTGGTTTGGTTTCCATGATGATAGAAAGGTTTAATGCCATATTCTGAAGCATTCGAGACAAAGCATTAACACGAAGAAAAGCATTTGACGGACCCAGCACCAGAAAATTTAGACAATGCAACTTTAAATTAAATCTCATTATTTTCATATTTGGTGGGAACTATACTATACTTTACATAAGCCTCACATGGTTTTGTTGTATTTGTTTTGCTTATTTAAGGTTTGGTGTACCTCTCTCTGTTGGACATGGGCTTCATGAGGTGAGGGTAACATTTGCTGCTGTCACTGGACTCTTCTTCCTAAAAATAAAAAAACAGGTTTAGAGTTGAGACAATCTCTATTTATATATTTACAATCACAAATATGAGGATACAACTGCAAATACCAGCCTGATAAATAATATAAGTAATGTCTGGTATCTCATTTTAATTTTTTTCATTTACCCATAATGTTTAAAAAACTAAAAAAAAAAAAAAAAAAAAAAAAAACTGCAATTAAAGAGCCCAAATTTCACTATTTTTTGATCTACGTTATAATGTTGTTTCATCATCAAAAACATACCTGGATTTGTTTTTGTTTTTTTTTCATTCACACATGTTTAACACACAAATCCTGCGTATTTAGGTTCTTCTCTCAAACAGAAAACACTCTGTTCCACCTTGTGATGTCATGTGGTAATACAGGAAGTGCACCATTATGTTTTTAAACTTCATATACCTTTACTAGAATGATTTAGATGATTTCAACAATAGAATTGCCAATCTCTACTGAACTATAGGTAAAAGGTAACTGTTAACTTGAAAACTACTTCTACATGACATCACAAGGTGTAACAGAGCATTTTGAGCTCTGGAGATGTAGACACTAATAATAAAGGATTACACATGTGTAAATGAAAAAAAACACAACTCCAGGTGTGTTTTTGAGTCAATAACAACATTATACCAAGGCTTAAAGCTCACAAGAGTCCATTTTGAGTAAAATAGGACCTATAAACACTTTGAACTGAACTCCCAACTTTCTCCTAAAACTACCTAGTTTGAGGGGGTAGGACTTCCTAGAAACTACTGTAAACCCGGAACATTGAGCAAGTTTCTCAACATCTATTACTCATGTCTGGAAAATATTATTCCCAGGAATTCAGGTTTGAAAAGGGGTCCAACATTCTTGAGAACAACAAACTGAAATCACAAATAACTGACCCTTTTTTTGAGCTGATGTTTGGATTTCCGTTTCTCCTTTAGTCGTCCCAGCCGTCTCGCTCCACTTGTTTTTCCTGGGAGTCCATTGATTCTCTGGCTCTTTCCTCCAATGATGCCCCGGCAGCTTTCAGAACCACACTTACATACTTGCTATTGGTCAAAAAACATAAAATATTAACAACCTATGAATAGAACTGCATAAAATATAATAAAATATGGCATGTTGGAGTAGTTTTTTCTTCACCTGTTCCTCTGTGTTGAATGAATGGAAGTTGTAGTCGTAAGTGAGCTCTGTACCACTGCTGATGTCTTTGAGGGCGAAGAGACCAATCCGGTACACACCATTCACAGACCTACAAAAGCAAAATAAGCTGTTAAAGAAGACTATGATAAAACAGTAATACAACTTGGAGGTCCAAGCAGTTACTTTCAGTGATGGGGGTGTTAAAATAGACTAATTAAAGTGCCTATGACAGATTGGACAACACATTTCACCAAAACACAGTTAAGATCATTTATATTTAAGATTTTTAAGGTTTTACTTTTCTTTTCCCAATCTGGCCACTTATTTTAGGTTTATAATTTTACTTTCTGGTTGTAAATCGTGACATCACATTGAGCCAAAAGCTCTGAAGTACATAGAAATTATAATTTGAATAATAAAAACACAACACCTTTATTTTGTTGAAATAATGTTTAAAGTAACAGAAAAAGTGATTCTTGTGTGTAAATTGTGCTCAACTTTTGGACAGAATTCTCCCTAGTGAGATGTCTTCAGTATGTTTAGAACTTCAGAGCTCTACTTTCTGTAATTTTCAACATATTTTTCAACTTTTGTTTGCAAATTGCTTCTTGATTCGTGTACAACTATCATTTATATTTACAACAAGGCCTTATCCCACCAAATGAAGTAGGAATTAGAGAATGGTAAAAATCTGTCATATGCACTTTAAATCAAATGTGGGGTTTGTATTGGGAAATCTGGAAGCATTTGCTGAACACAGATATTCATCAAGGTCATGATCCCATCCTGCAATAGACTCTGCGCACACTGTTAGCGTTACTACTTCCTGTCCAATTGCGTATATATGTTTTTTTGCTGAGTCATGCTACATTGAAAAATATTTAAAGTTTATTTAAAATGAATATTACTGACAACATGTTAAAAAGTAAACAAATCAAATGAATACTTGAGTGGAGAACACTTCTTGGCTTAGAAAGGTAGAGGTTTGTGTCTCAGTGCTAACGCTAATGCTAACGTTGAGGTATAACAAATATTAAAACAACGCCATAAACCGAAATATTCTATATATACAGATAATTGAATTGTGTTGTCTTTATTTTCATTCATTAGAATTTGAATAGTTTGTTCATTTTACATTTTACAAATTGAATCAAAGTGACTGTTAGCTTTGAGTGAGCTAGCGAGGGTGTTGCTATGCAGAGCTAATAGTAAATACAGTATGTTTATCTAAAATATAAAGATTATTGTACAAATAAAAAAATCAACTAATTACATCATGCTTAAAATACATATATTTCTCCACAGTAGACAATTCTTCATTAAGCCCCACCAAGCAATGAGTTATTATTAACATTTTCAGAATTGATCAACAATCAGCGATGAATTGTGAAGCTGTCTTGCTAACAAACCAACCAAAGCCTGTGTCCTGAACATAGATTAGAAGTTAATGACCCATGTATTGTTGTGTACGTAATGGCCCATTTTAAACATGTACTTTCGACCCTTGGGGAAGCAACTGAACTTTGTTACGTAACATCCCATAAGGCAAAGGTAGTGGGGGTGTCAAATTCACACCTCACAGTAAAATAGTGCACAAAAATGTTTCACAGCAACGTCCCAGCGTCAGAATGCAACAACAGCTTATAACGAAAGGTCAGGACGTACTGTGAGCTTAGATTCACTGCCTATAAATGTTTGTATTAAAACCTGAATTTAATTAAACCAGACATAAAAGACAAGGTGCCCCAGTTTTTGGTTGTGCTACTGGCCACTTTTCAACACGTGGTAATACGCGATTTGTCCTACTCCATCGAATCTCAGCACTGGCTTTTCACTATTGTTCTAAGAATAAAGCACACTGTTCTATGTGCCAGGCTCTTGATAATTTATTCTTCTTATAGGGTGAAAAAGCTGGTTCAGCGCATTGTCTGGAGGCGCTACAGCTGTATCCAAGGCCGGGCCACATGTAATCGTTCTTCTGTGACAAGATGGATGAGTCGTCAGGCTTTGTGCGGAAAATCCTCGCTCCTCACAGCGTCTTTCATTTCAAACACACGAGACACGACCACTGGCCTACATTATGAGCTGGTCTTTGTGAAGGGCCCCAGAGCCTCTGTTCTATGGTCATCTCACTCAAGTCAACAGCTACATGGATGTTCACCAGAAGTCCTTGATATAAAGAGAAAGTGACCATTGAAAGAATTGGTAAATAAACAAAAGAACAACAACAACAATGCAAATAAATCAGTACTAACCTAAAATGCAGCCCCAAGCACAAGAGATTAGGAAAGGACAAGACTTATTTCTAAATACTTTCACAGACACTACTAGGGATAGGCTGAAACGCAATTTACTTGATCTTTTTGCAAACATTACACAATTATGGTTTTAAGTCTTTCAAATAGAAGCTCTTTCCTTCTTATCTTATCGTATTATTTTAAGAAATTGTAAATTCATCATTAAAAAACACAAATTAAACACATTTATATGATGAACTGCACAGCCCAAGTTGAGGGCCATGTGGTGTGCTTAAGCTGTGACCAAGACATTTCCTAGTGTGACATGAATCTATTCTGGTTATCAAACCTTAAAAGTGCACTATTTGGCAGGGGGTCCATCACCTGCCTGTTTCTATGGATATATCACTTCTCTGCCTGGAATGCTCCACAGTATGGCATTAAACATCTCTACCTTACACGTATTCAGTTACAGGTAGTTTCAAATCTCAAAAATACCCAGAAAAACAGGAATTCTGACTGTGAATGGGCTTGCCTCTCCACAGATCTGACCTGTAACTTGGTCTGATTTTGTCTTCATGAAGATACAAGGGTTTAATGCCATATGGAGAAACATTCTCCAAAAGCAATTACATCTCTCATTTGAAAGACCCTCCACCAGAAATGTTAAACAGTCCACATTTAACAGTCACTTCTGTTTCTCCTCAACAACAACTCTTTTACCAGTTAAATTAACTTTTATGTGCTCATTCTACACTGGGCAGAGAGAGGCTGACTTGGCTGGGTCCATGGCTGTGTTAGATTAAACCACGCTGAGACAACAATCCCTCAGGAAAGGAGTAAATAGTTTTGGCTTAATGCGAGGCCTTTAAGCCATTCAAGTCTGTGAGCTCTGGCGGAAAGTGGCTGAGGTGATGTCATCAGATTACCACTGCACAACCACATTAATACGAGCGGGGGTTTAGTTCAGAGCTTTCTCCTTTACAATGGGAACACCTGCTGCACGTGCATTCAAAGGCACATGATACTGAAACTACAGAAACTTGAGAGAGGGCTGCACAATATACTGCGTAAATATAGATACAGCAATTAGGGTTGTGAACAGTATCGAAAATCAGATACTAACTGATGCTAAAAATAGTATGGAATTTTTTATACTCATTTGAAGTATCGATACTTAAAACATACATAAGCACCTATCTGAACAGTTGTAGGATGATCACATGATAACATAAGCAAAGTAATATTATTTTATGTTGAAAATGACATTATATTGTCCAATAGGGAATAGAAAAACACAGATCCAGCCTTTTCAGTTCTGATACTGATATCAATACTTTAAATATTTGCCAATACCTGATATTAACAGATGCCAGTGCAGAGACTGAATATGGCACTTATTTCCTTAACACACAGTTAATTTGTTACACAAGAAAATACAACTGTTTTATTTATCCTTGAAATAACTACTGAAAAACTTAACTTGAATAAAAGTTCAAACATTACGAGACGTTCAAAATCAGCCTGTAAATCATCTTATTACATCCAAGAGAATGTTTGGTGATTTTTATCAAGGGAAAAGACGTTATTGCCGTTTTTCCTACAGGATTTGGGAAAAGCTTAATATACCAGTTAGCCCTGTTTGCGGCACATTACATACGTCATGACCAAATAGCAGCGATTGGTCAAATAAAAAAAAAATACCCGCCTACTGTCGAGTGAACAAATCCTAATGCTGTGAGGTAAGACAGTTTCCACAAGGTGAAACTGGCTGATGAATCAGGCTAATAATCAATATCGCAAGAAAGTAAATATGTCACAACAACACAAAGTTTTCTATTTTACAGACGGATACTGTATTTGGAAAGTTAATTTCATTAATGATTTTCCCTATTAGGTCTTACATTATACTTATTTCGGATTGTTTTTAGTCTTTGTTAAGTTTTTATTTTGATCCAGTTTGACTAAATAGAGGCATGTATATTTTTATTTTAAATTAACTGACCTTGTTGTGCCAAAAAGTATATTAAAATACCGCAATACAAAACAAAATTATCGAATATCGCATCTTTTTCTCATATCGTACAGCTCTACTTGGGAGTCACAAAAGACAACCACAGAGCCCTCCAAAAACAGCAGGTAGCAATAAAAAAAGAAATAACCGTAATCTATTAAGGTTCCAATTACTGCTCATTGTGCACAAGGGACTGGAGCACAATATAAAGAGACAAACAGAACAGCATGGTAGTTTTAGTTTTGTTTGGTTCATATGAAAACTAATGGATTTCATACCAAGTTAACAAAACAGTATTAAGCTTTCCAATTACTATATTTAAAGAGGGTGAAATGACACTTTTTGAGCTATTACATTATCAAGTGGAAAACTGAAGTTTTTGTAATTTTTTATGTATGTCGAATGAGTAAATTGAAAGCACACAACATGAAGCACTGACCACTCAAGAAGCTTTTAAAGGTCCACTGCAACACTGCATATTGTAACTCACACAGTGCTGTCCTAAAATGACTGATATATACCAAAAAACAATGGTGCTCATACATAGTTTACTAAAGACAACACATTATATAAAGACCAAACTGAAAGAAACTGAAAGAAACCTGAATTACAGAAGTAAATTAAACCTAGCACAAACAAAATATTCTTCAGTGCTATCAGAACCAAATATATTTTAGCCACAATATTTCTGTATTTAACCAGTACTTGAGCAATGTTGCTATAAAATGTATCTATTTTAATCATAAAAACAATTAGTATGTCACGTGTAAGCATAAACAAGTTTCCTTCCTCTAAATAAGCAACAAAACTGTAGAATGGTCACATACCAAAAAATATACCTATACAGCAGCCCACAATAATGAGACTGTATCACCAAATTTAGTATCAAGATATAGCGATATTTTCAATATTTTTGCACACCCCTGTTGTCAAGTGCACTAATTTGTAATGTGCTCTAATTGTGAAAATACACTTGCCATCAAACCTGGCTCTCAAACATTGGCTCCTGGTCGGATATAAACGCTCGAGCCAAATCTGGACTTTGGTAGGAACCCAACAGCTCCATGGCAGAAGCATTAGGAAGAGGCTGGTTTAAATCTGTTTGACATGGCTCTCACCATTTCTGCATCTCACAGTTGGGTTCACAGCTGTGGTTGATGAAGCGCGCCTCGTTGCCCATTCGGTAGCTGTCGATGACCATCCCACTGTCCAGGTTCAGACAGTAGTGACCGCTGTGCGAGAAGTACTGCTCCATCATACGGCTCCTGGAAACAAAATAGCTTAGGTTCAACTTCAATGGGCTTGTCACAATAAATACTAGGGGTGTGCATTGCCATGAATCTGGAGATATGATACGTATCACGATAAGCCTGTCATGATTCAATACATATCACACTTCAAAATTTGTTTTTGTGACAGGCATAGACTTCAAAGAATTTATTTATGTTTTGTGATAAACATTTCTAGATTTGATGTTATAATTTCAGATGCAGGGCAGGGGACTGTTTAACTCTGTGGGTGATTTACTGTTTTTGGAAGAAATATCCAAACTTATGAACTTATGAACGTATTTGTGTGGGACTGGCTCCAGAAACATGTCATATTAATCTTATGATGTACAGTCTCTTTCTGAAGCTGTGAAAAAATAATTCAACTTATGTTTATTTGTGCTGACAGAGAAGATTTTGAACTTTGTGCCCAATTTTAGGTTCTGTAATTACAGAGATATTAACCATAAACCAGCTCAATAAATCTGCAATCTGATAGCAAATTCCACCATCCTCCAACTCAGTTTGAAACTATGGCACCCTATTGTCCACTCAATGATAACTGTAAACAATTGGTCCCACCTGAATTCGTGTTCGCTGACCACCTCCCCCAGGTACTCGATGATGAACTGCCCCGAGCGAAGGGACTCTTTGGTACGGATGCCCCAGCCTTTTCCCTCCGCCCTGAAGCGCTCCAAACACTGGACCCACTCATGCCTCTGGATGTGCTGGTTATCACACTGGTCACCACAGGGACAGGTGCTGGGGGAGCACTCAGCAAAACTCATCCTGGAAACAGACACAGTCAAATCAACTATTAAAGGTCTGATATTACACAAAATTGACTCTTGTGCACTTTGTGTCATGTTAGAATGTTGTTATCTCCTCAAAAACATACCTGAAGTTGTGTTTGTTTAATACATGGGCCCGGTCAAGCAGAAGTATACAGCAAGGCCAAAAATTCAAGTTAATGCATCTGATATAAAAATGTATTCAACAGATAGCATATGTATTCTAGTTTATGAAACTGTTTACCTTTTTTCTGTACCATTTTTGGTTCTAAAGTTACATACGTTTTAAACATACCATGTATGCAACATGGAACAAAAATTATTTCCCAAATTTCAAAGACCTGCAAATCATGTAAATAAATGTATGTATTTCATTATATCTTGTGTTATTCGATCTTTGAACTGTTGATGAAGGTACATGATTTTTCAAAAAAAAAAAAAAAAGTATTTAAAATGATAAAAATATGCTTGGAAGGACTGACATATTTTATAGAAATAGTTACCTTTCATTTTGAAGTAATATTAAAGTATTCGGAAGAAAAAAGATGACAAATTATGCAAAATCATGCACCTTCTACTTGCTTGCACAATTTTCCCTCAGTTACTTTTCCCTCTTCTTTCTAAATAAAAAATCTCATTACTCAAAAAGTAAGAGGTTTTTCAACCTAATCTTGTACCATACGGTAGAAAACTATATGAAGCAAATATTCAAACCAGTTTGTTAAGGATATGTAAGTGAGAATCACTAGTTATCACTGTTTGTATTTATTGCCCAAAAAGTGCTGCATATTTCATTCCCTCCGTTACCGACATGAGTTTTTAAATTTTTTGTCAACAACTTGAAAGAATATCACAGGTTTAACTTTACCCTGTTGGAGTATTAACTCTTTCCTACATTCTGATACCTTACTTATTTCAATAGTCCCTCTATTTTCTGAATAAGAGCTATTTGAATGTAAAAAATCTGCCCGTTTCCCTCCGTTACCACTTGACCGGACCCACATGCATGTTTGAATAACCCTTTATTATGAATCTGTCTACATCTGCAAAGCTCAAAATGCTTTGTTCCACCTTGTGATGTCATGAAGTGGTAGATTTCAAGTAAACAGCTACCTTTAACTTTTTGTTCAGTAGAGATTGGCAATTCCAGGTCTGAAATTATCCAAATAATTCTAGTGAAGGTGTAAGGAGTTTAAAAACTTAGTGAAGCACTTGTATTGTATTGTATGTACATGAATTACCACATGACATCACAAAGTGGAAGCGTTTTCCATTTGAAAGGCAAACCCAGCCTAAATATGCAGGGTTTGTGCGTTAAACATGTGTGAATGAACCAAAACATAACTCCAAATATGTTTTTGATGAGGTCCATTAAAAAATAATTCATAATGGATCACTTTATATTCATGGGTTTCAGCTTCCTGTTTATAGGCGACATCTCAAGGACTTTTCACCAAACAAAAGAGAGAATTATTTTGTTTTGAGCTGTTCATTGCTATGAGAACAGTTCTAATTTTTCATCCCTCACTAAGCCATAGATGGCACTTTCGAAAGTTGTTGAACAATGCTTTTTTAGATGAGTTGTGTAATCCCTAAGTCATCCAAAACAAGGGTGAATTTTGTCAACAGGAAAAGTTTTAAGTTTTTGGACAGGCACTCATCCAAGTAGTTTCTTCAGATAGTTTCAGTGTATTTGCCTCCTTCTTTCAGAGAGATATTTGAGCTATTCCTTTACCAGAGCTGCACCAGAGGTGAAGAAGCTGCTTGGATAAATGGTGAAACATTTAAACTAAAAAATACCTAACAACTTGTGCCTGGTTGTCAGAATTTAAACGTTTCTAGACACAGCTGCCCTGGGGTGACTGACAGAGATGGGGCTGCCTGCGTCAAGGGCCTCTCCAACTACCATCACTCCTACATTACACTCATACATAGTTAAGGTAGGTTAAGTATCTTGCCCAAGGACACAACAACAGTATGTAGTAATCTGAACTAAACTGCCAACATAGTTTTAGAGAAGTTTACCTGTTTAGGCAGTCGTCTAGGCAACCCTTTTCCTTCGCCTCCTCGGGGGCTCTGCAGTTACATGTTGTTGTTTCATAACCAGAAAGAGGCTTCACGTCCACATAAACATCTACAAGCCAAACAGCAGACGTTTACTGTTTACTTTTACACGAAAAATAAAGACTTAGTTAATTATCGTTAACAAAAGCTGGCAGCAGAACTAAGAAACAAAGACATAATGAAAGGATTTAAGATGGTCAAAACATACTGGTCCAATCAAAAGATTAAAAGCAAAACTCACTTGATCTGAGCTTTTTGTAAAGAGGGACATCGGGCCTCTTGTGAAGCTGTAACACACAAAAGGACAATAAAGAATGAACAATTAAATACAAAGAAACAGATGGTTTATCAGACAGACTTCCGGTAAACTATTTTAAACCCTTTATTCTGGTTTAAACCTAGAAAAGCTGCAACACCATGTACTAATTTTGAGACAAATCACCTGATCGTGTTTCCACAGCCATAAGATGTCATAAGGCAACTGGAAATCAATGCGCTTCTGTCTCAAATACTTCCCTGGAATCACAAAAAGGGGCATTTATTTAGAGAGAGAAAACAGAACAAAAGGAAACATTCACAAGTTATGAGTCTGAGTTAATTACTGAAATACTGAATTACTAAATTATTCTCGGACTTTTTAAAAACTATTAGGCTTTGAAAGTATAATTTTCCGTGAGCAAAATGATCTTAAATCATGACTAAAGCAGGTGCAAACTAGTTCAGACCTAGTTCACTTCACCTAGTCGAGTCTGAGGGACAAAATAGGTCTTGAAAATGCATTTTTGAGGTGCAACGCTAAATGTCATGTTCACTTGTACAGTTATTATTAGCAACTACTGTCTCAATAAGCCTTTTTCCATATTTTGGAGTAAAATTTTGACATTTACACTAGGTTAATTACATAGTTCACAGGAGTTTCCCACACCCCACCTCTCGAGACTATTTGCAACTTGTCTGAACAGGTTTACAGCCACTTCGTCTTGACCTCTGTGTCCTGTGTCAAACCAGGGGAAATCCAGAGGGTGTTCCTTTGAGAAGATTTGACTCAACTACTTCTGTATTTAGTATGATAAACCTAGGATCAAGGCACATGCAAAATCACATGGTTTATAATCTACTGACCGACGTGTATAGGGGCAGGGAACAGGCCATACTCGTGTTCACCAGGTATGTACTCCAACTTCTCCTTCTTCAGTTGTAGGAGCTGACTTTTAGGGCTGCAACGAACAAATAAATAAAATGTAAATTAGGTCTGTGCAGTATACAGAACAGCAAAGTTTATTTGTTGGCAATATCAGCATACACAAAATCCAGAGTAACAAAGTTAAGCACAATAATGTTACAGTTTTGCATCTATGAAAGTCTGTTTATTAAAGTATGAAATTTAAATGTGTTGAAAAGAAATATAAATTCAGATTGTGAGGTAATTTCCATAATTTGTTTCTCTTTAGTTCTGCTTTGTTTCATTCACACACCCATTTTAATACACAAATCCTGCATATTTAAGTTGTTCTTCTCTCAAACAGAAAACATTGTTCTACCTTGTGATGTCAGGAAATGGTCCTATAGTAATAAAGTGTTACTTAAACATGTGTGAATGAAACAAAACACAATTTCTGGTATGTTTTTGAGGAGGTGGCAACATTCTAGCATGTCTTAAAGGTCACATGAGTCAATTTTGACATTTAAAGCAAAACTCAGTAACAGTTAATTTAGTTATTACATTTGAAACCACTTATACATGAAAATGCATGAAATTACTCAAATAAATTACACTAAATATCTCAAAATTGTATAAAGTTAAGCTAGTGCATGGCTCTTCTCGTGTTATTTTAAGGCATCTATAAAATAAAATGTAAAATAATCCAAGTTTTCTTTTCAGCACTTACTCCTCTGTTTTGTAGACATCGGAGTAGAGCCCTGCCTTCTGAAACTTCTTCTTTGGGGGCCTAGCGGGTCTCTTCTCGCGTTGGCTTGGGACCGGGATGGAAGGAGTCTGGTCTCTTGGGACAGTTCCTGGGCGTTCGGGGGAGCCTTGGCCATCTGGCTTGTCTTCCACTGGGCTAAAAATAAAGCAGTGACAAAAGGACTTACAATATGGTCCAATGTACAGTACATTATATCCCAGCACTTTTGGTACAACAGAAAGGAAATGCATTATATAAGGAAAGTGTATGTTATTTTAATGTTAAAATTTGTCAAAATGCTACTTAAAAAAACTGGGCAACATTTTTTGGCAGAATAAAATAAATATGACTCTGTTTGGTTAAAATCTAATGAAAAGGTCAAATGAAATACAAGTATATACATTTTAAAAGCATTGTATGGGAAGACAGAAGTGTTGATTTAAATGTGTACACTGGCAACATCACTACTAACTTTTAATCTGGCAGCATTATAATTATCTGGAAATAAAGTTTTCTTAAAATCATTCTACTATTGTTGTTCTTGAATGATAATGATATGGTGTATAAAAAAGTATGGCAAATGTCTGAAAATGACAAATACAAATACATGACTGAAGTTTAATCAACTTGCTTTAAGTTTGATTGGTTGTTTTTTAATATAGATAAACATGTATCTGAAATACATGGTATTCACCTTGGATGTTCTTGGACCTCTTCTGAGGTGGACCAGTTTTTCACCGTTCCAGATTTGGATGCTACACTCTTGTCTCTCTCCATTCGGTCCTCACTCTCCACCACCTCTCCCTCCTCTTCTTCCTCCTCTTCATCCTCCTCTCCATCCCAGTGTTTCCTCTTTTGGCTTTTCCTGCGCTGACCCTGAACCACACATTCAATGGCATTTTTGACCGAGTCCCCTTCCCATCCTCGGCCTCCTCCTGATGCCCTCTCTGGTACTCTGTCCCTCTGTCTGTTTTGATTTAGCTCCAGTAGATCAAGAGGCGGAGATGGAGAGGGTGGAGGGGAGGGAAGCGGGTGTTTTCTGGGGCGTCCAGGGCCCCTCTTCTTGACCACGTTGTTCCCCGTCCGCGCCTGCCGTTGGAGTTTCTTGGCACGGAGGATTTTGTTGACATGATGCAGGCTGCGCTTAGCGGACTTGTCACGGTGGGACAGGAGGTGGGGCAGGGCGGAGGTCAGGTCTGGGGACGATGCAGATCCGTGCGAGTGAAACAGGGAGGTTTGGTGAAGTCTAGAGAAAGCCCCTTCAGGATCATCAGGTAGGACTCCCCTTCCCTGAAGTGATGATGCCCCTGCCAAAAGCAGAGCAAAGAATTAACAACTTTTACCCAAATAATTTATTAGTTTGAAAAACCTGTAGAATTTAAAGGTGCACTATGTGACTTTTGTGGTGGAGGGTCTACCACCTGCTTGTCTACATGGAGATGTTACTGCTTGAAATGTTCCACAATATGACATTAAACTTCTATCATTTAACATTATCTACCATGGAGACAAGCAAGTAACACCACCAAGCAAAGTTACAAGTCAGATCTATGGAGACGTGACCCCAATCACAGTAAGAATGGAGTCTCCAGGGCAAAAAGTAGGTGGCGGAAAGGTTACATAGTGCTCTTTGAAGGATTTTTTTTTTTCAGAGAAGATAAATTGTTCTTCTGTGTATTCTAAATATAAAACAAATGGAAATACAGTATGGTTGTTTGTAGTAAAGGAAACTTGCGTATAAACTTCTAGCCCTACAATTCAGTTCCTATAGATAGTCACACATACCATTTTCAAAGCCATAGGAATAAGATAATTCATAAACACAGTGTAACCTCCCCTAAGATAAACAGTATACATTCCATCATCAGATCAATTACACAGTAAAAGGTGTTTATAAATGACTACAAATAGCCTTTATAGTAAGCAGCTGTTGTACACGTTGGCTTCTGATCTTTGCCACCCCCTTTTACTTCTTCACTTGTACCTTACTACACACTTGTCTTGGATGCCAGTCTGGACCCCACCCTTTGGCCCACACAGTCCCCAGAGTCCAGTCTGTGACCGCGGGCTGACCCACAGTCCTGGGCTGTAATCCGGGATTACCCTGACTCCGATTGACGGGGCCTTCAGCCTCAAAGAACCTTAAAGCAGCCTTTCTCACTCGCACACAAGGATACAAACATCAAGCAAGTCTGACAGTGTGAAAGCCCCACTAACTTTGATATGTGCCCGGCGAAGAAAATAGAGGGGCCCATATTATTCTATATTATGATCTATGTTATAATACAAACACTAATCCTGCATGTTTAGGATGAGTTCTTCTTTCAAACATAAAACACTCTGTTCCACCTTGTGAAGTCATGTGGTAATACAGGAAGTGCTCTACTGGGTTTTTAAACACCTTCACTAGGATCATTTGGATGCTTTCAGTCCTGGAATTGCCAGTTTCTACTGAACAAACTGAAATTTTGAATCTACTGAAATTATAATACTGAACATATTTTACGCCAGTAATGCAAAGCAGGATAATCCCAGTAAACACATTTTTAAATAGACAGTATCATTAAAAGGCCTGAGCTGCAACAAATAAATGGCAGAATGAACCAATAATTAGCAACAGAAGTTGTTTATTCTACCCTCTACAGCTCAAATCTTACATTAAAACATAAAAATGGGAAAAGTCTCCCCACTGTTACAAATAAAAAACACCCATCATAAATACTAAGCCCCAAAATACATTGCTCCTGCTCATGTTTTCATTTTTAAACATGGCAGAGAATTTACTTGGAAAAACATGACCTGTTATTTTTGTACAGCAGCCCAACAGTCCTTATCACAAACATACCTGGAGTTGTGTTTTGTTTCATCAACACATGTTTAACACACAAACTTTGCATAATTAGGCTGAGTTCTTCTCTCAAACAGAAAACTCTCTGTTCCACCTCGTGATGTGGTAATACAAGAAGTGTTCTACTGTTTTCAAAAGCACCTTCACTCATTTGGATAATTTAGTCCTGGATTTGCCTTTCTCTGCTGAAGAAAAGATAAAAGGTAATTTGAACTTGAAAACTACAGCTTTGTGACATCACAAGTTGGAATAACGCATTTTGAGCTTTGGAGATGTAGACAGACTAATAATGCAGGATTACTCAAACATGTGTGAATGAAACAAAACAGAACTCCATGTATGTTTTTGAAGAGGCAAAAACATTATAACATGGCTTAAAGCTTACAATACTCAATTTTGTGTAATATAGGAACTTTAAAAAGAGGATAAATAAAAATGTTTAAATATTATATCCAGGGGATTTTGAAGATTTACAGTTTATAAAAGCTGAATCATGTTATGGCATTGTATTATTGTATTACCGGTGGCTGCAAAAAAGCTCATAACTCGGAAGTGGCTTAAGAAGGAAATTCCCACTATAAATGAGTGGACTGACAAAATACATAATATCTTTACAATGGAAACAATGACCTTTAAGCAGAAACTAAAGGTGGATGTTTTTGAATAATATTGGCAGAAATTTTTGTCATTTATACCAGCAATTATGCTTGATTTTGCCTGATTATGTTTTGTTAGGCCTGTCATGATAACAAATGTTGAAGTGTGATACATTGCTAAAGTAATAGATGATAAACGGTAATACTGAAACCAAACCATAAAGTGGAACCACCACCCAAAAAGTATTCTAAATGCACAATATTATAAAAAAAAATATGAACTGCAAAAAATAAATACCTGAATGCAAAACTTAAGTAATTATTCTGTATCTATAAAGAAGTATAGAAGTTCATAATTCAACCGTCTACAGCTCAAATTGTATTACAGAAAAATAACCAAATATTTCTCAGCAGTACAAAGAAAAATTACCATGATAAATACTGACTCCCAAAAAGTATTGTTCCATCTTACATACTGAATGATAAGTCGATATAGTAATTAATGTGACAGGCCTATATGTGGTTTGAATTTTTACCCTCTTTTTCTCTCTGTTTCTCTGTTTTATGTGATTGTACAACTAAAAATACAATAAAGTATAAATAACAAAAAAGAGTAATGACAACAAACAATGTAAGTAATAGGCAATAAAAATGATCTCTTTGATCCTCCAAAATGTGCATAGTCATACTCAGACACTGATATGATTCTCAAACCTTTCACACCAGGTGCCACCTATGAAAATATTTGACATTCCAAGTGTTACCAGGTTTGTCACAAGCAGGAACTGTGTATGGGCAGTGCTAACATGCTAGTAGTGGCATTACAAATAGGACGTGAGCATGGGCGCGCTTCCGGCTCCATCAACTCTCACTCCAGGTCACTCTGTATTGAGAAAAATGTCACCCCTCTCTCTGTAACTGCAGCTGTCAGACTTGTTATTTTGGTATTAACCCTCTCTACATGATCTTGATGTTTTTATTTTGTAATTTTGTCCATAAATCAATTCCTGTTCCTAATATGGAACTTGGCTCCAAATTTGCTCCTGTAAGTGCCCAGTCGTTTGACTGGAGCTGAACTCTATGGGTAATGCGACACTCCCTTTATCCACTTCTTTATACAGTCTATGATCACAACCAAGTCTAAACTAGGACTGAGTCAGGTCTAAAGTAGTAGTAAAAGTAGTCATACCACAAGGAGAAATCTATTAGTAACAGTGATACGCTTACAGTTTACAAAGCACACTTCAACATTTACAAAGTGCTGCTTCTGTACAGAATATTGGAAATCCTACTCACGGGTTGCAGGATGATAAAAATCCAGCACTGTTGCCAAAGCAATTAAGAATTCAAAACAAAAGTCCACAAGATAGTATCATCTATAAACAGGAAGCTGAAAACACATGAATAAAATCCCCTAGTCCCTGACCCAGGTGCATACAAAATAGTAGCCCTTGAATTGTGGCTTTGGGGGGGATGTCTCTAAATATAGAAAGTAAGCAAAAAACCCACTTTTACATAGAATAAACTGCAGCTTTACCATTCACAGTGCGACAGCCTGTCTAATACATTACATATGCTTTCTCTTGCCAAGGCCATAATCACCAGTAAGAGCTACCAAATGTCCTCTAGTGTGAATGCTGCATCTGCCGTTCTAGTGACGTGAAAAACATAGACTTCCAGTTATTTTCCTTGTTCAAACAGAGCAACAGCTGAACGCGCTGGAGTTTCAACAGCCACAACTGAGAAGGGTACAAAGTTACAGGAAAACCACGACATTTCATAGCAGCACTCCCAAAAGATTTATGTGCTTTTGAAACAATGCAAGCTTTAGAGATAAGACTTCAGTGCACAGATTGTGGTGTATTATTAAGTCCATCTAGTAAGTCACAGGGCTAATGGATAGCACAGAACAGCTATAAATAGGCATAAGCAATCATCGTGTCCAACAGAAGTAGTTAATTGACCAGGAACTATTTTAGGAATGAGAATTTGGTGCAACTGATCCCTATAGCTAACATCATCAAAGGACTGTCTCAAATATTATCAAATTCTTTGTATGAGACAGGTAGAATATGGTAACATCACTTTCTAGATTCAGAAAAATCTGTAATAAACAGCAAAACTGTGTCAGGAAATAGGCAATAAGCAAGAAAGCGGGTTAATATTGCAAAACAATAAATAATGTCACAACCTCCTAAATCAGGAATCATAACTTTTCTACATTTTTCACTGCCAGAGAATGTGAGAGTGAGTGATTTGATGAAATGGTTGCACAACATTTCTGGTGGAGAGTCCGCCAACAGCTTGTCTCCATTTAGATGTTATTTCTTTGCCTAAATGTTCCACAGTATGGCATTTAACTTCTCATCTCTCCATTAAGACAAGCAGATAACGCCACAAGGCCAAGTTATACATCAAGTTTGTGAAGCAGCGATGATTGCACTATGAAAGCATGTTTTTAAGGTATTTTTGAGCAGTATGGCATTTTTTTTATTGAGTTAACGCTAAGAAGATCATTTTAATTCCAAACTGCAGAACATTCCAGACAAAGCTTGAACATCTCGATGAAAACAAACACCATTTATTGCTCCATGAGAAAAATTACATAGTGCATCTTTGAATAAATATGACTGTTTTGTGAATTAAATAAATCATCTTACCTAGCTCTCTCCTCTCTGCTGAAGTGGAGCGGTCTTTCCTTATGGCCCGGTCCAGGCGTGAAAAGGTGCTCTCTCCTTCTGTCTTCCTGCCCTTACTGCTCTTCATATTATTGCGGGATAGGGCCGAGGTGAACAGGTTTGTCAAGTTCGGGGAGTCATTTTCAGGCTCCTCCGAAGGTGACAGCGGCTCATCATCTTCACTGTCCGAGCACCCTACCTGCTCTTCGGCCCCTGCATCCGAGAACGGATTTTGGTTTGACGCAGAGTGACCTCTTGATAACTTTGCGTAGTCCGCCTCACAGCTGTTACCCATTCTGAACCAGGACTCTCCGGAGTGGTGTCCCTTGGAACTGCTTCCCAAAGTTAGTCTAGATGGGCCCAAACACGACATAGACCCCTCCTTTCGCTTGTACCGATCCGCAGATGATGAAGAGGATGAAGATGGGGAGTTGCCAGAGGTACCCTGCTTGCTAGTGTTACCGTTAGGTGCATCACGACCAAAGCGGCACCGTTGTAAAGACTCCGCCATTCCTAAACTGCTACTCCCCTTCGCTGATGACGCACTGTCCGCACTAGACCTACCCACAGATCCCCCTCGAGCTCCTTCCTCTCTGTCTTCCTCAGCGCAGCGTTCTCTATGTTTATGTCTATGCTTATGTTTATGGTGCCAGTTGAACGAAAGCTCAGAAGACATGGGAGGGAACAGAACAGGTGACCTCCCACTCCCCAAGTATTCCTGCCTTAGCAACTTGTGTTTTTTCTTGTGAAATTTCGACGGGTTGAGCAGGAGATGCGAGGGGTGGTGCATGTAGGAGGAGGGGGAAGGGGGGAAGGTGGGCGTGTGGTGGTGGGACGTTGACGAATGGGGCGACTGGTGATGCGGATGGGAGAAGAGACTAGCGGGAGGGAAGCCTCTGTAGTAGCCAAGACTGAGAGGGCTGGAGGAGTAGGGCATGCCGTAGGAAGGGTGATAGAATCCTCCACTTGAGAGAGGAAATCCAAGTCCGGGAACATACGGGACTTCCGACATTGAGTCTCGGAGTTTGGGAGGTCTGCCCCGCTTCTTCTTCATATCTGGTTTACGAATATAGTGCAGTGGGTCGCAGGAATACGCCGGATGGGAGTAATAACTGCCAAAATTAACCCTGAAGATTGTAGGTAGAAGATCTCTATGAATGTAGTGATGAGGGGGTGGGCCAGCCGCTCCTAAACCGGTCCTACTACCAAGCCCAGGGAGTCGACTTGGCCCTGCTAGGCCTAATCCAGAGCCAAATCTGAACCCTGTGGTGCGATGTGCTATCCGTATCTCACTTAGTCTAATTACAATTTCTTCCAAATCTGCCAAAAAGTCTGGATCATGCCGTCGGGAGCGTAGCTGTAGGTACTTCTTCTTGCGTTTCCGTTTCTGCTTTCGGAGTTTGTCGTAGCCAGGACACCCGTGATGACTACGGCGCTTACATTTGTGCTTGTGCTTTTCCTTGTGCCCCAGTAATGAGGAGGCGGGAGCTGCTGGGTGAGGTCTTCTGGCATCGGGCGAGGTTCTTGCTCCATGGGGGGATGGTGAGGGCGAGGGGTGCTCCATATGTACAGCAGAATGTCTCCGCCTGCCCCTGGAGTTGAGTCCCACTCCTGGACCCATAGCTGAACCCATCACCCCTGGCATCAGCAGCCCACCTCCAAGACCAGGTGCTAGGCCAAGCCCACCCAAACTGCTTCCAGTTTTCTCTCCCCGATCAGAAGTGCTGTTGTTGTCTGTTCCTATTCCGCTGTCACTGGGCACCGTCTCCTCGCTGTGGGATTCGCTGACGGGTGACGGCGTGGCCTCTTTTAGCTCGTTAAGGGGAGCAGGCGAAGTGGGATGAAGGGGCCTGGGAGGGGAGAGCTTGTGGTAATGGTAATGCTGCCTGTAATGATGGTGGTGATGGTGATATCCACGACAGGAGGACTTTTTCTGTGAAGTCGAGGCCAGTGATGATGACAGCAGGCCTGGGTTACGTGGATTTGGGGCAGAGAAAGTTGGTGGAGGGAAGGAGAAGGAGTTGTGTCCATGGTGGGAGCTAGAGTAGTGGGAATGGCTGCCAAAGTGCACTGAACCAGGCTCCACAAAGCTGGCATCGCTGTGAGGGCTGTGGCCACCGCTGGACTGGGAGAGAGAGGGGGAGGGGAAAACCTCTGAGGAGTGATGGTGCGACTGGGACTGATGGTGATGATACAGACTGGTGCTCGGGGACAGGAAAGGCTCAGAAGTGGGACTGTTGGAATTAGGAGTTGCTTTAGGTTTCCGGCCTCTTCTCTTGCCCATGTATATTGTGCCCTTTTTGCTCACATTGATCTGTGGGCCAAGTTTCCCACCAAAAGAAGCAGCAAGGTCTTCCACAGTGTTGACCACAGGGGCGGCTTTGGGGGGCTCCTCTGTCCTGGGACCGAGAAGGATTTGACTGAGCAAGCGCTTCCTTTTGACACTCTTCATTTTATTGATTTTGCCTATGATGGTTTTCATGATGAGCTGTCCATTCCCTCTGTTCTGAAACCTCTCTCCTGCTTCTGGGGCCAGCGTGGGGGGCTGGCCCTCTTGTGGTAGAGTGGGGGGGAGGCGCTTGGGTCGCCCTCGTTTTCTAGGCATAGGCTGAGGGGGATTCAGATCCACCTCTGGGTGAAGAACAGGGGGATCCTGTTCCTCCTTGGACTTCATGAAAGATGGGAAAACTTTAGAGGGGGTAAACTTATTTGGGGGTCTCCCTCGAGAGGGGGCGTCTAGTGTTGGCATTTTAGACTTTGGTCTACCACGTTTTCTGGGCTGCTGAGTGTATAGGCCTGACATGTCACTGTGAGACAAAGAAGTGGACCTGACCTTATTCGGGTTGGGAGGCCGGCCCACCGGCCGTTTAACAGGTAGCGGAGACTCTGCACTTGGAGATGAGTGACGGCTACTTTTGTCCTGGTCTAATGAGCTCCGGTGGCTGCTCTCACTGTCAGTTTTGTTGCGTGGTTTTCTGCCCCTGCGTTTCTTCAGGGGTTTGCTGTCCTGCTCTGAGGGGGAGTCTATGGAGGAGTCTGCAGAGTCATCTCTGAGGGGTGTGGGGGGTCCATCGTCGTCTGGCTCTGGAGAAGGTGCCCTCTGTCTCACAGGCTCAGGGGGGCTACTGTTTCGGCCTGGTCTCCCACTGTCCCGATTAGGACTACGTTTACTGGGACTAGAGCTCTTCCCTCGTTCAGCCTGCAGTGACTGATGAGTGGCTCCTTTCTCTTTTCCATCTGGCTTTCCTGAGGCTGTTGAAAGTGGGCATTTGGTGAGGTCTCTGGGGCAGTCTTTTTCATGTTCTTTTGCACTTGTTTCCTCGGTCACAGACGGACTGTCCCGGCCGTGTTGACCTTGGGATGAGGCTGGGCTGAGGTGACTCACAGCCCTCTGCTCTGTGGTGGGGATGTTGGGTGAAATGGTACTGGACAGTGAAGGGGTCCTATGTGGAGAGGAGTGTGCTGAACGTGACTTAGCGCTCCCACTGTCACTCTTGCTCTCCTTTGAAATGGCTGAGAGTCGGTTGTTACTGAAGCTCAGAGCTGGACTGTTGCTGCGGCTGCTGCTGTTGCTACTGTTGTTGTTATTACTACTTGTTTTCACAGATCCATCGCTCTCCTCTTTCCTCTGAGCTGGAACAGGACATGAACTGTCCATGTTATCTTTGCTTTTTGACCCATACGGCCTACCAGGGGGCCGAGACACAGGAGGCGGCGGTGAAAGGTGAACCATTCGTGAGTATGTGTTTCTGTTGGCCAATGCCCGATCTCGCTGTTTTGCAGTAGGCGCCATGAAGCCTGAACTGGGGACCGGAGGAGCAGGAGGAGAAGGGTCTGTTTTTGCAGATTTGGCAGGTTTGGGGGTCTTAGTGGGTGGGCGTGTTGCTATAAGTTGAGCTAACTTTTCAGTCACTGTAGGTGCTCCCCAGTTTTGTCCATTTTTGTCCTCACTGGCTTTCGGGGCTGCACTGTATGTATACTGAGGGGGCTTTACACTATCAAAGCTAGGTTCTTTAGATGAATTAACGGGTGGAGAAGGTGAAGATGTCCGTGCATTTGATTGTGAAGTGGAGGTTTTCTTTCCAGTTGAATGCGTTTTGCTGTCCGGAGGAGGCCGGTGGAGATTCAGGGGCCGCTCTGATGTGGTGTTGGCTGACTTTGAGTCCGACTTTGAATCAGACTTGCCATCCGTCTTTGGTGTCCCCTGGAAACAAAACAAGACAGAAAAATGTAACTACAAAGGTAAATACATACTGTGTGCTGTAAAGCACTGTTCAAGTAAGTAACGTTTAATCTACAAAACAAAAAAGAAAAAAAAAAACATAAACTTAGGCAAAATTTATTTTTGTGAACTTTAACACCTGCAGTTGTGTTTTGTTTCATTTGCACATGTTTGAGTAACCCTTTATTATTAGTCTGTCTACATCGCCAAAGCTCAAAATGGTCTATTCTACCTTGTGAAGTCATGAGGCAGTAGTTTTCAAGTTAACAGCTACCTTTTATCTTTAGTTCAGGAGAGATAGGAAATTCCAGGGCTGAAATCATCCAAGTGATTCTAGGAAGGTGTATGGAGTTTAAAAACACAGTGGAGCACGTCTTGTATTATCACATGACATCACAAGGTGGAACAAGACAAGAACTCAGCCTAAATATGCAGGGCTTGTGTGTTAAACATGTGTTGATTAAACAAACTATAACTGGAGTATTTCTGATTAGGAAACAACATTATAACATAGATCAGAAAATAGAGTAATATTGGCTTTGATTTGTTTGCCTTTTTGACCCAGACACCACAATTTTTCCAATCTAGATAGCATTTGATAATGATTTCACTTACAGCTAACTGAACTAAACTTAAACCTGTTTTGTAGGTAGGTATAGTTAAATACAGAAAATGAAAAAAATAAATAGTGAAATCAACATGAACAATATTTTAGTAACTAGATGTAGAAACAGCGAAATTGAAAAGACCAATTACAGCGCAGGAAGGCTATCATTAACACCAGTTTATTGACAAGAGACTGCCCATTGCTGCATAGTGGGCATGCACGGAGGAGGAGGAGCTCAATAACACTTATCCGGGTCAGTCGGGGGACAGGGAGAGAGGTCAGCAACGCATAAGGGGGAGAGGAAGTGCCCATAGAGACAAGACAGACACAGGGGGCAGGAGACACAATGAAATTTAAAGGACAATTTATGTGCATCTTTTGACCACTACTTGGGCTTTCCCACTAACCACTGGAATAATTGAGAAAGCATTTTTCAAATTCCAATGCTTTTCTTATTATAAAAACATAACTCTTTAATTTGATTGCTAGAGAGATTAAATAAGACAGAAATTTAGACTTAGGCTGCACGATTTGGGGAAAAATATTCAATTCTGATTGTGATTCAATTTGTAATTTATGTTTTAATAATAGGGTTCTGTTCAAAGTTCACATTTCAAACACGTCTAGGAAAATTGACTAAAAGATTAATTTATGGAACTCACAAACTACCGGTTAGGGCTGGGCGATATGGATCAAAAAATATATCTCGATATATTTTGCTATATCTCGATATACGATATATATCTCGATATATGTTCAAGAAAAAATAATCCCCTAAAACTGAAAACTGCAAAAACAAATCTGCCAAATTCCACAAGGTCCTTTTTTTTATTGAAGTGTAAGAGGTCGGCAGTTCATATAGGAACATTTAAGATTACAAAAAACCTAATTACATAAATAATAATTTAACTGTAAAATAAAATAAATAATACATATTTCCTTCTTTTCATTCATAGATAAAACAACTCAAGACAAGCTCATCTTTGCATTAACTCTGTTATCCAGACCAGAACCAGAACCATGAGCTCCTTCAGCAGAAGAAACTCAGGATGTTCCTTATTTTAATAGATCCATGTTCCAGCAGTAAGGAGCTCTGAGGTTTCCCACAATCCACTGCAGATCAAACCCAACGTTTCCAAACACTATTGTACAAGTGACACTGCAGCAGATTATTCATTAAAATCTTCTCCATAAATAAACTTTACATTACTAAACTTTACAATATATAAAGCACAATGACTCTAGAGCCACATCAGCCATTTTGACATTATAATGTGTTTAATGCAGTTTTGCGCACGTGTGTTTACGTTTTACAGAAACGAAACTTAAGCGCATGGCTCATTTGCATAAACAGCGCACTTCTCACGCAGCTCAGCTCATTTAGCTTCTTTCGGGCTAAAGGACGCGACTCGGTGGAATATGAGGATGTGCTGCTGATGGTCTGTAAATCTTGTCTGGAAAAGGTTCGTGGTGCTTGAAGCTTTTCACTGGCACCAACTTTCGGCGTTCAAGGCGATAGTGAGGAGTGAAGGAGACACGAGCGAACAAAATCAGGGAGGCGGGGGCGCGCGGAAGCGACGAGAGAGAAGGTAAACAAGCGAAGCGGCGAATTCTAAATTTAATATAAGCATTATATCGATATATACGATATGTCAGAATTCATATCGAGTTTAAAAACTATCTCGATATATTTAAAATATCGATATATCGTCCACCCCTACTACCGGTAATAGAAGAATCACATTTCAGAAACTGCTTGTATAGATCTAATCTACAGGGTTAGTAGTTTGTATGTTTGCAAGACAGAATATTTAGTTGTTTGTGAAGGAAATGATGGTACTTCAAAACTTTTCAGCCTTTGCATTTTGGTAATTGTGCCATTCAAATTGTGATTTTGACTCAATCACAATTAATCTTGCAGCCATAACTTGAAAATTAACTTGTGAAAAAACTCACTAGAAAATGTGACCATATAGACTTATAAACCAGACCGTGAATGCAAATGAACAGTTTAGAGTTTAGAGGTACCTTTTTAGTTGGAGCGTTTCCGTTTACTTGGGTAGGTGCAGGAGTGTTGGTTGTAGCAGGTGAAGGTGCGGAGGGTGGAGGCGTAGGTGCTTTAGCTGCTGCTGGGGTCGAAGAGGAGGTCAATTTATTAACTGAAGATGTTTTATTGTTGTTGACTGAAGGGCTCTTCTCTCTCTTCTCTTTGTCCTTGGATTGAGCTGCAGGAGTCTTAGTTTGGCTCGCTCCATCTCCTGTAGACGATGCCGCACTTTTGGATTTTGAGTTACCTCCACTACGCGGTGTGTGACGGACTGTTGCCCTGAAAGCTGGGCGGCAAACGTAATTTTCCAGGCTTTTAGGGGGCTTCTTCATGCGTTTGGCTTGGAGGCCAATTTTCAGTTTGAGATTTCCGTCGGACAAACCACTTTCTTTAACAGAGAAAGATGGGTCGTCTCCTGTCCCACCTGCTCCAGTCGCACCTCCGCCATCTTTGTTTTTCTCCTCGTCTTCTTCCTTCTTACCACCTCCTCCTTCCTTCTCTCGCTCCCCGGCTGGAGAAGCGCTTGCCCCTTGCATTTTTTGATCCATTGAAAGGTTGCTGCGGAGTCCCAGGGAGAGGATAGGGTGAGAGTTTGTTGTGGAGTTTAGAGGGCTGGGAGGGGAAGAGGAGGAGGGGGTAAATCTGAGGTGACTTCTCTCAGCCCTTCGTCTCCGTCCTTCAACTGTCAGAGAGAAAAACAAGAAAGAAGAAAATTGATATTAGTTACAGTCCCACACAAGAAATAAAAAACCTGGTTTATAAATAGCACAGTATAAAGGGTCTGGCAGTCGGGGAGAAAGGAAAGGGCAACATTTTTATAATCTGTTTTGTTAGAGGGCGTCTTTCATCCCATCTAGGTGAATTTTTATGACGTGTTTGTCCTCGTGGCTATAACAATCTGTAACCTATTTATCCAAGGTTGTTTCACCTGAGTAAAGTCTCCTCCGCTTAAAGGACTACAGGACTGCACAAGCTCAGATTTAACAGTTAAAGTCATGTCTGTCCCAAGGGACCAGAAACTCCAATTTCAAGTTGTCTTAACTTATTTCAGTAGAAGAAGCATGTGCTTTTGGTCAGTGTTAGCACAGGAGCAGCTAAAGCCGCCTGTTTCCTAATTGAGCCCCTTAGAGGACAGCCCACTTCAATGAAGCTGTCCACGGCGCCCAATGGCCTCTGAGTGATTTAATGGGGATTCGCCCGAAGCAGGTGCTTTCTCTGAGTGAAGTCATTTGGAGGCAATTCAGAAGTGTGACCTCAGCACATTGAGCCCAGAGGGACGGGACAGAGGACCTGACCGCCTTTCTCTGCCTGGGCCACCGTAAGAGAGTGATGGAGCAGCAAAATGCAGCAGCAGCAGCATCTCCTCTATGGCTTACATTAGCAGAAAGCATTAGAATGCTCATAATGGAGACACAGTCAAATCTCTTCATGTACAATCATTAGTAGAAAGATTCTGCTTTTTAAGACCTTCAAAACAAGTTTGTTCATGAGACCGGAAACACTGTTATGGCTAAACCGCACACAGCATATTTGGAGTCTGGCCAGTTTTTTCTGTTTACTGCAATTACAAACTCCATCTCCCCAAATGTGAGACTCCCCTTTACTGCACATACCACACTCAAATCACACCTCGCACTTTTCCTCAACACTTAATCAATCTCTGTATTTGTGCATTTCTGTTAAAGCCTTTTTATCCTCCTCCTCATTTGCTTCACAAACTTGGAAAGCGGTAGTAACAACTCATGGCTGTGTTGCTCCTGCCATAATCAAAAACACATTTCGCCCACCACCAGCAGAAGACTGTTCCCAGTGTCCTTCTTCTGCTCAGTGACAAATGCTCTCCCCATTCTTTCATTGGAAACACTCATACAAGCAGCCAAAAATAAGCCTGTGTAGTTAACACAAGGAGGACACTGTCTGAGAAAGTCAAAACATTACTCTAACCTCCAATGATACGGTAAACCACCTCAATTACTGCAATTACACTTACGGTACACTGTCTGATGCCAAGTCAAATCAGTTTTATGGTATTATAGCGAAAACTGAAACTTCGGCTGCAGGTCTTACTAGTGCATTGCTTTATACTTAGGAAATGACTCATACGTCAAACACTAATAAATCATGCTCTTGTTTTGGCCCTGTCCAATCTTTTAAGCCATAAAACTTCAATTCACTTTCTAAGGTTACACAAAAGTGATGACGATTTATCTGTTATTGTAAAAATAAATCAGGTGAACAATTCAAAGGCTCCCCACGAAAACACAATAAAACTTTGCTTAAGTAAAGTCTGTTTATGTTTTTGTACACAGACAACTAACCGATTCCAATTGTTTTGTTTCAGTTTACAAAAAAAACACAGTGTGAGATAGTTCTACAAATAGCTAACATTGGTGTTTTTTTTTTTGAGTTTTCACATGTATTGTGTTATCTGTATATATGCATATGAATATGTGTATGTATCTTCTATTTTTGTTGACTTTTATGCAGAGCTAAAGTTGTTTAAAATGTGCTATATAAACAAACTTGAACTGAACTGAATTGAAGTAAACTGTTAAAATACCTAACTTTCATCTCATATGATTATTTAAGGCCAAAATAATGTGCTTGAGGGAGTGGGCCATAAGGGTGTAAACCAAATCAAAACAAATACCTGGAATACCACTTCACAAACATCTCAATCAATAATCAAGAACCTCGAAATAGCCCAACCAGACACAGGCAGAGTCGTAGTAAACAACTTCCCGCGCCCCCTCCTATTTTTTCATGCAGCTCTCCCTCCCTCTGCTGCACTTTTGCACACGTTGTTCATAACTGCTGATTTCCCCTTGGCCAGAGCAATTGTGTCCGGCCCCTCCACCACCTCCTCCCACATTATCCACACAAGGAGGACTGGCTTCTACCGACAGACGCTCCCCTGTCATCCCCAGTGCTTTCTCTGCTCTTAAGATATTAGCTCATTTGCGTGTACATGACATCAAAGCGGCAGACGAATTCTTTCACTACAGCTACCATTAGTGAAATCTCCCAGAGGAGGCTATAAACGCTAAAGACATCTGTAATGGCGCTAATGGTTTGGGTCTAGTCTTGCATAGGCTGACGGGAATGACAGGTGTCAGTCTCAGCGGTGGTAAAACACGTTTATAAAGCTTTTGATTGACTCTATAGACTTATAAGTGTCAAAATAAACAGTTGGCGCTTTCGTTTTTGCACACTGGCTGTTAGGAGCATGTGCAAAATCTCAAACGATCTGGTTTCACTATTCATCATCGTCACTCAGCAAATTTCTCCACGTTTGGTCATTTCCTAAACACACAGATGCCCCAAAAGCTCGAGTTTGCAAGCGGATGAGAAGCAACAAACTAGTCTAGTGTAAACATTTGACTTAGGCAATCAGATGCGAGCCCTCAGCCTCTTATGTCAACACAAAACAATGATTTTTCAGGACGATTTAGCCAGATGCACTCACCTTTATAACTGATAGAAAACGGTGTTCACATTATCTGGCCGTGTCTTGAATGCGTGCATCAACGTGGTGGGCACATTTTTCTGCAAAGCGCTAAATTGGAGAAGAAACACAAGTGTCAGATTGCGACCTCCACAAGAATTGAAACACATACAAGATTAGCGTTAAAATAATGACCACGTGAGATGAATATTGTTATAGTCTATAGACAAAACGTGTTCTGAGCGTTTACTGGTTTATAATACAATAATAGTCGCAAACAAAACCAAAAAGCAATTCAAAATCAATGCAAACCGCGCTCGACTTCCTAAATATTGATTAACCTTGCTAGCGCCAATACACAAACTTGCAGAGGCATGGACCAGATCGCTTATAAAATACATCTTCTCCGGGTAATACGGGGATAATAACACATAACAGACTTAATGCATATAATGAAGAAGCTGATACAAGCGTAATAAAGCACATATATTGAGGAAGACGCGTGATTATTTAGTAATAAACTAGTGGCTACCGTCCGTCCAATAATAGACACGCTACCTACTTTGTATCAATGGCAGTGGCAACGGCTAACTAGCCATCAATCACCCTCCGTTGGGCGATTTTAGGTTAAAATCACAATGTTTTAGCTCATTTCTATTGCACTCCCCTACAAAATGAGATTAAACGCCACGGATAGATAGTATGGATTGTACAAACTTGTGTAATATGCCTAAACTCAACACGAGTGATGTTCATAATCTTACATCTTTCTCGCAAGCACTCGTGTTACTACATCACAGCAACGACGCGGCTAATGCAACTGAGCTAAAAACATGAAATGTGGCCAAACGTGACTCTTTAGACAATATGCGATTAACACGGGGTGGTTGTGGGCGTAAAATGTGTAATTGTTATTCCACGGGTATGAAATAACTGAAGCATAGCCGTGTAGGTTATTAAAAAAACACTCACTGTCAACAAAATGGCGGCTGCGTTGAATCAACACAGACCCGAAATGGATCTCCTTCTATATCTCGCCCCTCGATGCAATAATCCCGTATCTTTATTGGCGATTTGTATCCGTAATAAATCCACAAATGGTCCAAAAATCCCACTCGGACACGGGGTTAGCTGGGCCTGGTTCTGTCAGTCGCGCAGGCACAGGCGTCTCTGGTTAATCGGGCCTCCATGTCTGCTCCAGCCCGTATGTGTCAGTACGTACAGCAGCAGCACGGGCATTCAGGCAGTCCCACAGCCGAGGAGGGAGGGGAGGGAAGCGGAGGAGGAGAGAGCAAATGTCGGGCGGGCGATCGGAGTAGCGCGTACAGGGGCAAGCATAGAGTTTTAAGGGGGGGGGTAGAGTTAAAGGTGCACTATGTTGTACTTGACTCTTCTGCTCGTCTTCATACAGATGTTATTTTGTTGTCTGATTGTTCCACAGTAAGCCATTGAACTTATGATCTAACTCCATGGAGATGCCCCAGGCCAAGTTATAGGTCAGGTCTGTGGAGAGGGGATCCCACTCACAGTAGCAATGCATGTTTTTCAAGGCATTGTTGATTGCTGAATGAACAAATAAAAAATAAGTAGAAACATCTCCATGCAGACCAGGCAGCAAACCCAACACTGACTATAAAAGTTAGTGTTGCTCATTAAAAAAATATTGATGTTAGTAAACTGTTTATAAATAACATATAGGCTAGATAAACAAAGTATTACCCAGTGTACCTTACCCTGTAGGCTAGGCTGTGTAACTCCTGTGATGGAGGCGCCACCTGCTTGTCTCCATGGAAATGTTATTCTTTGCCTGTAATGTTCCACAGTACAGTATTATATCTCTCTTGTAGCCTATTTATCCAATTACAATTTATTTTTATTATACATTTTTGAGGAGGAGGAGGATTGCCTGTGCACAGACTTTGCCATAATGTGGAACATTTCAGGTAAAGCTGAACATTTCCATGGAGAAGAGGAGGTAGCAGAACTCCTCTAAAGTTAAGTTAGTGCACAAGTTGGAATAATTTGCTCATTAAGTTGGAGGCTATAAGAACGCAAGTTTATTGCCCTATCAAATACATTTAATATTATAATTATATGAAATGTCTTTTTTATGAAACGTTTGGTTGTTATATTATTACAAGATATAGGCTTGTAATAACATATTAGGCTAATGTTTATCCATAAATAAGCAGTACAATATATGACTGAATTTCAAAATTCAATTTTATCATTACAATGCCGGATTTCCTCTTCCTACACTTCCCTTTACGGTCATTGACAAAAGTAAAGGAGGAAAGCTGAGGAGCAAATCTTGGTCAGTCACGTGGTTTCTGTGGTTGTCCTCCTCAGTCATTGACAAAAACGTCTGTGTTTCATTATTTCTCTATTTTCGGTGGCAGTGGAAACCAACTGTTTTTGCAGCAACCCAAGATGGGTGTGTTTTTCTGGTGTACAACAGTCAACTGTCAAAAGTGGTGATGCCTCAGCTGAAGCTGGTGTTCACAACCCATGACTGTAAAAACAAAACTATGCCCCATTTGCACAGGAGCTTTTAGGGGCAGTAACAAAGAAGAAAAGTTAATAAAAAGAAGAAATTATGGAAAATTATAATAGATTAGTGTAAAATAAACTTCACATGCTGGCTCCACATTATAGTTTGAGAAAGGAGCTAAGGAGTTGATTGGCTTAATAGTGACTGAATCAACAATACAGGGTAAGTAGATGAGATTAAGGATCTAACCTCTCGAAATCCTATTGTTATTAAACAATAAACAGTATGAAAATCCCAAGAGTGGTGAGACAGTACTCATTACATAAAAAATGGAGCAAGAGGAGTTTTCATACTTTATTTTATTAAATCATATTGAAAATGAAGTAATTATTATCTCACCACACTGTTGTAAACTGCAATGAAGGTTAAGTAAGGTAAAATTAGTTTTAAGAAGGTGCATAAGTGACTCCTGTTGTGATCTTCATCTTAAACTTTATCATGTTTATCACATCATGTTCTATTGCTTTGGTGGTTGTGATTTAGATTTTATTGACCTGTGCCAATGTGAAGTGTAATCTAAACAAGACTAAATCATCCAACATTTGCACGTCCACAGGCAGCTCAGTTTATCATGACACTGGCATCACACTGAAGTCCTTAAGAAGGCATAGCAAGTGTTCATCTTGCATCGCAGTTAAAGAGTGAGATCCTGAGCAGTTGAAATGCAAAATCATTTGTAAATATATAAATATATAGATGCAAATATTTCAGATGCACAGTTCATTGGCACATTGCTCTGGCCTGTTCCTCAGATTCTTCGGTCGATCTGTCTGAACTTAAGGACAGAGAGGTCGAGAGGCAGTGGTCCACACCAGTGAGACTTTTGCGACACACGGGGCAGGTATCGTGCTGCGAATAGGGTACAGTTATGTAAAAGTTAAATAAAGGTCAGGGTTAAGCACATACATGAAAAGACAGTGCAGCTTTATGTGTTAGTTTGTATGTTTTACACAGTTATTAAGGCAGGATGTGTGACACGCCATTAAAAGTTTCATGCCCTTTAAACCTGACTCCACTAAGCACACCGCCCCTCCTCACCAGCTTCAGCCACGGCACTATACAGTCACTGTGGAAGTAATGCAGACATGGCAGTTGTCTGACCCATTCACCCAAAGAATACTCCTCCCTGCAGACTGGACACTCTAGTCGGCTGTCTGCAAACACACAATAGAAAAAAGTGCACAAAATTACTTCTTAATTAAATGTTTTCCTAATTATTGCTTGGTTTAGTTGGAGAGTACCTGTTGTAAAATAAACTTCACTAAAATAAAGAAATAGAAATAATAGGCATCTTAACTATGTTTTAATGAAAGTATTTGTCATATGCAGTTTAAAGGTGCACTACTCAACTTTTCTGGTGGGGGGTCTGTTACTTGTCTCCATGGAGATGTTATTGCTTTGCCTGGAATGTTCCATGGTATGACATCAAATATATACATACAGCATTTATTAATTGTGGGGGTTTCTATTACTCAAAAATACAATAATTCCTTTTGTGAATACGGGCGACGCTCCACAGATCTGAATTGTAACCTGCTTGTCTACCTCATACTACACTGTGGAACATTCGAAACAAAGCAATAATATTTTCAAGGAGACAAGCAGATGGCGGAGCCTCCACTAGAAATGTTACACAGTTTGTTCAGCTCTCTATGTGGTGTGTGGTGTGATGCCAACAATATAATAAGTCCATTAAGACTTATTTCAGCCTCCATCACTGGGGGTAGTTAAGATACGTCTGAAGCCACATTAGCCTTGAGGCAGACTGATGCAGACATGGCTGCCATTCTGCTGCTATACACAGCTAAACTGTACTGGCTGATTCTGCTAATTATAGTGAACATCACCTGTATGTTCTTTAGAGATGCAGACTGTTGGAAGAGACGAGATTGAATCCTTGTTTGCTGGAGGTGGTCCTGCGTTATCATAACGTCCTAACAACTACAAGGAACCAATAAATTAAGGTGTCATAAGGTAAAGAAATGAATTGGCAGACAATAAACTTTTCATAATAAATAATACAAACATTGCAAGGACTTACATCTGTAATAACAGCATCTAACCCTCTATGGCCCCAGGCATAGTCTCCTGGGTTAGAATGCAACTGAAGCCCTCTGTATGAGGAAAACAGTTAGGAGGTCAGTAACTGGAGTTATACACAAATCTACAGAAACAGTAGAAGGCATACTAACCTGGTAGATGATGTAGCAGAAGTAGCAGTGTCACTGTTAATGTTGAAAAGACCAGCAAAGAACTGCTGCAGTACTCTTGAAGAAAGAATAAAAAGGCAGATTATTACCATACTTTTTTCTGGTGAAGGATAAATGTATCTATTTCCATGGAGGCAAACAGTAGCCAAGTTACAGGTCACAGCTGTAGATGGGTGACCCCACCTAAAGTAAAAATGCATGTTCTTCAAGATATTTTTGCAGTGATTAAAAAAAAAAAAAAAACTGCAACTGAAAAAAATCTGCTTAATGCCACAAACTAGTGTAGCATATTCCAGCAATATCATCTCCCTGAGAATATAGTAGGTGGCAGACCTCCCACCCAAAAATGTACTTATAGTGCACATTTAAAGTATATAGTAAGTGTAATTTACAGATGGATCAGTCTAGTTCTGAACCACAGTAAACGTGCTGGTTTTACTAAGTTGTAGTTGCGTGCTTTATCACCAGTATGGTGATGGGTTAAGTGTAATTAAGATTAAAGTTATTGATCCCCATAATGAAATTTGTGCTGTACATATAAGCCATCTTTCAATGCTGCTGGGGCAGCTGCCAGACAGTTCTGGACCAGGGGACCCATCTCCAGATCTGGAGAACTTGGTCTGGACTACATTAGCTGGAAGATTTTGTCTATTGTTAATATGAAACTGACCAAAGAAAACTCTACATGACCACTCACTCACCCCTCGTTCTCTGGGCTTTGCTGAGACAGTGATAATGGCAATGATGATAATTGCTCATGGTCAACTAAAGTTTGAGATTCTCTGGGCTCAAGCAGGTCAGAGGTCAGGGAGACGGAGGAGAGAGAGGAGCTGTTGGCGGAGGAGGCCTCGCTGTCATCAAGCTCTGATTCTGAGGATGGGTTAGAGAGCAGGGCTGCACGCTCCATAAACAGCATCTGCCATAACTTTTGGTTCAAATTTTAGTCGAGTCCGGTGGTATAAATAAACATCAAAAAACAAACAGTAAAATAAGTACATCGACAATGACACTTTAGTCACATTCCTAACATACCTCTGGGAACATTGAGTTTGGTTCTGATCTTTCCGAGGATGTATTGTTCTGCAATAAACTTTTCAAAAATACAGATCACATTTCAGTAAAAGTAAAAATACATTACAATGTTCTGATAACACTGACTTGTACCTGGAGTTTTCATCCACTTCTTCGATAAAACCTGAATCGCACTTGGGGCAAACCAAGTCCTGAACAGAAAAACACAGAATGTTTTGTTTGTTTTTTCCTCAATACAGTAATTATTCTAATGGATTATTCTATCACCTTTGGATAAAACAAAACAATGTTCTATAAAGGGTTGCCAATTTGCCACTCTCATGCCTGCTGGTAAAAATTTAAGCATACTAGGCTATTGAAAATATACTGTTGCTAAGGCTTTAAAATGAAGTGGAAGATACTTGGTAAGAGACCCCTAGTGCATTTATATAGTGCCTGTACCCATGCTCTGATACACGTGAGCTGTATGAGCAACCCATGCGTAAAGCTGCTGTCAAACCACCAGACGCACATTACATTGCACAGTGCGCTCCCTTCTGGCCTGTCACGGGAAATGAATAATTCAACAGGTTGCTTAACATCAGAGGGAATATTAGATCATCAGTTAATGGTGGGGAAAAGACGCTTGTTTACGCGCCTCGGGAATGCAACACGGTTTGGTACAAGTTGTGACGGTCAGGCGCGTTAAAGTTACGTCTACCACCCAGACAACTGGCCACACAAGCCAGCAGTGGTGTTTCTAAAAATGGAAACGTGAATCAAATGGCTTTCTCTTACACACCCTCTAATGTAAGAACTTGGTGCATGCTATGGTTATGCACAAAAATGAACAGTTATCATGAAAGCGCCATTTAGCTCTTTAGCAAACTGTCAAATCCAATTGGAGTGACTGGGACATGTTTGCGCTTATATACACAGTGACAGTTCAGTGAGAGTAGACTAGTATCTTTTGTATTTGACACGCTGATTCTGGCCAAACTAAGTAGCCTATTTAACGGGAAATACAAAGTGACTCACCGGGAGATTTGGGGTTGTTTCACTTTTACAAATGTGGCAGAAAAAGCGAAGTGGTGGGACGGCAGCCTCCGCCATCTTCACGGTGAAAAGCGCCCCGGACTGACGTCGGGGTGCTGTCCATAAAAGTCTCCGGCTGCAGTGGTCACACTCGGCCAAGGCGCTTCAAATAGGCTCAAGTAACTGCAGCGCAAAACAGAAAGCGTGCCTTGTCTAATGCGTTAAAGGTGATTTTTCATTGCTCATAACATTAGAGTATTTGCCTTAAATTGTGCTTCAAAAGTGGAAAACATTAGAAACCTTCAGTGTCAAACTTTGCACATCACGGATCTTGTTGCTATGGTTGTTACCTAGCAACAAAGAGATTATCTGACCTTTCCTGACACGTGTAGCATAATGCGCATTATGAATGTAAAATTGCTTCTGAGAGATATGACAGGGAATCATTAGTTTGGGCCTGTTGGCACGCCCTTTTTGGTTTTTCAAGTTTCTCTTTTTTATATAATTTATCATTACTGGGGGGGCAACTGGATAATTAAGTAATAATAATTAAGCATTCCTCCTGCCATAGAAGTAGCCAGTGTAATATATAATGTAGCCCCATAAACTATTTGCTGAAGCAGATTCCACTCTCCAGTAGGGCTGGGTATCATTAAGTTGCCGATACGATACAAACATCGATACATAGGCCATGATACAATATATATCTCGATACAGTGCACTTTTGATTCGATACGATACATTTCAATTCGATTGGATACGGTTAAATAAAAATCATGGGTAAATAATGGCCGTGATACTAAAGTCTTTCATAAACCACTTCTTGTGCAAAGTGAATATGAAACGCGCCCACTTTAATCATCAAAAACAGTGAATATGCCAAATGTGTTGCATAAATGAGCTTCCTTCCTCTAAACAAGCAACAAATCTGTGGCACTGTAACAAAATAATTGCATAAAATATATAAAAAAAATACTCTTGGCGATATATCGATACAGCAGCCCATAAAATCGATACTGTATCATCACATTAAGTGATATATTATGTCAATATTTTGATATTTTTGCACACCCCTATTCTCCACTGTCTTAGCCTGATGGACCTCCTCCTTGGTGCAAACTGCCTGGACAATGCACCAAAAGATGCCCAAGCAAATTTAAATAACAATGAAAAGATGGACAGAGAACCAGTGTTGACACAAGTAAACAAAAAAACTCTCAGTATATGAAATACATGGGGCACACCAATCAAAATTTGGGTCAAAAATACTTCTGCTATGTGTTTATAGTATAAAGCCAAAACAAAAACGCAGTAGCCTACAAGATAAGCATGTCATTACAATTTATTAAAACCAAAATAGTGACTTTTAATAATAACTACACATCAACAAAACAGTGAAATTTTCAACAAAACAGCACATATCACAGTTTAAGAGGATTTGGCAATAAAGGAGAATATGCCACACATTCACTTAGGAAAAGATTAACAAACAAGCTTGTAGCAAACTTGAACTAGCACTGGCATCAAGTGTCAAATGTTAGGTTGGCTTTTTAATATTTACAAGCTTTATATAGAATCTCCAAAAAAAAAAAAAAGAAGAAAAATATTACAAAATTATAAGGTTAGCACTTGATCACTTGGCACACAACTTGTTTATGTCATAACAAAAAAACATATACTTTTTATTATTTCAGCAAGTAGTATTTAAAACCTCCCCTTGAATTTTTGGATTGGCCCTATAGCTACACATCCTGTACATCTCCAGCATTTAAAACCCATTCAAATTTTCACCATTATGACAATAAATAATTATGCTCATTCTTTATATTCAAATGGTAAATCTGTAGTTACAAAATTATGTTTCTAATGGCTAGATCACATAATTATGCATACATATATATATATATTTGTTTAAAAAAAAAAAACACTTAGGGGTGCTCAATATTTCAGAAAATGTAGCAAAAACAAATTCATCCTGTTCCAGTATATTACAATTTCTAATCTGAAATGTGGGATTTTTATTTCATAATGGGCCTAATGGTATAATTAGGTCCCATTCTGAGTTAGTTCGTTTTAAGCAATATTTTTTATTTAACAGATACTGAGTGGTTGAAAAAAAGAATTATCCCATTTAACTAAACTTAATTTGTTAAATTAAGCCAAATATTACATGTTGTTTTGCCATATTTGTAAGTTTCACTCAATAACACCCAGACCCCCACCCTCTGACATTTGGCAAAATACTGTAGCTATTCAAGGGTTACTGCTTCCTGTTAATGTTAGGCAACATTTTGAAGACTTTTGACCATTCTAACAATGGCATATTGTGTTTTGAATTGTTAATCGCTATGACAACAGTGTTAGATTTCCATCGTTCCAACACACAGAAATAACTGCACAACCCATCCTTCACTTTTCCTCCAGTTTCCTCCAATTTCCTCCTCCAGTTTTGCCCCCCTTTTGACACTGTTGTTATAATAAATATAGAGTGAAAGTTCCAATGGCCACTTTTTAAAGCTGTCCTCCTACCGAAATATCAGACCTTCTCGCCATCTATCGGGGTGCGGTGAATGCCCCCTGAGCAGCATTGGTGGCAGCGCTGGCAGCGGCCGTGGCAGCAGCTTGACGGACGGCCTGATTGGACATGACCCCGGTGGCGAATTCAGCCTGGGCCTTCTGAAAACTGGCATCAGTCTGCCGGTACAAGCTGTGGATCTAAATAGAAAAAAAGAAATATGAGACATACAGTCAATCATAGTCCTATTATGTACATTGTGTGGGTGAAACGGATAGCCATAACTCGATAACACGTGGGGCTTTTGTTTTGGATTGAACGTTGACATGAGAGATTAGCAAATACTAGGCCTGTCACGATCATTACAATATTGACTCATCATTCCATAAATTATAAATAGAATATTTTTTTAGGTGAGCATTTATCTTAGGTACATTTTTACTACTAGAACTAGTACTACTGGGAAAGTTTCTTATTTTTCTGCAAGGCTGTAGATGGGGGGGGGGGGGGGGGGGGGGGAATTATTTCCTTTGTGGATCAATAAAGTTTGTCTAAATCCAAGTCTAATTATTACAATTAAATTTGAGCTGACAATGGTAGAGTAACTTTAACTCATTACATATACATCCCAACTACTAGAGTGTTTAATTTATTAATTTATTCATTGCAGTTTATTTTTTAAAGCAATATTGTACATTTAGTATAGTTTTATTATATCAGTGGCATAGATTACTTAGAATATTATCATTTATTCTCTAGATTTTCATGAGCAATGTATCTAATTCCTACCGTGACAGACCTAGGAAAGACAATGCACCAGGAGTAGGCCAGGGCAATATTTCCATAAACAATAAAGACTTTTCATAATTGTCATTTAACACAAAATAGTAAAATTTATTGTAAACTATATGCTTTTACTGACAGGGAATTCAAATTTGATAAAATTCTCAGCTAGAGCCATAAGTATTATCAAAATGAATCCATCACATTAAGCCCATTTTCTCGTGATTCATAATACCTCCCAGCATGCAGTCATTTGCATAATGGTTTGGAGCAGAAGAAGCATGAAGTGTAACATGGCCTTTCAGCTGTATTTTACACTTTCTAATCTCTAGTCATGTGTAAAAATTACATGCGAACTAGCAGAAATCTTATCAAACAGCATTGCTTTATTTTCATTAGACCATGATAGATTGATAGATTTCCTAACAGACTAGAGATTGAGTTTAGAAGCCAGTGAAATTGATGGCCTCTAAGGTCTGACGATATTTTTGGGCCTATATGTGGGGCAGATTTTGATCATTTTCCCCAAATGATCTACTTTGAATTTAGTATAAACTCATCCACGACCTTGTTTTACTACAAATTGGATAAGAGAGCGGTTTTGCAGTATCATCTTTAGACTAACACCTAACTAAAATAGGCCCTTATACTGACCAACTGATATACAGTATATCCTTATATCTATAATATAGTCAGTCTAAAACTACTATACCAGGGCTCACTAAACTTTTTTCTTTGGGGGCCACATTATCGATCCTGACTGTGATGGGGGGCCGGGGTTGAGTAGGCCGTTTAACAGAATTGCATGACCCTGACCCTTATATTCTTTGAAAATTGCCACTTTCCTTTACATGTCAGAAAAACTATACGGTCCTTACAATGAAAAAAACAAAAAATCGGTCATCCACTGTTATTTGAAAACTGTTTGTACTTTAACACGAGCTATTTTGTTGTCCTTAACTGCACTACAGAACCCTGCATGTGCGTTGAATGTCACTGATCTCAAGCTTGTCAGGTGATGAAAATTCGGCGACACATTCAGCGGCAAATGTAAATACGTCGTATAATTATTTAAATATAAATACTTTTTTTTATTGAAAAAAGATGCAGACATGTTATTATTTGCCAAATAATAATTAAAAAAAAAAAACAGGCCATGACAACTTTTGAGAATTGCCTCATAGGGCCAGTTCAAGTGCTGTAGGGCAGAGGGGCTGGAGGGACAGTCAAAAGGGCGTGAAAGACCGGAGTTGGCATACATGCTTTAGTGCCATGACCCCTGTACTACACTATTACAATGCTGCTGTCACTAGTGTTCAGTATTACTCATAACTGCTATTATAACAAGTGTAACGCATAAATAACGATTTACTTTATATCGACACACATCTCAGTTACTTCAGTTTATTAGTTGTTTAGTGTGCACTTCTTACCATAGTACTACTACCTCAAGTTTCACGTTACGCTACTTCCCAGTTCACTCAAATCAATATAAGTCATAAAAGAAGAATGGGCCTACTTCCTATTTCAGGCTCTAATGCCATTTGACCATAGGCACCCATTCTTAGACATATCCTCCGTGTTTTAAAGCATTTTACTTCACAGAATGTAGTGCAACCAGCTAGGAAACATTACTTACCCTCTTTAACAGAATAATTCCCATCACGGCCTGGGCATTGAAGAGGATGGCATTGATAATCATGATCACACCGACTCCTATATTCGCCCTCATACCAACCAAACTCACAATCCAACCACTGAGGAGAAACAAAAAAGTCAGTTTAAACCACTTTGACTCTTTTTTTAATAAACACAATCATACCTGAATCCAGATCCGGGAATCCCAATGGCCTCAATAACAGACATCCCACAATGAGCAAAGAAAACAAAAAAGAAGAAAAAGAAGTTGACTGAACTGTCACTCCTGCACGAAAACAAGCACAGCATTAGTGTTACAATATTTACTTAGGATAATCTGAATTGTTAAGTAGTTTTACTCACCTAAAAGCTTTGTACACAGGTCTGTACCAGCAAACGAAGGAACACGGTGTAAAGAGAAGAGCCCAGAGAATGGCGAGGCCGAAGCCAACTCCAGTGTCCGAACTCACGCAAAACGCAGCAAGAGACGAAACCAGGTTCAGCAGAAGATTAACTGTGCAAACTGACAAAAAAAAAAAAAAGGTAATCGTAATTTAAAATTGACTGGGGGGTACCATTCATTGATACAGGAACAAAGTATCAGTATTTGGCACTACTGTAGTTTCTTCCTTACAGGGTGTTCTGAAGATTTTATCATTTTGTTTTAATTTGGTGGGATTATAACTATTGTAAATATAAATGATAGTTTTACACAAATCAAGAAGCAATCTGCATAGAAAAGCTAAAAAATATGTTGAAAATTACAGGAAGTGGAGAGTTCTGAACACACTGATGATATCATATTTGTGAGAATTCTCTCCAAAACTTTGTCACAATTAATACTTAAATATTTTTTTTCTTAAAACATTATTTCAACAAAATAAATGCATTTTCTTATATCTGTATTTGTCATAATAATAATTTCTGTGCACATTAGAGGAGTTTTTCCAGGTAAAAATTATGGAATTCCCTAGTGTGATATCACAATTTCCAACCAGAAAGTAAAATTTTAAACTAAAAAACTGAGGAAACGAAAGTGAATGTTTTTGCTGTGTTTTTGTAAAATGAGTCATGGTCAAACCTAACATAGGCACTTTAATGGCATTAATGATTAATTTAAGACAAAAAGAATAAAATTTGGATTGCCCTAACCCATTTTAACTTCCCATTTGTCTATAGACACTTAACAGCTAAAAAAGTCTGCCAAATAAAATTGAATACAAGATTCACATCAGTTTCACATTCAATTTATACATGTCAGGTGTCAAGTCATGAGGAACTTTAATACAGTCAAAAAGCAGCCAATTCTGTCATCACAGGTTAAATAAGGCTTTAAATTAATGAAATTTAAAAACTCTCTACACTTTACGATTGTCCAGAACGATTTCACAACAGAAGAGTTTTTGGATTCTGGAAATAGCTCTCAGTGGAGTGTCAAGTCTTGAATAAATATTACACATTTCAGCTCAGCAAAACCTCTCACTTTGACAGTTTGATTTTAAAACTTTTATTTCTAACAGTGGCGAATTGTTCTTAAAGGTGGATTGTGTAACTTTTCTGATGGAGGGCCCGTCACCTGCTTGTGTCTATGGATATGTCATTGCTCTGCCTGGAATGTTCCTAAGTATGGCAATAAACAGCTCTAACTTATATTTATTCAAATACAACTCAAAAATACCTAGAAAAACAGGCATTCTGACTGTGAGCGGGGTTGCCTCTCCACAAATCTGACCTGTGACTTTGTCTGGTTTGGCGTCTATGAAGAGACCAAAACCAGACCAAGTCACCAAACCCTGTGAAACATTCCAAGAACATCTTCACGGAGAAAAGCATTTGACAGAACCTCAACCGGAAAAGTTACACAGTGCACCTTTAATTCCCAGAAGCTGTCCAAGTCGTTTTCTTTGTGACTCAATAAAGTTTGTCCAAGTTAAGCACTGGAAACATGTACACGTTTGGGTCTTCCTCTCCTTGAACTGCCCTGATACAGATCCACTGACCCTACCTGACCAGTCCTCCTGTTAAACTGCATTGAGACTTTTGACTGAGACACAAAGACAACTGAGAAGCGCAGTGTAAATGTTGCTTTAAATTTCCCAGGGGATTAATTAAGTATCTCTCTCTCAATTGTAGAGAATAATCACAATAAAACAATAGTAACAGTAGCACAGTTGAATGGCCTACTGTCACAGATTAGCACAAGTTGTCCTCATAGCACTCCCTCACATCTCCAGCTCCATCCAAATAAAACCTCTTTATTGTTTGCTCACTCCTTTGTGTATCTTTTGTCCAGCCAACATGTGTGCATGCGTCATCCAAGTTTCATTTGTACCCTTCATGTTCGATACCATCATTTGATTATATCCAGCTTATGTTATATAATATAAAATTTCTATTGACTGTAGAATTCCTGTGTGTGTCTTCTGTTGACCTATTTCTAGTATGTGTTTGCGATGTACGGTATATCACGTGTTCTAGTGAGCAAAACAATGTGATCATTAAAAGGTTCTGTATTAAGCAAAACTGACTCTTGTGAGCTGTAAGCCATGTTACCCCATCAAAAACACACCTAAATATGCAGGATTTGTGTGTTATACATGTGTGAATGAAACAAAATACAGCTCTGGGTTTTTGATGAGGAAAGAACATTTTAACAGAGATCAGATAGTACAGTAATATGGGCCCTTCAATCAAGGACAATAAATTCCTTCTGCACTGACTTGGCCTACCATAACTTTATTCATTTATGGGTGTCTACTATGACCGGAATACTGGAGAACATTTAACCACTATCATAGAAACAGGATCAAGATACTCACAAATCCAGAAGTAGTACATGATGGTGACAATGCGTTGAAATCGCTGGCTAATCTCAACATTGATGTCCATGTAAAAGCAGGGTCCCACAGGGCAAAAGGAGGGAAGAGGAGGCCAGTTCTTCTGTCGGTCTGAGAAAACACAAATTCTTAATTGCTATATTATGTATCATATTTCTTGAGACTGTTTTTGCAGCAGTAGATACAATGTTTAGTTGAACTTTGAATTTTGAATTTTGCCCCTTTTAATGGCAGTGTTGGAATTTAACAAATTTAGGTATCTGTATTTTGTTTTTTAAGTAGATTTTAAAAATGGATATTTTACTTTTCCTTCACTATATTTGAGAGAAGGTATCTGTACTTTCTACTCCATTATATTTTATAACTGGACTGAAAAATAAAAGTATTTTTTATTATTGTTTGAGACCTGCTGAAAAGGAGGAGTTCATTTTTAAGAGGAGTTTATTTTTAACACGTTCATAGTTTGAGCAAAGATAAATGTACAAATAATAACTGCTACAAAATTAAAATAATTAATTCAATTGCTTCTGATGAACAAAATTCAACTAATCAAAATCAGTTTTATTAGATCTAAAAAATCTGCACAAAATACTTCTTTCATGTCATGCTTCTACTTGAATATTTTTTCACTCTGGTATCTGTACTTTTACTTAGGTAACAAAATTGAGTACTTCTTCTACCACTGCTTACCGGCTCCAGGTCCGAGACTGTGAGCCTGAAGTTCCCGTTCCCTCCTCTCCAGTTCTTTGGCCTTTTTCTCCAGCTCTTCCTGTTTCTTCAGAAGCTCTGCCGTTGTTGCATTTACAGCGGTCTGAAAAGACAATGACTCAGGGGGTTTAGTAACATAATTTATTCAACTTTTTTCTTATAGGCTTGTTAGCAGTGGTGGAAAGTAAGTAAAGTACTACATAGCTACATTTTATCTTAGAGTTCAGTAGAGATTGGCAATTCCAGGGCTAAAATCTTCCAAATGATTCTAGTGGAGGTGTATGGAGTTTGAAAGCACAGTGTGCTCCTTCCTGTATTACCAAATGACATCACAAGGTGGAACGGAGTGTTAATAACAATCAATAGTTTCCTAATACCTGGTTGTTGTAGGAGCCATAGTTGCGGGGAGGCTCGGTGGGTGTGGTCCTCGCTGGGGGAGTTGTAGTGGGAACAGGTTGGGGGGCAGCGGGCGGAGTGGCTTCATACGGAGGTGGAGGCTGAACACAGGGACAATAATTTTAGTCTATACACTGTTTTTAAGTTTAGGTTTTTAGGTAAATGGAAGGATGGTGACATTATTACTAGAGAGGCAGCCTCGCTCACAGTCCGAATGCCTGTTTTTCCAGGCATTTTTGAGCTATAAAACCACCTGTAATTGAACAAATGCAAGGTAGAGCTTCTCTGGTTTCTAAATTAGCAGTATGAGCCATGAAGAAAGTACATTGTCATCTCTGATTATTACATCATAAACAGTACTTTGAACACTGAGAAAAGCAAATACAGCACAAGGAAGTAACCCAGTCTAAGAGTCTGTATGCAAACAATTTGGTTTATGATGATGGTCATCTTAAATTAGTGAAGCATATTTTTGTAGAGGAAAGAGAAATGTAAGGTTATATGTTAAAATAGGTAAAAGGTAAAATAATCACATCTCTTTGCATTCAGTGACAACTCACATGATGTTAACACATGCAGAATAACTGGTTTCACACAGCAGGAAATGTTCTAGCTGCTTTGTTGTGATACAGGCGTTTAATCTTGATTTGTCTATGTGATCTGCATCCAACATCTGACAATGCCTTCCTTTGTGTTTAGTGTACATCAGTACAATATTGTAGCATTTGATTTGAAAGGTCTTATAATACACAAAACTGCCTCCTGTGAGCTTAAATCGTGTTATAATGCTGATACCTACTCAAAAACATATCTGGGGTTGTGTTTTGTTTCATTCACACATGTATGAGTAATAATTTATTATTAATCTGTCTTTATATCCAAAGCTCAAAATGCTCTGTTTGTTTTTGCAATGTCATGAAATGGTAGTTTTCAAGTTAACAGCTCCTTTTACCTTTAGTTCAGGAGAGACTGACAATTCCAGAGCTGAAATTATCCAGGTGATTCTAGTGAAGATGTATGGAGTTTAAAAACAAAGTGCACTTCCTGAATTATACAAGTGTTTTCTGTTTGAGAGAAGAACTCACCTTAAATATGCAGGATTGTGTGTTAAACGTGTGAATGAAACAAAACACAAATCCAGGTATGTTTGTGATGAGGAAACAACATTATAACATAGATCAGAAAACAAGTAATAAGTAAAAAAATATGTGTTTTACGGTTACCCCGGGAGTCCCATTATCAAAAGGGTTGTACAGGTCCAGTGTGGCATATCCGGTGCTGCTGCTATGCTGGACCACTGCAGGGTCCTAAAAATAAAACAAAATGATGTTATTGTCTGATTTACAGTCAGCTAAATATCAAAGAAACAATAATTGATTTCAGATAGCTACAAGTGGGCGAGAAAAGGCCTAACTCGTCACATGAGCCACAGCATGCCAGCCATTATAAGCGTGATCATACCGCTAAATCGCATTATACACACATTTACAGTAGCCTATATTACCTGGAAAGGGTTGTCTTCCATCGGCTTTATTTGTCTTGATATTTAATTAAATAGGTTTAGTTGTGTTTAAAAGAGTCGTCACGGGTTGCTGATCGTGCTAAAGTTGGCAAAAGGGTAAACAGCTGGCTCCTGTCTTGCTTGCTTCTCAAATGCGGCGTTGGTTTCTGTCCAAAACGTAAAGCGGAGCGACGCGTCAACTAAGCTACGTTTAAGGCAATTTCAAGGTGTTTTCAAGGCATCTACAGAGCTAAATGTTTCGCTGCTAGCTATGACAGTTCGCAGACTAGGCTCTAGGAACGTAATGTTACCGCATTAAGAAATATCGCTGCTGTTTTCTACCACAGAAAAGAGAACAGGAAGTAAGAGCGAAACCACGCGGTCATGTGACAGCTGCAGCACATGAGGCACAGAGAGGCGTGGTCCCGTTTCGCTAAGTAATGGTCTGTGAGGTCATTATGTTGTGTCACACATTAAATATAAGCTTTGGTCCTAAATCTGGTCAAATTTGATTTTATTTTTCAATGTTGTTTTATGTAAGAAACTCTTTAAATGTACAATAATATGGTGTGTAGGGCAGAGTGCGTAGATGTCTACACTTATCAGTCCCAGTTTTGAGCCCTGTGTGCCTTGTCCCAGCAGATTTATCCAAAACCACTGATTTGTCTCAGTTTTATACAAGAGGTATCCCAGGTGTCCCTATTTTTGGCCAATCTGACCCTGCCAACAGTAAAAAGAGGCATCAGTTGTCTTTAGATAAAATGTAGAAAAGTTGCTTAAAAATGATCAAATCACAAAGAAAATGTGACTATACTGACTCACATTTTAATAATATAAGCCATGAATGGGTCAAGTGCATAACAGTTTTCCTTAATTATGCACTCGTTTGACAATTTTATTATTACCAACCACCTGAAACCAGGGATGTCCCAGTATTTTATTTAGAAAATCTGGTCACCCTAACTAAATAGTCAAGTTAAAGAACTCGAAATCTATCAAGAATTTTGAACAGCAAAGCTTCTTCTGTGCTATGTTATTCTTTATGTAAGAAACTAGACTACTGTAAAACAACTTGTTCTGTTCAATAACGGTAGTAATCTTATTTTACAGCAGGTGTCGCCCTTGTGTCATCAAGCTGGCTCCATTGTTTATCCTATCTCAGTGAAGTGAAACATGTTATTGAGGCCTTCCCATAATAAATGTGCTCTCAGAGGCTCTATATTTCACAGTCACATAAATATATTCTTTCGTTTACCCATTTATACTGTATATCACTTAGTAAAGAGTGTCATGTGTTCACCAGCTTTTCTCCATGACATTGAACTCTATCTTGTATTCAGTGACAGGTGTTTTTATTACTTCAAAAATAAACAGGATTCGTACAGTGGTAATGTAATAATGTCTCCAGGCCAGTTGAGCTCCAAAGGTTAAATATAATACACCTTTAAAATAAATTATATTTAATAGTTCCAGCCTGATGTCCTTCAGTGATATGGTGTATATTTATGTAACTTTTCTGGTTGCACATTGTCCCTGGAATCACATGGGGTCACATGGATGAAAGCAGTCACCTGATTACACTACAAACAGGGTCAGGGTGTCTGACACAGGAGCTGCAAAGTCTCTCAGTCTCACAAACAAGCCCAGCCCCTGTCAACACCTATTAATGTTATTAACTCCCAGTTTGAAGACCACAGGGAATATGGAATATCCTATGTGGTGAGAAATAAACAAGGAAGGTTAATACTCATTAAGGACTTTATAATAAAACTGTATTTCAGACACCATACTTTTCTCCCATGTGTTTCACTTATCTTGAATGAGTTTAGATTATACTTTTCCCACATGTGAGAAAGTCTACAAAGTGACAAGTTTCATGTTGACAATACATAAATAGTCATACGCACAGCAATGTAACTATAAACAATATTAAATTATTTTAACATGTGTATTTTTTGCTTGTTCAGTTATTATTTTATTGTTCCATCCTTTGTAAATACCAGATTCTTTGCATTATTTTATGTTTTAATTACATTCACTTCAGATATTACACCCAAACAATTACTCTTACTTGAGTACTAGTTTCACTTATATTTTTTACTCTTGCTTGAGTAATTTCTGAGGCACTTACTTTTTAGAATTATTATTATGATTATTATAGTATTATTTTACCAAACAAGAGACAGAATATGCAAATGGTGTCCTATTGTGATGGCGGTGGATGAAGTAGTCAGTTTTGTTACTTAAGTAAAAGTACAGATACAGAGGCAAAAAGTTACTCAAGTAAAAGTAAAAGTATCAAATGAAACAAATGAAAAAAGTAAAAGTATTAAAGTACATGTTAAATGTAAGGATATCAAAAAAAAAAAAAAATATATATATATATATATATATATATATATGCAGATTTTAGTCAAAAGTGTCAATCTAATTTTTTAATTTTCTCATGAATTTTGTGTATTTATTTTTGTTTTGTGAAATCCAAAATCTGAACTCAAGCTTTACTCAAGATATTAACACAAATATCATAAAAAATAACCCCTAAGATCATATGAGAGGTAGTTTTACTTTTCAGTCCATGTAGTTGAGCAGAATGTACGGATACATGTAAATGTAGTGAAGTAAAAGTAAAAAGTACCCTTTAAAATTCAGATATCTAAAAATTTTACTTAAATGTCCTATATTACACAAATTGACTCTTTAAGCCACATTAAAATGTTGATACCTCATCAGAAATACACCAGGAGCCGTGCTTTGTTTCATTCATACAGTTTTGAGTAATACTTTATTATTACTCTGTCTACATCTCCAAAACTCAAAATGCTCTGTCAGGTAGCGGTAGTTTTCAAGTCAATAGCTACATTTTACTTTAAGTTCAGTAGAGATCGGAAATTCCAGAGATGAAATTACCCAAATGATTCTAGTGAAGGTGTATGGAGTAAACACAGTGGAGCATGTATTACAACATGACATCACAAGGTGGAACAGGATGTTTTCTGTTAGAGAAAAAAACTCAGTCTAAATATGCAGGGTGTGTGTGTTAAACATGTGTGAATGAAACAAAGTACAACTCCAGGTATGTTTTTAATAAGGAAACAACATTATAACAGATCAGAAAATAGTGAAATATGGGCTCTTTAAGAACAATACTTTACTTCTTGTTGTTTGTGAACAGTGGTGGAAGATAACAAAGTACAAGCAAAAAGGATTGCTGGTTCAAACCTCTCACCCAAGCTCATAGTGGAATTTATTATGTCTCTTCAAACACTGCCAAATCCTAGTGACCGGACTATACATTTTTTGCCATTATAACACAGAGATAAAATAAGATAAAGTCAGCTATTCTGAACCTCACCGTAAGCCATCTTGGATTTCCAACCGACCCAGACCTAAATTTGTGTTATGTAAGCCTAGATTTTTACAATATAGGATTTTCCAAACTTGGTTGTAAAATTAATTGAAAACAGACTTTAGTTCACAGCTGGGTCGTCGTGTTGCCCTATATACATTCAACATAGCATTTATGGTACAGTAACAAGATTAAATAAATTTTATGCCATATTGTGGAATATTATTAGCCAAACTGGCGCCAACTAGTGCCTCCGCTCAATTTAATTTCTCTCCAGTGACTAGGTCAGGAATCAGAATACATTAGATGGTTTGCAAGAACCGTGGAAGTTGTAGATCAGGCACCGGCCAATCAGTGAAGAGCTGTGAAGCCATGACGTCAAACTGGAGCACCTGTCTGTGTCCCTTTTGTGTTACAGCACAACAGTAAACAAAGCGATGGCTGTAGACGAAGACAGACATTCTGTGTTGGCAACGATTCCCAAGATCGAGGATTTAAAGCCGGACCAAATAGAATGTTTGGTGAATTTTATCAAGGGAAAAGACGTTGTTGCCCTTCTTCCTATGGGATTTGGCGCATTACATATGTCACGACCAAATAGCAGCAATTGGTTAAATGTAAAAAGCAGGATAAGGCCCTTTTCCTGGCCATGTCCTGGTCAAGTTTGGAAATGCAAGCCTGCTCAGAGTAAGGACACAAGTTTTTCAGTCCAATGAACACAACCAAAATGACTAAAAGTTTCTACTACTTTTATTATGGCTTCAGGATTATCCATGACAATATTTCAAAGCAATGTAAAGAGTGACCATCAAAGCTGCAATGTGTAACTTTTCTGTTGGATGGTCTGTCAAATGCTTTTCTCCGTGGAGATGTAATCACTACATTTGGAATGTTTCACAGTCTGGCATTAAACCTTTCTATCTTCATGGAGACCAAACCAGACCAAGTCACAATTCAGATCTAGAGAGGCAACCATGCTCACAGCCAGAATGTATCTATGTATTTTTGAGCTGTAAAACCATCTGTAATTGAATAAATGTAAGGTAGAGGTGTTTAATGTCACACTGTGGAACATTCCAGGCAGAGCAATACCATAAAAGTAAAAAAAAAAAAAAATGCATAGCACACTCAGATGGCCGATGTTCAATAGCTTTTTAAAATGATTTCAGATTACCCTTCTTGCCTTGGACCACAGCATACCAGCAATGCCACTACCATAGAGACAAGCAGGTGACAGACTCCCAGCTAAAAAGTTACGTATTGAACCTTTAAAATAAAAATAATTCCTTAATTCCATCTTCATTTACCCACATCACTTTAATAATTTCTTTCTATGTTTATGCATGTCAGCTGATTCCATGATTCAACATTTCCTGCGATGTGATTGGTCCAAAAGACTCTTAAATCAAAACTTGGGGCTCGAAGCCCTATAAAAACCGCAGCATTCCTCCTGGTCCAACAGAGCAACATGAAGCCCAATGACATCACCGTCCCAGGAATGAGTTGGCACAGAGCGCGCTGTGGAAAGTGGATGCTAACAAGGAGGGACAATTTAGCCAGTTCCTATGAGCCGCCAATAAGTCAACGAGTTCATTCAGACGGATAGACCAGAAGATTATGGACAGTGTGGAAGCAGAAGAAATGGGCGGTGGTTTGTGGGACATGAAGAAGTAAAAGTCATGAAGTTCTGAACTTAAAGGTGCATTGTGTAACTTTTCTGGAGGGTCCAGTCTGCCACTTGCTTTTCTTTATGGAGATGTTATTGCTTTGTCTGGAATGTTGCACAGTACAACATCATGGAGACCAAATCAGGCCAAGTTACTGGTCAGATCTGTGGAATGACAACCCCACTTACAACAAACGGGCTGTAACTGAATAAATGTAAGGTAGATCATACTGTGGAACATTCCAAGCAGAGTAATAACATCTCCATAGAAACAAGAAGGTAATAGACTGATAACAGAAAAGTTACACAGTGCACCTTTAAGTACAAGTTCTAGGTATCTGTACTTTACTTAAGCACATTTTACAGTGAATACTTTTTAATTTTACTTCACTCACTTTTAGAGCATGTATCTGTACTTTCTACTCCACTACATTTTTGAACAGGACTGAAAAGCAAAGGTATTTTTATTAGAGTTTGAGACCTTCTGAAAAGGCTTAGGGTTTATGGTTGTAATTTGAAAATGAAAACAGCTAGGAACTATCAATTCATTTGTTTCTGTTGAACAAAATTCAGCGCAAATCTTTATAAAACACTACATTTGAATCTTTATTAGATGCCAAACTCTCCATGAAATACTTTTATTTTTCACTTTTCATTTTTTAAACTGGTACTTAAATAAGTTTATGTCAGTTTTTCATGCCATGACATGTAATTTTACTGCAGTATTTCTTAGTTCTGCTATCTGTACAGTTAAAATTGAACATGCATTGGGCAGAATATAGTAAAAACAGCATAATTACATTCAGAAATCTTGGTTTTAAGTAACTGATTTAGACAGCTGACAAAAGATAGAGGGGCAGAAAGTGAAATACACAGGCCTATTTAAATCATATTACTGTAAATATGAATGCATTTTTTGAATAACCAAATACATTCATTAAACTGATAGACCTAAGAAAGAGAAAGTAAGAAAGTAGCAGAAGTCGCTGGTCAGGCAAAAGAAAGTACAGTCACTCAGTTGGTCTGGACCTAATTAAGCTAAATCAATTAGTGAAGTTTTTTTTTTCTTTTAACAAATAAATTAACTGCCAAAGTGATGTAACTTTAACCACAAACCACTTGAATACAAGACAATCATTGAAATTATTGTGGTATTTACAGCAAGCAATAAGATAAACCTACATTGGGACCTTTGAAACAATTAAAATTAATTCCACATGGTACTGTTTTGTTTCGAGGTTGGAGGAAGCCCACGGCTCTTGTTGTGAATAAACTGTGAGTGCTTGAGAGGCAAATAAATTTCTGGAAAAAAACGTCTTGAACCTGAGCTGAACTGAGCTCTTCAGGAAGTGGCTATAAAGGGAGAAGGTGAAGGGCCATTTTTCACTGAAGTGGGGACAGGACGAGAGCTGGAGAGCTACTCAGAACACTCCAAAGTACCAGAGCTGGAGTGGATTTAAAGTGGTCACCTAAATTATCACTTGAATGAAAGAGCTTGAAAGTTCCATTTACTGAAAGTACTAAAAGCTATCTCTCTAGGACTCCACTGAATCCTTTTGTGTATGTTTTTGAATTTGGACTTTTTTAAATGCCAGATGCCCTTTTTGACCACACTATTTTAAATTGGCAAGAGACAGGACAACATCTGCTGCTACTACAAATAATTATGGGTCTCCTGTTCATCAGTGCTACAGCAGTTTAAAAAATGTGCTTTGAGTTGTTAATCGCTATGGCAACTCAACCCCTCTGCTGCAAACCATGGTCTTGGAATCATTTGTAAATGGTTTTATATGATGCTTTGTGATTTGACTGTTTTGTATTGATTGTGCAGCTGCTCCCTTGGCCAGGTCTCTTGTGAAAAAGAGGTTATGAATCTCAATGGAACCTCCTGGTTACATAAATGTAAAATAAAATTTAAAATATAAACACAGTGGACCAATTTATGAGGACAGTAAAGTACCTTAACTTTTGTCATTCTGAAACCAGTGAATTTCTTAAACTACTGTCTGCTCCTACAATCTGCTAATACTATTACTTCATAAATGTCTGTACTTTCACTTAACTACAGATTATCACCCTATCATGCCATCAAATTTACAGAATATAAAATACATAAAAGTGCATGATTCCAAGGCTACTGTACAGATGTACCAGAAGCAGTGGCAGAAGAAATACTCAGTTTTATTACTTAAGTAAAAGTACAGATACTGAAGCAAAAAAATATGTAAAAGTGTTAAAGTACATGTATAAAAATGTACTTAAAGAATAAAAAGTAAAAGTATTTTGCACAGATTTTGAGACCTATTAAAGCTTCAAATGTAGGGAGTTTGATAAATATTTCTGTTGTGTTTTGTTGAATAGACTAAGCTGTTTTTCTTTTTTGTATATTTTTATTTGCTCTACCTACAGATGTGTTAAAAATAAAGCCATCAGCCTTTTCAACAGGTCTCAGCCACTAATCAAAATAGTTTAACATTTCAGTCCTCTTCAAACATGTAATGGAGTAGAAAGTACAGATACCTGCTCTCAGAAAAAGTATCCTTTGTGTGTATAATAAGTACAGTACTTGGACTGTACGATTTGGTTAGTGCTTATTATAAAATTCTTAAGTAGATAAATGATTAGGCTACTTTGAGTTGTAGTGGGGTTGATGGTGAAAATTGCTTTACTTTTGATCTTCCATGTTTTCATTTTAAGCCAAATTACAGTGATAGCTCCAGCCAACACTACAAGGGCGTGAGACGTTTTATTTCACTCAGTCAGTCCATCTGGAAAAGACCCTTCAATCACGATGAATTCCAACTCTCCACTCCCAATTTCCCCCTCAACATTTGCCAAAAATGTCTCTCCGAAGTTTGAAATTAGACTAATTGAGCTCATATTGTGGTGGGCTGTGACGCAGGCGAGCTCAGCGTGGACACAATGGAGCGAAGGGTGTGGAATAACCCGGAGAATATGGAGATGTAAAGTGATACATAATCACGGCAACAGGGGAATGGGCTGAACAACAGGACAGAATATAAACTCAAGTCATTACTATATGCAAGAAGTTGATACTTAAAGGTGCACTGGGTAACTTTTCTGACTCCATGAAGACGTTATTGCTTTGCCTGGCATGTTCCACAGTATGACATTAACCATATCTATTTCCATGGTAACAGGCAAGTAACGCCACCAGGCCAAGTTACAGATCAGATTTGTGGAGATGATGTTACCCTGCTTTAAGTATGAATACATGTTTTTCATTGAACTTATGAGCAATAAAATCTGTAATTGTGTAAGATTTAAGTTTAATTTCACACTACAGAACATTCCAGGCAAAGAAATATCATCTCCATGGAGATGTTAGCGATTTGCATATTATTTTATTGATCTAGGTGTTTTTATTACTCAAAAATATCTTGTAAAACATGCATTCTTACTCTGAGCAGGGTAAAATCATCTCCACAAATCTGATCTGTAACTTGGCCTGATAGGGTCATCTGTTAGTCTTCATGGAAATTGGTATGTTTAATGCCATACAGTGGGACATTCCAGAGACAAGCAGGTAGCGGACTCTCCACCAGAAAAATCACATTTACCTTACTGCTTGTCTCCATTTTAGCACTATGCTTGGAATGTTTTGTAATATGGCATTAAACCTTTCTGTCTCCATGGAGGAAAGTTGATGGCACCACCACTAGGCCATGTGTGGAGAGATGACAGTAAAAATGTACATTTTTAAGGTACTAAAATTAGTAATATAATCACCTATAACTGAGAAACTGCAAGATGGCTATGTTTAAAGTCTGTGGACCATTCCAAGCAAAGCACTAAAATCTCCATGGAGATAAGCACAAAAGTTACACCGTGCACCTTTATGTCTAAGCGGAAATTGCTACGTCAGATATTGAACCAGGTTTTAGGTTAAGCTTATAGTGGTGACTAAGGTTAGAATCAATTTTAAGAAAATAAATTTAAGTCAATGTATGGAAATCCAATAAGTATATACTGTATGTGCTTAAGGCCTATTTACTAAAAGAATTAACTGATCACGTAATACATTTTGCATATACACAATGAAAGGGAAATAAACTTTAGACACACACCACACTTGACCCACATTATTATAAAAAAAAACAGTTTATTAACAACTATATAAAAGGAATGTAAAGGACATTAACAACAGTGTAATAAGTAAGACTCAAATTAACCAAGACAAAAGTATCATTGTCTGTAGTCAGTGCAAAGTTCAAAGTAGATCTGGAGCAGGTTTCACTGAAGTATCTTGGACCAGTCTATTTCGTACATACATTGTTTTGGCATCTGGCTCTCGATGTTCATGCCGCTGGTTGACAGGAAATTAACTAGTGAGAGGCAATGGACTTGAATACACCAATACACCAAACACAGGCAATGCACCAGAGTACATCAATTTACAATAAACAATAACCAAATATAAATCACTAATTACTGAGGTATGCCCACTGTATACAAATGTACTTTTATACTAAATAAAATGGTCACAGCAATTCCGGCTATCTTATCTAGCAGTGTTTTGTCATTGAAAAACTACAGTGAGTAATAATAACACGAATGGATAAAGAGTAACAATAATCATTTTTAAATCATTCTAATCAATTTAAAGATGGTGGTTGAGGTTCAAGCATCGCACAAAAATAAAATATAAAAGTTAATGTTCAGATGTAATGTGCACAAACCACTGATTAAAAGATTTCTGATTTCAACATTATCTTATAGTTTTGTATTGTATTACTTTGCAGAAGTACAACATTCCGTGGGGGTGTGAAGATAATTAAATCATCAGGTTTGTTGTTTTTTATTAACTTTTTTAGATATTTGTGAATGTAATCAATAAGGAAAACTGGCTCCTGCCCTCCAAGAGTCAGTTTTCCCTACTTATTACATTGTATTTAGTCTAAATATACAAAATGCACAAATGTTGAACTTGATCATTGCTATTATAGACTAGACCCAAGAACTCACTGCATTCCAAGGGTCATTCCACCGAAATTCACCCCCCAAAAATTACAATTTGAACCCTCACATTGTCCAATTGCAAAGAAAATTTGTGTATGGGTAAGTCATGGCCAAAAATCTCAAATTTTAGCATGATTGGAGTAACCATTTCCGAGATACCCCAATTTCATTTTTTCACTTTTTTTGTGTGGTCACTGAATTTCAAATTGCATTTACTTAACAACTACTGGTCCAATATCAAAAATGGATATTTGGCACATCTAAAGATGGGGGTAAGTCAACATCTAGGTAAATTTGTGTGAAAATAAAAAGAAAACCCCTTCAGATTTTTTATACATTGAAATAGATGTATAGGGCTAACTTTTTTCTATTGGTGTCATTGAGGTCGGGTGTGTCCCTTATTGTCAATTTCAAGGTCAAAATATAGGTCAGATTTGAATTCTTTATGATTTCTCCTTTCCATAGATACCTTGGTTTTTGATATCGGACCAGTAATTGCTGAGTAAACCCAATTTGAAATTCAGCGACCACACAAAAAATGAAATGCGATATCTTGGAAACAGTGACCCGATCAAACTAAAATTTGAAATTTTGGCTTTTCTGGCTATGATTTACCTATATACCAAGTTTCATAAAAATCTGACAAAGTAGGGTTTAACTCATTGGGTGAATTGAGGTGGACTGACCCATAACTATATTAATTTTAGCTGACCCCCATCTTTATGCTGTCACCTGAAACCCATCAACTCCTGATCTTCCTTCATAGACTGGTCTGAGACTCTTCTGACCTGAACACAGGGCTGGTCGATGGGAGACTGAAGAGGAAAAGAGTAAATGTGAAGTATTGTATGAACGGCGCTTTGTAATTTCCTTCATTCGCGCTCATAAACTCTGGTGCAGACCACATCCCCTGCAGTCATCGTCTGAAAGGAACCAAAAACAAAACCTCAACTTTTGAACCGTAACAGGAAATGCACTGGTCCAGGACACAGAGGTGGGCAGCAATAAACTTGTGTTGCCTTTGGTTTAGTCTGTTTTGATTATAAAAGTTTACCATGCCATAGTTTTTAAAGGTCCTTTCTTTATTTCTTTGTTACAACACTATTACCTCATAAATGGAGCATAAATGGAGTTGTGTTTTATTAAAATTCATATGTTTGAATAATCCTTTGTTATTAGTCTGTCTACATCTCCAATGATCTAAATGCTCTGTTCCACCTTGTGATGTGATGAAGTGATAGTTTTCAAGTTAGCATCTGCCTTTTGCTTTACTTCAGTAGAGATTGGACAATTCCAGGGCTGAAATTATCCAAATGATTGCAGTGAAAGTGTATGGAGTTTAAAAACACAGAAGAGCTCTATCAGTATCACCACATGAAATCACAAGGTGGTTAGAGAGTTAGAGAGAAGAGCTCAGCCTAAAGATGCAGGGTTTGTGTGTCAAACTTGAGTGAATGAAATAAAACACAATGCCAGGTATGTTTTAAGATGAGAAAACAGCATTATAACAGATGAGAAAAAAGAGTAATATGGGCCTTTAATATCTATCTGCATACACCTGTTTTCTAATCTTCCCACCTCTTCACATCAACTCTGTATTCATAATTACCAAAATGAGTTCCCCATCATTGGTCAGCTCTCTGGTCCAGGAGGTCTTGGGTCCGTCTCCCTTCTGTAAAGTCTGTTCACAGCTGATTTTCTGATCCGTTTCCCACTTTGGAAAACTCTGCAGGAATCCATTACAGAAACAAGTCAGTCGACCCGGGGTCACAACATTCCTACAGCTCATTGTCAAAAGCTGTGCCCATCATTGAGCACATAAAAGTGCACCCAGGCCTGCTTCTTGGGATCTATTGTGTAAAAAAGGCTGGGTGTATTGTGTT